TTCTTTTATTATATTGCACATATTTGAATATTTAGAAATAAATAAAAAATCTTTTATATATTTTTAATATAATTTTTTATTTTTATATTTATTTAATTTCATATTATTATATATTTTTTATTATTATTATTTTTTATATTATTCTACATTTGTTTTAAAATTATTTTTTTATATTAATTTTTTATTAATTTATTTTTTAAAAAATCAAAATTTTTTATTTTTGTATTTTTAATATATTTATATTTCTTTTTTTAAAAATATTACTAAAAAATCCATATTTGTTTAATAGTATTTTTATTTAATATTTATTTTTTTATATTAAAATAACCGTATTTAAAAACAGTTTCACATTATTTAAATTTTTCACATTTTAATTCTTTTATCAATTAATCATACTCTTATTATGGTATGTTTTCTTATACCTCTTAAAAAAAAGTTAAATTTTTGAATGCTTTTCTTAATATTATTATTTCTTTTTTTGATTTTTCAGTATTAGATAATAATTTTGTTAAAATCTTTTTTTATAAAAAAAATAAATATATATATATATAATAATTTTAATAGAATATCTTTTTATTTTTCATTAATATTTATTTTTTTTATATACATTTTAAAAAAATTTTACAAATATAATAATATTGTAAAATATTAAAGTAAAAAAAGGAAAATAATTAAGATTAAGATATATATTTACCTCAACATCATCTTAATTTTATAAATTGATTTCTCTTTTTAGCATTTCTTCTATTTTTCTATAATGAGGAATTGCTTAAAGTGCAACTGTTATTAAAGATTATCTCTTTTTCTAAGTTTAAAATTCTGGTTTAATTGATCCACTTCTTTATTATACAAGTTAAGTACTTTATTACATTTTTTTTTAAAGTTTATAGTTAATGCTATTTATTTTTTTCTTTAATTTTTAAAATATATGATTATTAATTATATTTCTTTTTAAAATAAATAGAGACAAATATGTATATATTATTTTATATCATATTATTTGAAAAAAGATAAAATTTCTTATTAAATTAAATAATAGTAATTTCAAAAAATACATTATAAAAAACAAAAATAAATATAATGATATAATATATATAAAAATAAAATTATATAACAATTTTTTTAAAAATAAGATAATATATATAAAATATAATATATTTTATAAGAAATATTAATTATATAATTGAAAATAAAATTATAAGAATAAAATATATAAAAAATATCATTATTATTGGCAATTATTGTTATCATAAAAATTATCATTAATATAATTTTAATTCTTTTTCTATGAAAATAATAAAAAAAAAATATTTAAAAATAATTATATTTTTATAAAAAATATAAATAAAAATAAATTTATATATGAAAATATATATATATATATATATATATATATAATATATTATTTAAAATATTAATTATATACTTTTAAATAAATCTATTTATATTTATATTTATATTTATAAAAGTTATTAATTTAAATTAAAAAATACTTATTCTTTTTTATCATTTTATAAAATTGTGGTTTTTTTTTTTCCTCCTTTTTAATTTTTATTTTTTTTCTATTCTTCTTAAAATTCTTAATTATTATCAATTTTATCATTGATTTTATCTTAATCATACTGATCTTCATCATCATCTTCATTTTCAAAAATTGATCTATGTTGTACTTATAATTTTAATTTTCTCACCTTTAAATAATATTCTAAACTATAAGGTAATACTTCATCTATAATAGCCCTTGAAATATTATAATCTATACATAATCGATCCTAAAGCTTTAAATTTTAAATTAAATTTTATACATTATCTATATTTGCCTTTTCATTTTCAAAATTTAAAGTATTAAAATAATTAAAAAAGCTTTCATTTTCTATTTCATGAGTAACTATTCTTATAACACCTGTGCGTCTGTTTTTTTATTTTTTTAACTGTTTTTCTTGTTAAATCTTTCCCTTCATACCAATCTATTATTGTAGATTCAGCTTAAAAATTATTTTAAAATATATATATATATATATATATATATATATATATATATATATTTATATATATTTAAATATTTTAATATATATATTTATGAATTTATATTGATTTATAATTTACTTCTTGTAGGTTCTTTATTATTATTTAAATAAAAATATTTTTTTAAAATTTTATTAGAAAAATATTCATTATCCTTTTATTTTAATTTTTAATATTTAATTATAAAAATACATTAAATTCGAAATTTAAAGTAAATTAATTTTCGTCAGGTTAGTCATAATAAATTTATTTTAACGACTTTAATATTATCTTATCATTTATTTTTACTTAATTTGATATTAATTCACATTAAGTCAAAGCCAAAAACCAATAATCATCAATTGGAAGTAAATTAGTGCTTGCAAATCTTTCATTTTTTATCATATTTTCTTCTGCATTCGAATTATCAAAATATAAATCAGTATTCTTTATTTCTTAAAGAGTGAAATCTTTTTCCCTTTTAGATCCACTAATAATAGCATTTTACTAATATAATAAAATAATTAATATATTTATTTTAATAATTATTATAATTTTAACCTCTTAAAATATTTCTTTTGCTTATGTTTTAAATTTTGATATTGTTTCTTTAACTTTTTATTCATATGTTTCTTATAAACGATACTATTATATTTATAAATCATATAAATCAATTAATTGCAAATATTTGTTTGACTTAATTTAATTTGAGATTTCTATTTATAAATTTTTAGTAACTAATGCAGTATTATCATAAACAACTTTTATCGGAATATTTGAATACATTTTTAAATTTTAAATTTTATTTTTTAAAAAAATAAAAAATAAAATATATATAGATAAAAAAACAAAACATATATATAAAAGAATATTTATTAAATATAAAATATCTAAATGATAAATATATATAAATATATTTATATATATATATATTATATATTTATATAATTAAAATATAATAATAAAATAAAATCAATGTTTTTATTTTTTGTAAGTGTTTTATTCATAGTTATCATAGTCATTATTTCTATAATTGATATTTTTTTATCATTATAGTCTTTTCCCTATTCTTTTTTATATTAGTTACTTCTACTACTTGCATTATTTCCGTTGTTCTAATTATTATTGTTATTTCCAGAATTGCTACTATTTTTAGAATTTCCATTATTATTATTAATATTATTATTATTATTATTGTTATTATTATTATTATTATTATTATTATTATTATTACTATTATTTCCATTATAATGATTTTAGAAATCTCTTTTATTATTATTACTATCAATACTTTAATTTCCTTCTCCTTAAGTATTATTTCCTGCATTTCTGTTTTCTTTTTTATTATCTTTATTTTATACTACAAGTGATGGTTTTTATCTTTTATCATTAATTTATTAAGCTTAACTACTATCTTTTTTATCTCCATTTTCTTCTTTCTATTATTTTTCATCATTCTATTATTACTATTTTTCTTTTCTATTTCCTTCCTACCTAGTACTATGATTTGATTTATTTCTATCTTCCTAATTATACTTTTCATCATCTTTTTTTTCTTCATTTTTTCCCTATTTTTCTTCTAATTAATTTCTCGAACTTCTTTCTTCTTTGGTTTGTCTATCTTCTATATTTTTAAATGGCTTTTCTTCTATATTTTTTTGTGAAGATTTCTCTTCTATATTTTTTTCTGTATTTTTATCTGTGTTTTTTTATAATCTTTCGTCTGTATTTTTTTCTGTGTTTTTTAAAGATCTTTCCTAATTTCTGCTTGAAGAATGTCTTTCATCTTTAGTTTTTTCTTCGTTTTCGATTTTTTTAGTACTTTTACATTCTTATTATAATTCTTAATTTTATTCATTTTTTTTTTTATCTTATTTTAATTAATTTTCTTCAGTTTTTTAAGTCTTTTTTTTATCATCTTCTATTTAAATATTTCTTTATATTTGTTTTTCTTCGATAACGGAAATGTTATTATTATTAATATTATTTGAATTATTATTTTCTTCGAATTCTAATTATTCAATTTTTTATTTCTTCTATTCTTTTCTTTTTAAATTTTTTACATAAGAAGTTATTTCTCACCTTCAATTTCGCAAAGATCTTTTGCCAATTCTTCCATTTCCTTTATTTTTTCACTATCTTTTTCTATCAAATTTAAATCATATTTAGCTAAAGTTCTTAATGATTTTAAACAGAAAGTCTATAATTAAAAGATATATATATATATATATATATATATATATATATATATATATATTATATTATAAATATTTATATATATAGATATAAATTATATACTTGACTGTCTATATTTCGTTCGCTATTATCTTCGATCATATCTTTACAAATTTATCTAAAATAATAACCTACTGATTTCTATAAAGGTTTTTTTGACAAAGGAAATTTAAATTAATCTTCTATAATTTATTTTATTTTGCTGTTTTCAGTTGCTGTATTATTTCCACTTTATCTAATTTCTTTTATATTTTTTTATTTTAATTCTTCAAACAAGCAACAGTTATTATTTATTAAAGATCCGTATTTATCGACTTTAAATTATTAATTTGGCTACTTTTTATAAACAAAATCTTTATAATATTATATAAATCCTTTAATTGTATCACAATTAGGTTTAAAGACTAAATTTTAATCTTTTTTTTAACGAGGTAATATATCTTTTCTTTCAATCTATATTTATCTTTGATATAAATAAATATATATATTTATATATATTAACCCAATTTTTCTCATCCATAAAAAATTAATCGAATTATTCGTAAGAAATATCTTCTTTTAAATTTTAATGTAACAATTTGAATGCTTTTTTAACTTTATCTTCTGCATTTTTAATTGTATTTTTTTCATTTTCTATATTTTTTATATCATATTCTTTATTTAAATTTTATAATGTATAAAAAAACAAAAGTGCCTAAATTAACCATATTTTTCTAAAGAATTAATCATTAAACTAAAAAATATATTAAAATTTGCAATATTTTTTTTTTTTTTTTCAATATAATATATTAATTTTTTTTTTTTTTTTTCAAATTTATATTTTAAAGGCAAGCATAAGTTTTTTTAATAAAATATAATTAATTATATTCACTTATTGTAATCATTATTATTTTATATCTTAATATTTTTTATAAAAAGTATTTTCTTTTTACCTATATTTTCATTAGTGAATATGCAGTAAGATATTTAATATATGGTTTAATACTTGTTTCACCTTTTTCTAAAATTGGATTTTAATTAAAAATCTCTACAACTTCACATATTGCTGCACACAAACCTTTTATTTTTTTAGATTCTAATGTTTTTATACCTTCTTAATCTGGTTTTTCTTCTCCTTCTTCAACATCTTCATCATTTATACCTTCGATTTCCATTTCTCCGTTATTAGACTTACTTAACTATTAAATAAAAAAATAAAAATTATAATAATATAAATAAAATTTACATTTAATGGATTCTATAAATATTTTTATAAACTCCAAAATTTACTATAAAAACTATAATTCAAGAATGGAAAATTTCCTTTTTATTCTTCAATATCCATATTATTTTCCATTTACAATAATGCCTCTTTTTCGTTTTCAATTTAAGTCGAAATTTCTGTACATATTTTTGATTTCAAACCTTAAAAATAATATATATATATAAAAAAAAAAAAAAAAAATACCCGAAGCATGACATAAAGGTAATATTTTCGATAAAAAAATATGTACTTTCCCCCTCAATTATATATCTTGTGTTTTCGACAGTTTTTTAAACACTCCATTACATATTTTTAGAGGATAGTTGATTTCTTGATCAGATAACTTATTAAAGAAGATATTCTACTTTTTTAATGTATAGTTACGTTTTTTATTGATAATATTCCTTCTTCTATAGGATCTATGAATAGACGTAGATCATTTACTGATAGAGTATCGCAAAAGTCTTCTAAATAAACTATTTTTTATGTAAATAAAATATAATTATATATTATATTATATATATATATATTTATATATATATATATTTATTTATTATATTTTTTAATATATATTTATATTTTTATTAATTTAAAAGTGTATTAATAAAATTAATATTTTTTTATTTTTATTATTTTATTTTTTTTTATTTTATTTTATTTTATTTATTTTTTTAAAAAAAATAATACTTTTTTTAATTTCCTTTTTTTTTTTTTCTTTTTTTCTTTATTATTTATTTTATTGAAATTTTATATTAATTATTATTTAAATATATATGTATATATATGTTATATTTATATATATTATTATAAAAAGAAAATCTTTTATTTTATATTTTCTTACTTAATACATCCTTTATTTCTATTATTTCTTTTCTTGCACACCAAAATAATAATCGAACCATTTCTTAAATATTTTTACTTTGTTCTTCACTATCTTTTTGAGTCCATTATTTCTAGAAAAAAGTTAAAATTTAATATATAAATATATATATATGTACTTTTTTAAAAAAAGATTTATATATATTGAGCATAATATTTTTATTTTATATTTACCATGATTTTGATTAATAATTTTTTAAATTATAAAAGAATCTTTTCTGCTAAATTATCTCTATCCTAATTTTAAATTTATTTTTTTAATTAACTAAGAATGGCTTTTATTTTTCCAATTTCTGAAAAATTAAAATTATTCATTAAAGTCTATATGTTAAAAAAATAAATTAAAATCAATATATATTTTTTCATAAGTTATAAAAATATAAATATAATATTTATTTTTCATTAAAATACTATTAAATTATCTAATTCTGATTAAAAGTTGTTCATTTTTTTTATTTTTGTTTATATTTTTTTTTATTAATAATTATAATTATATTTTTAAGTATTTTTTTTTTTAAATAAATAATTATATTAAATAGTAATTATATTTATTTTTATTTATAAAAAAAGAAAAAGAAAAAAAAAATATTAGCTAATAATAAAGACATAAAAAATTATAATATATATATATATGTATATATTTTATTTTTATTCAATTTTATTTTGTGACAACTCCTTCTATTCAAAGTATAAAAAAAATTATTTTATAATATATTTAATAAACATAAAGATTATATATTTATATATATATTTTTATTATTATTATTATTAAATATTAATGTAAAAAATTTATAAAAATTTAAATATTTTATTAATATTATATTCATATTTTATTTAATTTTTATTTATTATTATATGATTTATATTTATTTATATTACTTAACCTTTGTCATTTATTTAAGCTTATTCATTTTCTTTTTTTATATTTTAATTTTCTTAGTTTTTGCTCTTAATATTCGGTCTTTTTCCCTTTTTATAATTAATATAATTTTTAAAATATTTTCTTAATAAGTAAAATACACTAAAATGTAAAAATAAATATCCTGCTCCTGCCACAATTAATAATATTCCGACAATTAATTAATATCTATTTTTTTGTAAATTATAAATAAAAATATTAATGTTTAGATACACATTTTAGTTTGTCAAACATAATGTTCCAATACTTTTTATAAAACAATAAATTCAAAAAAAAAATTTTTTAATAAATATATTATTTTTTCATACAATAATGTAAATAATCCTCTACCAAAATAATTTTCTAATAATTTCAAATTATCAAATACATATACAATATTAAATTCTGCACACACTAAAATCGCTCCGAAAATTCTTTTATTTATATAAAAAATGTAATGTATGTATAAAAAATATATATTAATTTAAAATAATTTTTTTAAAAAATTATTTTATAAATCATTTTTTTTGTTTAGTTATAAATAAAAATGATGAAAATATTAATTTTTTTTAAAAATAAATTACAAATAATATATTGTAATAAAAATATCTTATATATTTATAGGCTATAATATAGCAAAAGATTAAACTGAAAGTAAAATAAGAAGTATTCCGCAAAAAATGGCAACTATTCTAGTAAATAAATTTAAAGTAAATTACATTTTTTGAATAAAATATATAAAAATATTAAATTTATTTTATGAACAAAAAAAAAATTTTTTTCATTTATTAAAATAAAAAAATTTAAATAAATAAATTATATTTTTAATAAAAAACAAAAAAAAACCAAAAAAAAACAAAAACATTTAAATATACTATTCCATAAAAAAAAAAAAAAAATACATATTTTTAAAATAAAACACATTCTTATAATAATAAAAAAATCTATAAATCTTTAATTTTTATTTATAAATTTTTCCATTTAAAAAAAATTAAAAACAATCTCTTTATTTAAATAACAAATTTTACTATAAAAAAATGTAATTTTATAACTAAAAAAAATGTATTTTATAAAAAATCAAAATATTACAAATAAATATCTCAGAAACCTTCAACAGCTAAATAAAAAAATATGCTTAAAACAAATTAAAAAACTATAATAAATAAATACCTTATTCAGTTTAAACTTCTTAAACTTCTTCTATTTTTTCAGCTCCTTCTATATCTTAACCTTCAGTCTTTAAATCAGCAGTATTAATTAAAGTCTTATGATAAAACAAATCAACCATAACTTCCCATTATTAATTCTTATCTAATTCTCCTCTTAAAATTTTAACTTCTCTAGCAAGTAACCAATAGATCATAGAAATAGATTCAGTTGATCTATTATTACAAGGAATAGCAACATCAACATAATGCAATGGTGAATCACTATCACATAAACCAATAACTGGAATACCGACATAACTAGCTTCTTAAATAGCTTAATAATCACTTCTGGGATCAGTAACAATAAGAACTCTTGGTTCTTCATACTTCAAAGTTTAATAATTAGTTAAAGTACCTAAATAAAAATATTTAAAAAAGTAATAAAAATATATACCTGGTGTCCATCTAGAAGATGATGTTGATTTGCATTATACATATCCAGAGAATTTAATAGCAGCTCTTTATCCATAAATTCTGGAACATACTACCTTTAAATTTATTTCAATATAAATATAAAAACATAAATAAATAAAAATATAAATATAACATAAATTTATTATAAAAATATAATATATGTTTATATATATATGTTTATATATATATATATATATTTATTTTTTTATTTATTTATTTATTTATTTATTTATTTATTTATTTATTTATTTATTTACCATAACATCAGATTAATGTCCTACAGCAGCAATAAGTCTTGCGGCTAGCTTAATTTTCTACCATGTTTCTTCTATATTTATTATATGTATTCCATTAGCAGATTTATGTGAAATATATCTTTTCATTTAGTTGTTTAGGTTTGTTGTACCTAAATGACACTTTTTTATATTTTTAGTTAACTTTTCTTATTCTTTATATTTTATTTTTTTTACTTTTGATGCCAAAAGTCTTAACATATCTTCTTGCTTTCTACTTAATGTTGACATTTTTTTTATTAAATATTTTTTAGTTTTTCTTTTAATATATCTTTTATATTTATATATTTTTATTTATATTAAATAGTTTTATTTTTAAATTAAGTTTATTTTTAATTTAAATTAATACATATATATATTTAACTTAAAGTTATTAGTTAGTTATAAAAAAAATATAATATATTTTTTTTAATATTTTATTTTAATAACTTATATATATTAAAAAATAAATAAAAAAAAAAAATTTAATAAAATAAATATAAAATAAATAAAAAATAAATTCATAATGATACAAAAAAATTAATAGTAAAAGTTTAAAACTTTATTTTTAATTTCAATTTTCAAATTTTAATCGTATTATTACATTAAGGAGAATTAAATATATTTTTTTAAAAAAAAAGATATTACAAATTTATTATTTATAAATATATTATTATTATTATTATTATTATTATTATTATTATTTTATTATTATTTTATTATTATTATTACTATTATTACTATTATTATTACTATTATTACTTTTATTATTACTTTTACTGTTATTATTATTGTTATAAATTATTATAATTTTTAGTTATTTAGAAATAAATTTATATATATAATTATATTTTATTAAATAAATAATTATACCATTTACTATCATCAATATATTAATTTATTAAATCTTATATTATTAAAATTTTTATTTCAATAGCTTATTCAAAGCTAAATCCATATTAAAAGAATTTTTGATCAAATATTTAATCAAAACTTTCAAAAGAATTTATAATTATCTAAAATTATTATTAATTATGAGCACAAATATTTAATACTAAAGGTGCTTTTGTCAAATCTAAAGATTATTTATAACAAATATTATTATAATTTAAATCATCATTTTACGAAGACAAAATTTAATTGTGACTATTCTCTTCTTAACTTTCTAATAAATCATTAGTTATTAAATCTAGTTCTTTACTTGTTTAAAATGAACTTTCATTTTTAATATTATTATTTTCAAATGATTTATTTAGATCATTAGTTTAAAGAAGTAAAATTTTAGGACTTAAGACTATTTTTTATTATTTATATTTTTAGGTTCCTTTATTTTTTTATTACTAGTTTTTTTTTAATTTTATTTTTAATAATTTTATATTTTTTTTTCCAATTAAAATATATTTTATTATTCTAGTTAATTTTATTATTCTTAACATTTTTATTTTTCTTATTATTTTTATTATTGTTATTATTTTTAATCATATAATTTATTCTTATAAATTTTATTTTTATTCTTATTATTTTAATTATACTTATTATTGCTATTATATTATTTATTTTTATTAATATTATTATAATTATATTTATTAATTTTACTTTAGTTTCTATTAACTATGTTATTCTTATTTATTTGAATGCTATTTATATTATTATTATAATTCTTGTTCAAGTTATTGTTATTATTATTTTTATTATTATGTTTATTTTATTTTTGAATTAGATTTTTTATCGTGTTTTTTTGTATATTTTTTATCTTAAAATACGTCCTATTTATTTAAAAGATTTTATTATTATAGAAATTATTATTATTATAAATAAATAATATATTTCTAATTTTTTTAAAATATTTAAAATAATTTTATAATATCTTAAATAGATAAGCATTTAAATTAAATAATTATAACATTCTATTACATAAAATAGCCGTAAAACAGCAACTTTCAATAAATTAAATTAAATAATTTTTATTTTTTAAGTTAATAAATAATTCTTTTCTGCATCTTTTAAATCTAAATATTTCTATACTTATGCAGAAGTATGACTTTATAAAAATTCATATGTACTAATTTTACCATAATTTGTGAAAATATTCATATGATTAATAAATGAAAAATCTAAAAAGTTTATTATTAAGCTTAAAAATATATTTATGTTATAATCTTTATAATACATTTTTTAAAAAATATATTATAAAAAATCTACTACTAGAAATATTGATAAATAATTTTATTAATTCTAAGTTAAATTGTATCGAAATTATATTTGTTATTAGCATATTTAATAATATATTAAGTAGGTATTAAATAATAATTCAATTAATTTATAGAAAAATAATGAAATCTATTTTAAATTTAAAGCATTCATAAATAGATCTAAATTTATTTTAATTTTTTTAAAAATGTCTTTTTATTTTAAAGTGAATATTATTCTATAATTAAATAATTGATTTATCTGATTTTAAAAACTTTATAACATTTTTTGTTTTTCGTTTGTTTTTTTTATTTTTTGTTTTGAATGTTTTAAAAAAAATAATAAAAATATATATATAATAATATAAATAAAAAAATGATATAAAATATATAATCTAATATATTTATATATTAATATGCATTTTTTTTTTATTATTATTTATTTTTATTTATTTTTTTCTTTTTTTATATATTTATATATATAATTATATAAAATTTATAATTATTTTTTTATTTTCTTTCTTTTTTTTATTTCTAACTCAAAAATTTTCAACTTATTAAATATTTACATATTAATAAATCATATTAAAAAATTAAAAATAATTAAATATTTTTTTATATCTTATAAAAAATCTATTATTTATTTTAAAATTGATTTTTGAATTTATAAATAAAAAAAATACTAATATTAAATAAAGAAATTGTTTTAATTTATTTTATTATTTGATTATCATGATAATATACTTAGTTGATTTTAAAAATAATGATTTTTATTATACTTATAATTCCTATAATAAAAAAAACTACCTAGATATCGAAATATAAATAATTATATTATATATTTTACATACTAGCAATATTTAGATATATTTTTATTTGATTAATTTTTTTGTTTTTTAATTTATTTACCTGAACATTAATATAAATCAAATTGCCTATATAATATTTTTCTTTTCTAATATAAATATTAAATGTTAAAATAATAAAATAATTATAAAAATCCCACAATAAATAAAAATAACTAAGTTATAATTTATTAATATAAATAACCTTAAAAAATTAATAAATATATTATAATAATAATTGTTAACTGTTTTATATTTAATTAGTATATTTATAATTTTTAAATTTTTTTTTTTTTTTTAATAAAAAATAAATAAGAAATAGATAAATATATATATGATTTAAATTAATAGTTCTATTTTATATTTTTAATCTATATATATAATATTAAATCTATATAATATAATTTTTATATAAATCATATTATTTTTTTAAATATTTTATTAAAATATAATGTATAAAGTTTATAAAATTAAAAATACAAATAAATAAATATTTTCAGTTTAATTTTTTCGTTTTTATTTTCAAAGAAAAATTCTCTTCTAAAACATTTAGATTTAAAGAATTTCTTTTCATATATATATTTTTTTTTTCTCAAATCATATTTTTCATTATAGAATAAAAACCAAAATATTTATTCTTTTTTAGAAGAAGAAAAAAAAAAAAAAAAAAAAAAGAAAAAATTTAAACTTAAAATAAACAAAATGGAAAGTATTAAAATATACTACCAACTCCTTTCCTGAAAAAAAAAAAATTAAATTTTCGAAAAGTTGGTAGCTTCAACCTCAGCATCCACTTTCCTTTGCCATTTTTCCTGATCCCTTAAATTACTTCATACCAATAAATTCCTTTTTTTTTAATTTAAACAAAAAATCAAAAATTATATATTTAAATACCTCAGATGAAGTAGGATGAATACCAGCCGCTTTATCAAAATCTTCTTTTGTCCCATTTAATAAAAAAGCTAAAGCATAACCTTAAACAACTTCCCCAGCATGTGGACCTAAATAATGAAGTCCAACTACTTTATTATTTTTCTTTACATTAACAATAAGTTTGCAATATCCTTTATCTTCTTCATTAGTATCCGAAAAAGTCCACTCCAAAGGTCTAAAAATAGAATAAAAAACCTTAACATTTTCCTCTCCAAAATATCAATAGCATCCTCTTCTGAAAATCCTATTGTAGCATATTCTAAACTACTAAAAATAATAGTCGGAATATTAATATATTACATAAGTTTCGATTTCCCATTAAAAAGTCTTCTTGCTAACAATTAACCTGTTTTTTTGCTGTTGAACCTAACATAGGTCTTTTATAGACGCAATCACCTATTGCAAATATACCATCAACACTAGTAGACTAATAAAAATATAAAAATATATAAATAACGATATATAATAAAATACGTCATCTTCATTACAAATTATTTTTCCATTATTTTTTATTTTCAAATTGATTTTATCTAAATTCAATCTTTTAGTTTAGGCTTCTCTACCTATAGCAAGAATTATTGTGTCAAATGATTCCTCATTCAAATAACTTTATTCTTATTTTTTATAATATACTTTCTTATCACTTCCTATTTATAATACTATTTTATTAATTGTGGAATATTTTATAAATCTGATTCCATGATTTTTGTAATGTGTTTCGATTTTAGATGCTATTTCCTTTTGTTATTTATAATTAATAATAGGTATTAATTTCATTTATTTTTTATTAAATTTCAATTGAAAAACATACAAATAAAAAATAAAATTGTAATATAAATAAAAAGTAAAGAAATAAAAAAAAAAATATATATATAAATATATATATATATATATATATATATATAATTATAATTAAAATTTATATATATAAAATATTACTTAATCAAATCCTCTCAATATTTTTGAACGTACCATTACACTAACATTATAACCAAAAGAATTCAAAAATCCAGCCGTTTCTAAAGCTACATAAGAAGCACCTACAATAAGTGTTTTATTAGGAGGATTTTCTTATTAAAACAAATCATCAGATGTAATTACATGCTGAGGAGAACCTTCTACATCTAAATATTTTGGCCTTGATCCAACTGCAATAATAATAAATTTAGCTGTAACTTTTTCTATATCTCCATTTTTATATTTTAACTTTTATAAATATTAAATATATTTAAATTTTATTATATTTTTTAAAATTTACAAATTTATAATATATACTTCAATTTTATTTTTTTCAATAATACTTGCAAAAGCATTATAATATTTAACTTCTTAATTTTATAAATCAATTTTATATTACCAGCTTGTATTTTTAATATAATTTTAAATTCTAGATATCAACTTTTTCCATTCATGATTTGATTTTTAATCAACATCACCATATCCCATGTTTACATATTAATTATGTAATTCCCCATTTTAAGCAGCTATATGCATGAATTTTTTAGCAATGCTTCCTACATTTAAATTTGTTCCTTTTGAAATAAAAATATATAAAAATATAAATATTTAAATATTATATATATATATATATTTATATTTATATTTATATATATATTTATATATAATTTTTATAATTATTACCTCCTAATCCCCATTTATTTCCTTATGGAGAAGGATATACAAAATCTGCTATTGCACCTTTTGCACCAAATTAGCATGCTTCTTATGCGAAAGATAGTCCACCACAACCTCCTCCTATTACAAAGAAATCATAATCACATTTATGTGTGTGCATTAATTTGATTGATAGAATGATAATGCTTTGTTTTTAATATTTTTTTTTTTTATAAATATTTTATTTTATTTAAAGATTTTTTATATATATTAATTATTATTTATATTAATTTATGTTGATTTATAATATTAATTAAAAATATCTTTTAAATTTATTAAATTTTATATATTTAATATATTTGAATTAATAAATAAAATTATTCATACGAAAAACAATAATTATTATTCTTAATTGTTACAAATTATATAAATAAAATAGTTTATTTTAAAAATATTTTAAAATTTTAATTTAAATATTTAGCTAATATAATATAAAAATGTAATAAAAATATTTTATTTTTTAATTATTAATTAATATATTATATTCGTTAAATAATTTTAATTAAATTAATATTTATTACAATTATTATAAAAAGTAGAAAATTTTAAATATAAAATTACTAAACAAATAAAAAAATATGATATAATAAAATTATTAAAATTAGTTTTTTTAAAATGCTTAATGTATAAAATAATAAAATCGATTCCCCTTAAATTTTAATTAAAATAACTATTCATTAATACGAAAACAAATCGGAAAGTATATGATATATACATATATATAAATATATATATATATAATATTTAATATATCAAATATAAAAAAAGTAATTAGAATAAAAGAATAATTAATATAAATAATATAAATTATAGTAATTAATTTGATTTTATAAATAAATCAAAGCACCCTTAATGTATATAAAATACAAATATAATAGCCCAAAGATAATATAAAAGTATAAGTTTTTTTTAATAAGCCTTAACATAATAATAGATATAATCTATAATATAATAATAACAAAATAAAATAAAACCATAATAAATAATTTAACCTATTCAACCTATAGTAAATTAATATTATAGGAAATAAATTAATAAAACCTAAAATGATTTATATTAAAAAAATAACTATATATCTATTGTTTAAAATATTAAAACAAATACTCCAGAGAAAACAATAAAAGAAGATAATTAAAATTAATATAAAGAAAAGTATAAATGCTTAAATTAAGAAATTTAAAAATAAATAAGAATTATAGAAACGTCCTAAAGAAAACATAAATTACTATAATATTAATTATATAATTTAAACTCTTTAGATTTTTAATTAACTGAAAATAAATAATAATAGTAAACATAATAAGAATAAAAATAAATAGATTAATATTAATAAGAATAAGAATATTAGTAAGAAATTTAACAAGAATTATAACAAGAATTCTAATAAAATTTTTTAAAAAAATATAAATAATAGTTATAATGCTAGTAAAATATAAAATAAGACAATTATATAAATTAATAATCTTTTTTAGATAATGAGCTTATTACAGTTTAATAAAATAATAATTAAGATGTGGCAAAAATAGAAAAATAATAAGATATTTAATTGGAATAAGATATTTTAGTTGAATAAGAAAATCTTTAAAATGAAACTTCTTAAAATAGTAATATAGAAAATAGCATTGAATAAAAGGTTTTAAATAATTAAAGTGTTATTTACAATAATTAATTATAAGAGGAATAAAATTTCTAAAAATGTGATAATAAATAGATTTAATAAAATAATAAAAGATATTTTAATTTTTCGTAACCTTAATTGTATTAAATTCTAGAAAATAAAAAATAAAAAAAGAAAATCTAAAAAAAATAAACATTTTCAGAAGTCTACTTATAAAATGTTTAAAAAGAAAATAAAAAACAACAAACAAACGGATAAAATAAAATTAAATAAAGAGAAAATTAAATGAAAGCAAAGAATTATATATAAAATATTTTATAATAATAATGATTTATATATATATATATATATATATATATATATATATATATATATAATTAAATATATAAATAAAATATGTATAAATATATATAAAATTAAATATAAATATCTGTTTTTTATATTTAAAAAAATAAAAAATAATTCATCAAGATTCTTATTTTATATTTTTTTAAACTTTTAAAATTTAGTCATATAATTCTAACTCTTTTATATCATTTTCATTTAGAAGTAATTTTAAATCATTATTAAATTTATTATTAACATATTAATGAAATGTTTCTTTATATATTAAATTCTATTAAATTTCTTTAGAGTTTTTAATATTTTTATTATAATTATGTAAAGTTGTTTCTTTATTTTCTTCTTTTTATTAATATTAATATTATCCTATATTATAATAATAATTTTATGACATTGCATTATCTAAAAATATAGTATAAGACTTTATATTATCTTAAAAATTATATATTTATGTAAAGTTAATTTACGAGATCATTTAAGATTATGTATTATTTATAATTTTTGAAATTTATCTCATTTTTTGAGCCGAATTATTTAAAGTTTCTATTTTTTTGGCATATTATATTATTTCTTTATTAATTTTATTATCTAAAAAAAACCATTCAGGCTCGTTTAAAAACTCATCAAAATCAATATATATTTGGTTTAATAAAATTTTCCATACTTAAAAAGTTATCTATATTAAATCTTTATAAAATTACAAATATTAAATAAGGTAAAAGTGAATATTGGTCAATTAAGTTTTTAACTTCAAAACACAAAACATCGTAAAACTTAACGCTATCATAAAAAAAAATATTGGAGTATCTTGAAAAAATTCATAAAAGAAGAACTCATTCCATATATATTTAAATTGAGTAGATAAATTAAGAATTTATACTAAAATATTCAATATTTAAAAAGATAAATAAAATTTAATTTTTAATAATTCAGTTAATTATTATTAAAAGGTAATTATCTATCCTATATATATATATATAATATATATATATATATATATTAATTTATACATATTTTTTTAATTTTATAAATACTTTTATACAAATTTTATATAATTATTAATTATCATATAATTTCTATATATTTTTTTCATAAGTTAGAATTATTTTTTCAAATATTTAATATTCTTATTAATTCATTTATTTATATTTTTCTTCATTTTCGAATTAGGAATTTTATTCCCCATATATTAATTACAAAAGCTATCTTCTATATCTATTATAAATTTATGAATATATTTATATATATTTTTATTGAATATATTATTCATCTTTATTTTTAATTTATTATCTCAATAAATTATAGATTAGACTCCTATATAATTTCTTTAGATTAATTATTCTAATATATAATTGATAAAATTTAGAAAAAATGTTAAGTAGTTACTTTTTATAATTTTTCATTAGTTAAATTACTTTTTTTAATTAATTTTTGTAAGTATTACTTAGATTATTTTTTTAAGGTTTTTTATATTTTCTCTTTGAATAATTAAATCATTTTTTTATTATTATATAATTACTATATAATTATTTAGAAATTGCTAACATTTTAATTACTGTATTTTATTTATAAAAATTGGTATTTTTGTAATTATTATATATATCTTTAATAAATATTTGAAATTAATTATATTTATTAATAATAATAAATTTAAATTTGAATTAAAAGTTATTTTTTTCTAAATATAATCTCAATGCTAAATTTTATTAAAATATTTTTTTATTTTATTTCCCTAATTTTATAATAAATAAAACATAACTTTTTATAATAAATAAAGCATAATTTTTTTTTATTTTTTAAAAGAAAAAATACATTTTATATTTTTTATTTTTTTTAAAAAAAGTATATATATGTTTTCATTTTAATATATATAAAAAAAATAAAAAAACATAAATAAAAAGTATTTAATATATATGTTAAATTTAAATTATATATGAGAATTTTTATATTTACATTATATATAACTATATATTAAAAAAAAAAAAAAAAAAACACAGACTCACAATAATATATTAACTTTATAAATTCATTTTTTTTAAAAAGCTTATATAAAATTTTTGCTTAAAAAATTATTTTTTTAATCATTATAAAACCCTATCTTTTTTTAAGACAAAGGTTTTTCATCTTATTGAAATTATTTTTATTTATAATTAAATTCATTACTACTTTTTCTTTTAATAATTTATCCACTTTTTTTTTATTATTATTACTATTGAATATAAATATTTTAATTATACAAATCAAACTCTGAAATATATTAACTTCTAATTTATTATTCTTAAGGAAATATATTACTATCTTAATCAGAAATTTATGAATATTTTTTTTAATATTATTAATAATTATTAAGTAAATACTAATGATTTTTTTATGTATTATTTTATTTTATTTGATTTATTTTAAGTAATTGACTTGATAGTTATTAAAAATTATTATTTTTTTAAAAATTATTTTATTACATTTATTTTTTATCTTAAGAAACTTTATAAGTAGGTTTTTCTTTAGAATTATTAATACTTTTCGAAAAACTTAATTATTAATTAAACTATTAACTATTTAATTATTATTTATTATTAATAAAATACTTCTATTTTTCATCAAAATTAACACTAATAATATCTCTTTTTTTTCCTTCCTTAAAATCTATTTTTATTTTTTATTAAATAATTTTTTGATATTAATTTTTTACCTTATTAAGAAATATTATTATTATTGTTATTATTATTTTTATTATTATTATTATTATTATTATTATTATTATTATTTTTCCATAAATTTTTTGCATAATAATTAAACAATCCATTTATTTTTTATTCATTAGTAATTTATTTCTGATCTATTTTTCCATTATTTTTTTTACTTTGATTATTATTTATAATTTAATAACTTATAATTTAATTATTTACAGTTTAATTACTTATAGATTAAGTATTATTCAGTTATTATTTATACTGATTTTGTTAATTATTTCTTGGTTATATTTACTCATTTTATTATTAAGTTTAATTTTATAATTAATCTTTATTTTTTTCTGAAATAATTTACTTATTATTTTCATTTTTATCAAAATTAATAATATTATTTATATTTATACTTTCATTTTATTTCTCTTCTAAATCAATTATATATTTATTAATAATGTAATTATCATCACATTAATTAAATTATTCTTATATATTTTATAAATATATATCTTTTTTAAGTTTATCATCTACTTCTATACTAAACTAAGGATTATATACATCATATGAAATTGTTTCAAACGATAAAGTTTTATTTTTTCTAAATCTTTTAAAAAGGAATACTCTTATTAATATGCTTAACAATCTTACTTTTACTCATTTTCAGATGAATCTTGTAAAAAAGATCTTTCTAAATCATTTGATTATTCTTTCTATAACTTATTGTAATGCAAAGAAAAATTTTTATCGTCTTCATTTATCAAATAATTGTTTTATTTAAATGAATTATCACTTTTTTATTCTATTCCGGAAATATTTTCATTAAAAATTTCATCAGACATATTGTTTTCTTCTTCTTCTTCTTATTTTATATTTTATTTGTTATATAGCATTTAATTTTTATTTATATTTTCAGTATATAATTATTTTTCTTTTTTATTTCTTAAATTAATAATTTTATTTTTTTTTAAAAAAAAAATTAATATAAAACAAATAATATAAATATAAAAAAAAAAATTCAACAATTTTTTTTTTTCTTTTTCTTTTCATTTTCATTTATGTAAATACATATTTCTTATAAATTAAAATTTGTTTATATTAATTTAAAAAAGAAAATAATATTATTATTTTACTAAATTTAATATTAAAATAAAAATAATCTTAATATATATAAATTAATATTTAATACATATATAAAATACTTATATTTATACATATATATATATATATTTAATAAACTTTTTTATATTTATTTTATTATTATTTAATTTTTAAACATTTTTATTTTAAAAACAAATAAAACATAATTTTATATAGATTAAAACTATATATGCAAAGTTAAATAATAATATTTTTTGTTTTTTTGTCATATACAAATTTATTTAATTAATTATAAATAAATATGTTGCATAAATTTTTATATTTGCATTAATTTAAAATAATTTCTAAATAAACTTTTAATTACTTTAGTACAAATCAACATATGACATTATATTGTTAGAATGTTCCTTTAGATTATAATGATAATATTTTGGAAGATTATTTAAATAAAAAAGGAATTCCAAAATAAAAAATAATTTCTATAAATATATTAAAAGATAGAATAGGTAAGTATACAGGAAGGGCAATTATAGAATTAAAATCTTAAATAAATATATAAAATAACGACGAAGATAATATAAAAATAAAGTAATTTGGTTTCGAAAATATATAAGATAAGAATTTTAACAAAGTATTTTTATTTAATATACATGAAATATTAGATTAATAAGAACTAATTTCTTTAGCAAAAGATTTTGGGCATTTAAAAGTAATAAAAATGCCTTTAATAAAAGATGGTAGTAAAAATAAAGGCTTTTGTATAATGGAATTCGAAAACGAAAAATAAGCTTATAAATTTAAAAAATTTATTAATGGATAAATATTATTTAATAAATAAATAAGGTATTTTTTTAAAAAATGTTTACATATTTATATAAATTAAATAGAGCTGAATTTCAAAATATATAAATTGAAAAAGAAAAGGAAGAATAGAAACATAAATACTAAATAGAATTAAAAAAAAAACATAAAATTCTTAAATATAATAATTATAAGATAATTCAGATTTATATTTATAAATTTTCGGATAAGAATGAAAGCAAAAATCAAAATATTTTAATAATAAAAAATAATCTATATACATATAATTATTAATTATTAATTTTTAATATGTTTTTATTTTTTATAATAAAAATATTAATATAATATTATTTTAATATTAATATAAATTTTTATACTAACTAATATTTTTGTTAGTATTTACCTTTTTTTTTAACGTATTTTTCAAATAAGAAGTCTATATGTAAAAAACTCTTAAATTTAATAAAAAAAATGCATGTTCTGATATTTCTTATATTAGATTTATTTATTATTTAATATTGAATTAAAAAAATATTATACAGTAAATAAATGCCAATCCTAATCGTATTTTTTTTTTTATCATGTATGTTTAAACTTATTATGATCTTTTGGCAATAAATCATAGAATAAAAACAAGATCAAATTCCGATTTTATATTTTTATGAATTTTTTTAATATATAATAATTTTTTATGAAAATAGATTATTTTAATATATTTTTTTTTTTTTTATGAGTTTTATTCATTTGTAAAAATAATTAATAAATAAATATAAACTTTTACTAACTTTTTATTTATATTTTAATTTTTTTAAAATAAAATATATATATAATTTACGATTATAACAAAAAAAAATACATTTTGTCATTTTTATAAATTATAACTAAAATTTAGATTATATATTATTAATATTATATAATACAAAAAATAGAATTTTATTTTCAAATAATTAAATAAATAGCTCTTAAATATAAATATTATATTAAATCTTTTATTTTAGAAAATAATATATTTAATAAAAAAAAAAATTAGACATAATACTATATCTTATATTATAAAAAAGATAAATTATTAAATATAAAAATATACTATTTTTTTAATTAGATATATAATGAATTAATATTTAATTTTAACATATTTTTATATATTTTTCATATATACTTAAATTAATATTAATTTTATATGTTTAAGTTATTTATAAAAAAAAAGATGTTCTTGTTATTTTTTTCTATTAAATATTTTAAAGAAAAATTATTTTGAAATTTAAAAATTTTAACTGAATATTAAAATAATTTTTTTATTTAAATAAAAAATTTAAAACTAAATATAAAATAATTTTAGATTTATTATTAAAGTTTAAATATATAAACTAATATTTAAATAAATTAAATATATTTTTGATGACATCGAAATTTAAAAATATATTAAATATTTTAGAAAAATTGTGTTCATTTAAATATTTTACTTTTTATATTACAAAAACAATCAATTAAATTCTATTTTTTTTTCGTAACTATAATATATCCTAAAATAGCTAAAATACTAGAACATAACATAATACTTCCCATATTATTTTTAAAAAATCCATCTCTTTCTTTTAAATTTTAAATTTTATTAACCTATAAACCACATATTCTAATTAAAAAATTTATATATATATATATATATATAAAATATAGGATTATATATAATATATAAATCTACGGTTTATCTATTAAATCTTCAAAACAGTTTTTCAAATTTTGCAAAGTATTAGCATTATTTTAATTGCTAAGACTATAAATAATATTTTCTTAAGAAAATTAACTTAAGTATTATTTAATTTCTTTTTCTTAAAAATTTCGAATTTAAATATACATTTTAGTAGAATCTAATATTTATTGATATAATTAAGATTAGTTTTCAAGTAAATATTTCAATTGATCTTTATTTTCAAAAACAATACAAAGGAAATTAACACTAAAAAAAAAATTAAAAAAAAAAAAAAATTAAAAAAAAAAATACATTTTATTAGAATCTTCAAAAAGACTCTAAATATTATTAATATTAACAAAATTTAAAATAAAATATCGACTTTTTTTATTTTTTAATTCATGTTATATTATAATATCAGATAATTAATCTATATTTTATTAATTTTTTATTTATCTAAATATTTCTAACAAACATTATTAATTTCCAACAAAATAAATATTAATAACTTATCTAGTATGCATTTTTATCAATTAGCTATACATATTAGTACTATTAGTGATATTAAAAGCATCGCATAAAGATCCTTAAAAACCAATATAAATTAAAATTTTAAATGTTTATTTATAATCAAAATTAGTTTAGTAAATAAATAATTTTAAAAAATCTTATTCAGTTATTAATTATTATTCATCATATTATTTGTCTATTATATGTAGAAAATTTCTGAAAGGATTTTATTTATATGGATAGAATATTTCATTTAATTTACTTATTTATATAGTTTATTAATTATTTGAAAATCTTTTAAAGCATTTATTTACAATAAAATTTTTTGTTTATAGGCTTAATTCTACTGTTCTTCCACTACCATATTCAATTATTAATCTTTGATTTTTTTAAAAACAAAAATAAATAATAAATACTTCAAAAAAAATACTAATCATTAAAAAACTAATCATTAATTTCTAATTTATCATTATAATTAAAATGTCGTAAAATATACTATAAAATATATATATATATATATATATATATATATATATATATATATATAAATATTTATTTATATTATAATATATAACATGATAAATAAATAATAAATTACCCAACATATTTACATTTTCATTAATTCAACACATTTTTTTTATAAAATATAGAATCCTTCTTGACTTATGAACTAATCAATATAATCACTTTATTAATTTATATAAACTCTATTTTCTTAATATAAAATATCTTTTTTTATTAAATTTTTGATTCCAATTATATCGTTTTCGCTTAAATCGCCTTAAAAAACTTCCATTTAAAATTCTCTTAATTCTTCATTACTCCATTTATTATCTAAATCTTTATCACAAATCCAAAAAATTCTTGTAAGTGCTTATTTAAATGCTTCAGTGATTTATTTTTGACTAATATCATATAAAGGAGATAAAGGATATAATACTGCTCTATGGGCACTATATATTACTTCAGAAATATGTTAAAAAGTAAGAGCTGAACATTCAAATCCCATTTATACCTATTTACATTATTTAATTAATGGAATTATCACTTTCTCAATACGATTATTTTCAGGAATTTATGAGCATATTTCTTAAGCTAAATCACATTTATTACCTATAATTATTATTGGTACATCTTAAGAATGTAAATTTATAAATGGGATCCACTTATTAGATAATGATTGTATTGATTAATTATTTTATAAATCATAAAACAAAAGAATTATTTCAGAAGTTTTTATTTAATTTATTAAATATTGAGATTTCCAATCATCTATAATAGTTAAAATATCTCCTTTTTATTGGAAATAAAAAAAAATTAAAAAAAAAATATTTTTAGTTTATTTTTTTACCATTAGTATCAATTAAAATTGTTGATACTAAATATTAATTTACTTATTAATCTGTAAAAACAACTGGATCTAAAACTGATGATTCCTATAAAAACAAATATTTATAATAATATTTAAATTTATTTATATAAATTATAATATTTATATATATTTATTTAATATTTTTTTTTATTTTATTTATAATTATTTTTTTTATTTATATATCTATTATCATGATATTTTTTTTATAATATTAAAAATATACTAAAACAAATATAAAATAGCCTTGAAATTATTTAATACTTTTTTTTATTTTATTTATCAAGTTTTATAAAGTAAATTAGATATGAAATAAATATTAATTAATTTTTTATTTTATATAAAAAAATTACACTTTCAGGATAATTTTGTTTTGTTAAAGCAGAAATCCATTATGTTTTACCAACTTATTCTAAATTTTAATTTTAATAATAAATTTATTATATTAAAAAAATTGATTTATTTATTTTTATTAAGATATACTATCTCCTAATAATAAAATTTTTATTCTTCTGTTTTTCATTAATATATTTACTTATATAAAATATGATGGAAATAAAATATAATATTTTTAAAAAAAAATATTTTGATTTATAATTTTTTTATTTTTTGAAAAAATAATTATATATATATATATATATAAAATTATTATTTAATTATAAATTAATTATTGATATATATAATTTTTAAATATTTATATATAGTTAAAATATAGTTATTTAAGGTTATTATTTATTAAAAAATGGTAAAAGAAATTAAAAAAATAGTTTAAAAAAAAAAAAATTTAGAATTCATTTCATTATTAATTATTAATTATAAATATTATAATAAAAGCAAAATTATTAAATTAAATATAAATATATATATATATATATATAAATATTTATTATTTTATATAATTATATATATAACTATATATTTTTTTCTATAATATTTTTATATAAATATAATAATATTTTATAAAATATTATTATATAATATTTTTTATATTCTTTCATATCTTTTAATTTAAAATTTACCATACAAATTTATTTTTAATCTAATTTATTATATATTAAAATTAAATATATAACAACTAATTTAATATATATCATTTATTATTTTTATAAATTTAATCTATATAAGGTAATTTAATACTTAATTTTTTTTATTATAAGTTTTTTTTTAAACTAATTTGTCCAGTTTTAAGATTTTATAATCTTTCTTTTATTATATTTTAATTATTTTAAAAATAATTTTTTAATATATTTTTTTTTTAATTTATTTTATTTTAGTCTATTAATTAAGAACTAATATCTTTTTTACATGTTTATGATATATTTTTTCTAGTTCTATTAAAATTTTATTAATAAATATCCGTATAATTATTCTTATTTTAATTTTCTTTAGAATGTGACTTGTATTGATTTATTTGTTTACTTTTTTCTATATAATAATTGTTTTAAAAGAAAACTAATTTACTACTAGAAAGTTAATAGCTTTTATTTATTTGCTATCTATTATATAGATTTTAATTGTAAATACAATTCTATGTTTAAGATTTCTATTATCTATTTGATTCAACTCCTAATTTTTAATTTCTTTGTTGTTTTTTTTTGTTAAATAAATTATAAATTTTTATTATTTTACAATAGATTTTCTAAATTACTATTTAAACATTAAGTTTCTTTTAAGCTATTTTTTTATACATTATTTTAATTAATTATTAATACATTTTCATTATTCTTTTATATATTTTAGTCACTCATTTAAATGTTCTCATTATTTTTTTAATCAATTTTATTATTTAAATTAATTATTTAAGAACATTATGTTTAGTATTTTATTAACTTTTGCTATTGTTTTTAAATAATTTCTTTTATTTTTATTTATTCAAGTTAATTATAACTTATTGAATTGGCTTTTTATATTTTAACAGTTTTTGACCTTTTAAATTAATCATTTTTAACTATTTTAGTTATATTTTTAAATAATAGAATTTTTTTTTTTTAATATTAACAAAAATTAACAACTATATTTTTTTACTTTTTTATATATCTATTACAGTTAATGCATGCTTCTTGTTTTCTTAATTCATAAATGTATATTAATTTGGAAATTTGCAAGCTATGTAATCCAAATATTAAATTCTTTTATTTTAAAATCCGAAAATTTAACCTTATGCACTTTTTCTTCTAATTTAACATTTATTGATTTGCATTTTGCTAAGTTCTTGGTTATTAATAGAAAGACTTCTATCTTTTAATGTTTGAATTCTTTTAAGATCTTAATGACTTTAACTTTAGTTCGAAAATTTTTCACTCTTATTCATAGCTACAACATATTAATTATATTATTAATATAAATAATAATTTTATTTCATATTTATTAAATTTTTATATATATAATTTAATGATTATAAATATTAATTTAATTTTTACTTTTTTATAATAAGAAAATTAAATTCTTTAAAAATATATATATAAAAATCTATAATATTATTAAATATTTTTAAATTTGATAATTTTTTTTATATAAAATAATAAATCGAAAAATATCTATTTATTAATAATATTTTAAAAAATAAAATAAATGATAATTTCTTAAAAAAACAAAAAAATATATATAAATATTTTTTTAAATAAAAATATTATTTAATATTTTAATTTAATATTTATAATAAACTATATATTTTTTTATTTATATATCCCATTAAATCTAAAATGCAAAAAATAATATTAGTTAAAAAAATGTTTAAAAAAAAATTTAAATATATATATATATATATATATATATATATATATATTTATATATTTATATAATTATTAAAAACATAAATTTAATAAAAATTTTTTTAATAAAATAATAATAAAGGTAATTTATATATAAAATAATAAAAAATTACTCAATAACCTTATTTTTAAATTTTTATTTAGTAATAAAATATCCAAAGTTAAAAGCATATTTCATTATTTATCATACCAATTAGACTATGATTCAATTATTGGTTAGAAAGGCTAATAAATACTATTACATTATTAATTATTATTATTATTTTAGTTACCAAAGTAAAACATGCTATTTTAGTATTATTATTACTATTATAATTATTATTATTATTAAACCTATTATAATTTTTATTAAATATGTTAATTTTTGTCTATTTATTAACTTTATTATTAAATTTATTATTACTATTGAAATTAATACTATTTGTTTTTATCTCCTCCGTATTAAGATTAATTAATAATTTAATTTTAATTTTAAAGTTTCGAATAAGAAGGTATTTAATATTCCATAAATTATTGATCGTTATTTTCTGTAATCTATTAGTGAACATTTAAATTCTAAAGCTTAAATTATTATTATTAAGCTTAAATTATGTTATAAATATTATTATTTGGTAAATCATATAAGTTTGAATTATTACTCTATTATTATTCAGGAATATTATTTAAATATTTTTAATTAGTCATGATTTATTAATTTTCTAATATAAATTAGTCGTTATTATTATTAATATTTTGAATTTAATTATATTTTTTATATAAATCTTTTTTTTTAATATATTGGCATTATTAACAATATTTTAATAGTTGGTGCATTATTCTTAATTTATCATATTATTTTATTAATCATGAATTTATTATTTTTAAATTTAATCATTATTGACAATAGGGAAATTACTATTTTACATATAATCATCTTAATTATATATTTACTCATTTAAGGGTACTTATTAAAAGTTGAAATTATTATCTTGTTATTTATTAAATTATTAATTTTAAAAATTATATGTATTAAATAAATTAGTTTAAGTATTATTTTAAAAATTTTAAAAATTAATTTAATTGTTTAAATTTTTTTAGGGGATATTATTATTTGGTTACAGTTATTATAATTATTATATTTACTATTATTATTATTATTATTATTATTATTATTATTATTATTATTATTATTATTATTATTATTATTATTATATTTATATATTCGGTTCTTTTTATTTTTCTTATTTTTTAGCTTACTTTTTATTATTATTTACATTATTACTAATATTAGTATTAGCTGTATTATTATTTAAATTAATCTTACTATTATTTAAATTGATTTATTTATTATTTTATGTTTCCTAATTTATAAAATACTAATTAGTTATATTTTATTCTGAAATAACGTTTATTTAATTATTTTATTACAATATTATTTCACTTTATTAAACAGGTTCTTTAATAAATTATTTATATTCAAAATTTTGAGATTAATTATTTTATTTTATTTTTTTTTTAGGATTTTAAATCGTTTAATATCTCTTCTATGAATTATCATCGTCACTTAAAATATTAGTTATTTAATTATTATTACCTGTATTGCTACAGCTTATTCTCAAAGCATCTTATTATTCTAAAACTTCCTTATAAAACTAATAATTTTCAATATAAACTTATTTAATTTGTTCAATATTTGTTAATTTTATAAAATTGTTTGGAATTTAATCTGAGTTCATCATAACTTCTAAAACATCACCTTTAATAGGATCTATAAATTCATTAATCTCTTTTTTATATTATTATTATTTATGTATATTTTTAATTAATAAATATATATTTTTACTTTTTTTAAATTATGATCTTCTTAATCAAATTCGTTTTCAATAACTAAAATTATTGGTTTATTTTCAATATTCTTATGAATTTAAACACTTCTTGATTTATTATATACTTCAATTAAAGTAGAAAGTAAACTTTAAAGGAAAATTTTTGGGTACTATTTTTGTTTTTTTTTTTTATATATTATTATATATTACATTATTATAAGGAATAAAATTTGTATTGTAATATAATTTCACACATGAAGTAAATTTAATTGCCAAAAATAAAGGATGTTTTACTTTGTTTCTTATATTTGGTGCAGTAAAAAAATAGTATTAACCCTTTCAAACTATTATCTATATCTTTATCTTAAGCTCCTACTTTCTTTTTACTTTCTCTTTTAACATATTTCTTTTCAATACATTCAGGTAAAAATAAATCTAAAAAAGTAATAATTTTTTTTCCTATTAAAATATATATATATATAAAATATATATATATATATATATATTTATATATTTATTTATTTATATATATATAATAATTTTTTACTTTTTGTCCTTATGTATCTCTAGCTGATCTCCTTGAATCAACAAATATAGGTGGAGATATTTTAGATTCCAATATTTTTGGATGTTCAAATTTATTTTAATGCAAATAAACTACGATTACTAAATGAAATTTTGATCCCTTAAATAAAAAATCAAAATTAAAATATAAAAAAACTTTTTAAATAAATTAAAAAATATATAATAAAATATATTTCTAAAAAAATATATATTTATGTTTTTTCACTATTTATTTATAAAATATATCTTATTTTTATTTTTAAGTTAAGCTTATATTTTAAATTAATTATTAATTAATTAATTATTTATTTAAATTCTTTAATTTTTTTTTTTTGTGTTTTTTTTTACTTCATGATTATAAGAAGTTGTATTAAATTTTATTCCTGAAAAAACACAATTAGAATTATCGAAATCACATATATATCTTGCATTTCCTACATCGACTAAATGAAATGTGTGTATTTAATTTAAAATTGCCTTGACTATGTATAATTCAGCCTTTTTTATTTTAAAAATAATAAAAAACTAATATTTATAATATAATAAAAAAAATTATAATTAAGTCATGCATATATTTTAGAAGGCGGTTATAATTTGTCTCCATTAGTTGGATCTTTTATCTAATTTTTTTTTTATAAATTACTATATTAAAATAAACTGTTTTTTTACATCTAAAGTACAATTTATATCAGGAATATTCCATGATTTATGCCAATTCCATCCAAGTTCTTAATTAAATAAGAAATGCCTTTAATTTCTGATAATTAAGTCAAGTTTTGGTTAAACATTTTACTTTTTATATGATTTTATATTATTTTTTGTTTTTTTTTTTACTTCAGACGGTAAAGTTAATATTATAGAAGGGGATAAATTCCATGTTATTTCCGACTCTTAAGTTATTTTTTTTATATCATATACGCAAGGAATCCACTCCCAATTTTTTTCATGCTCATATATAAATTCTTTATTTTTATTATATGATAAATCGCATTCATTATTGTCATTTTATTCTGAAATATCACTCATTTTTAATGTTATAATTGTTAAATTTATATATATATATATTTTTTTTTAATATTTATATATTATTTTATTTTTATATATATTTTTTTAATTAATTTCTAAAAAAATGGGAAGATATCTAAACTTGTTTAAAAAAATAAAAAAAATAATAGAAATTGATAAATAATTAATAATATTATTAATAAATTAATTAAATATTTTATTTTTATAATTAAAAACTTGTATTTTTAAAGTTTTTTTGTATTTTTTTTATCTAAATATATTTAAATAGATAATTTTTATTTTTCTATTTTTTTTGTTAATATTTTTCTTTAATATTTATTTTTTTAATATATTATCGATTCTTTTCTTTTAATAATTTTTTTTTTTCTATATATTAAATTATTATCATTTATTTTTATGATAGTACGTATTTATCGTAAAAAAAATAAAAAATTATTATATTAAATTTTATTAATTAATTTAAAAATAAAAATTTATATACTAGATAATTTTAATTTATTATTTATTTTAATAATCTAATTTTTACTTAATTATTTATTTATATTAAATAAATATTAATTTCTTTTTATTTTATATATTTCATATTAATATATTTATATTAGTTATATTATTTATTCATATAAAATGTAATTTTATATATATATAACATCCTATTCATATAAAATGTAATATCTTTTGTAAAAAATATTAAATATCTTTATTTACTTTATTTATATATATTTTTTATCATAGTTCTAATTTATTAAATAATATAAATTTTTAAATTATCGTACATTTTTATTTACTATTTAATATAAATTAACAATTTATAATAAATTATAAAATCAAAAAATATTTTATCAATAAAATTGATTTAAATATTTTTTTTTTTTTTAATTTTTTTTTTAATTGTGTATATTTTATTAAAAATACTCATTTTTTAAAAAAAAAATAGCATTAAAAAATATTTTAATTTTAAGTGATATAATTTTTCTTCTTAAAATAAAAAAATAAAAAATTTTACTAAATATAAAATTAATAATATATATATTTTATATATTTAAAAAAAAAAATATTATTAATAATTAATGTTATTTCTTTTTTACATAAAAATAATTTATATTTTATGATTTTTTAAATATATTTAAAGTTTCTAAAAAATAAATTACTATAAAATAACTTTATATATTAATATATAAATTAAATTATATTTTATTTATTTTATTTATTTTTAAATAATGTAATTCTTAATTTATTTAAATTATAAATTTATATTTATTGCAGCTATATATAAATTTTATATTTTTTTTTTTTAAAGAATTCATTTAAACTTATTTTTTATTATTCATAATTTAAATATTTTTTAAATTCAATTGAATTTATAAATATAAATAATTAATTTATCTTTAATTAAAAAAATATTTTTTTAAATAATTAAAATTTTATCGGTTTAAAATTAATAAATTTTTTAAATTAAAATATAATTAATTTTTTTGTTTAATTTAAAATTTTAAACATTATATAAATAAAATTAATTTTTATTAAAATTTTATTAAAATAAGTAAATATATCATATAAGCTATATATAATAAATATAACTTCAATAAACATATATAAAAATATGAAATAAATTAATTTTATCGATTTTAAAATTAAAAAAAAATTAAACCAAACTTTAAGATTTATAATAAATTTAATAATATTATATATTTATTTTTTTATTTTATTTTTATTAAAATTTATAATAATTCATATAAATAAAAATGCCTATTTTTATTTTGATTTAAATAAAATATTTAAATCTATTATATTTAAATATTTTTTTTAAACTAAATTAATTTTAAATATAAATTTTAAATTCATATTATAAAAAATTATTTAATTTTATATTTATAATCTTATTATTTTAATAATTCTATTTATTTATAATTCATCATTTAGTTTTTTTTTGTTATTTTAAAACATGATCATAGAAAAAGTCCAGAATTAATAGATAATATCTTTTTTTATCTTTAATTATTAAAAAATTAAAAAATTACATATACAATTAATATTTATTTTTATTTAAAATAGCCTTATTTAATTTTTTAATATATAACATATTTAATAATTTAATGCTTAAAATTATAAAAAAATACAAATTAAAAAATACATATATATTAAATTAGTAAAACATTAAACAAATAAATTTGTATTAAAAAAAATATATCATATAGCCTTTTATAATTCTGAAATTTTTTTGTATTACTATTATGTACTTTCGTTTAAGTTTTATAAGTAAACATGTGGTTTTTATTAAATATCATATTAGAAATTTCTTAGTGTTTTAAATATACAAACGAAATAAATAATATCAAGGAAGTGCATTGGATATCTTAAATTATAAAGCCAAAAAGGCATAAATAATTCATTAACCATTCTAGTCTCAATTAAAAGTAAAGAAATATCTGCACATACATTGCCACTAACTACATAAGGCGAATATGATTCATAAAAAGAAAGAGTAGTGAAAAACAAAAACAAAGGTATTAGTAAACTAAAATATAAATTTCCTTATTATGGTATCATTTTATTTTTTTATTTTATATCAAAATATCTAATAACCTATAACCCTAAATAAATTCCACAAATAAAAGTATTTTTAAGGTTTGTATAATCAATACTTTTTTTAATATATTCCAAAAATTAAACTTCTTAATAATCAAACCAAATAGATTAATAAAAATAATAAAATTAAGGAATAGTCATAAACATGAAAATCCCTCCGAAAATTCTAGGCGTGTATTTTTATATGTTTTCTTGCATTTGTAATACGCGATCTCTTGCTACTTTATTAAAACTCATTTATTGATTGTATGTTTTTCCTTGTTCTGTCTTTTATTATGGCTTTTAAAATACTTATTATCTAGATCTTATTTTTTATTAGAATAATTAAAATCTTGCGAAAAATCTCATTTTATATATTATTTGTCTTTTTATTTATTTTTTTATTAAAATATATTTTTTATTTTGATTTATTTAACAAAAAAAATAAAAATATAATAAGATATTTTCTATTTAAATTTATTTAGAATTTTTTATTTATTTATAAATTATAAATTTTTATATTATATCTATTAAATAAACATTATGTAAATATATATAAATATATATATATATATATATATATTATCATTGCTATTATTATTATTTCTATTAAAACTATTCCAATTCGGTTTACAATTATTCATTTTATTAATTCTATTCTTTTAATTAAAGCCTAATTGTAGAATAGTTATCAATATTTTGGATATGCTTTTCTTTTAACTTTTCAGTTTCATCATTAAGTTTTCTAATTTAATCTTTATATTCATCAATTTTTTTTTTACTTATTAAATTTATTCCTTATTATAATCTTATAATTTATATGAACTAATACTATCTTCTTACTTTGATAACTCTTTTAAATTTATTGCTATAGCATTTAAATCCCAGGATTTAATTTCTAATTATTTTAATTTATTATTGCATGCTTAAATTTTTTCCCTCAGACTTTAATATTCTTCAAGTAAACTTCTTGAAAAATTAATATCAGTTGGCTATAAATCTTTTATAAAATAAATAAATATATATATTTATGTTTAAAAAAGCTTATTTTTTTTTACATTTTTTTTATTTATAATATTCTAATGTTAATTTACTATGTTCAATATTTTTTTATAATTCTTATATTTATTTATTTTTAAAATGTATTTTTTATAAAGTTTTTTTCTCTTTTAATTATGCATCTTTAAATTCTTATTCCTATTATTAAAATCTTTCTTATTTTAATTTCTCTGTTTAGATATTTTAATTATTTTAATTTTTATTTTCATACCTTCATTTATTTGATATGATTCTTCTTTATTTTATTATTCTAATACTGTTAATTATTATTTTTATTATGGATTTTCTTCTTCTATTATATTTGCTTGATTTTATTATATGACTGGTTACTGTTATTATGAAACCTGTCTTATAATATTATTACTAGAGCTTTCTTCGTTAATGCTATGATAATTATGTAAAAGCATTTTTAGATTCGAAACAAAAAAAATTAAATTAATTTTATAAAATATTATATTTAATTAGTCTAATTTAAAAAATATAAAAAACGAAAATAAAAAAAAATTAATTTATAAAAAAATAATAAATATAAAAAGTAAATAATCATTTATTATTATCAAATGGACTTTATAAATTATTACAATATTTAAATTTTTCTAACATTTTTTCAGTATATCTAAACCATGTATCATAAGGTAATTATTCTTAATTTGGCCCTTTGTACTTTTTTTTTAAAAAAAAAAATATTAATATATATATATATAAAATTAAATATCACCCTAACTAATATTCTTGCACAGCTTAAAGCGAGCTAATCTTTTATATTATCATTAATTTTATAATTATCAAGTTAAACTCTACATGCTTTTATCTACGAACAAGTATAATCTTCATCAATTAACAAATTTTTCTTTTCAATATTTTTAACATAAGCCATAGATAATTCTCTATCCAAATTTTCCTTGACTTCCACAAAGTTTTTCATTAAATTTTAACAAAGGATAATTTGATTATTTTCTTGGTCAAAATCAGAAGGAAAATAACGATTTGGATAATCTTTACGATTTAAATAATAATGTCCTCTACTACAATTGCTTTTTATAATAATATCAGGAAAAGGTGATTTATTATGTAAATATTAATTAATCATTTTTTTATATACATCTCTTTTTAATGTTGCTTTTATAAATTAAGTTATTTCTTCATCTTTTAATTAATATTTTAAATCTTAATAGAATAATTTTAATTGCTTTGATACGACTAAAACTGGGTCAGATCTTTCTGGATCATAATATCTTGGCATTTATATTGATTATTAATAAAATAATGTATATATAAAAAAAATATTAATAAAAAAAAAATATATATAAATATATATATATATATATAATATATATATATATATATATATATATATATAAATATAAATATCATTTTTTTATTAAATATTCATAAATTTTATATATTTTAATATATTAATTTTTTTTTCTTGTTTAACGTTAAATTAATAAAAATATATTCAAACAACATAACTTTTAAACAAAATAATAGATTTTTTATAATTAGGATCAGCTTCAAGGAGCAATTAAATATTTTTCACAGTTATTTTTTTTCTTTAAATATTAGTAGTACCTAAATTAATACTTTAATAAACTGAATCTTATTTAATTTCTTTTTTCTCATTTGAAACTTTGTAACATTTTTTTAAATTTGCTTCTAATTCTTCATATGCATTTGGTCCTTTTCTTTATTTTTTTTTGGCCATATTTTCAACTAAATCACTCGGAAAAAGTTTTTGAGTATTTAAAAAATGCAAACATTATTTTTCCTAATCATCATCCAAATTATCGATAAGATTTCTTTTATAAAATTTATTTTCAGATTAAATTGCATAATATTTTAATCTATTTTCTTAATTATATTTTGTTTAATATTTCTCTACACTTTAACCTTTAAATGGGATTAAATGCGAGTCTAATTATTTAGAACAAAAAAGCCTGAATTCATTATCAATGTTTTCGACAACACTACTTTATAATAATTTCTATATTAGCTATCCGATATATTATTTGAAAATTTCATTTATTTAAATCATTAAAAGATACTAATCTTAAACTTAGATATCTTTTTATTAACAAAAAATCTTAATTTTTTCTTCTAAAGGTTTTTCATTTAAAAAAGAAATTTAATTAACAAATAACTATTATAATTAATTTTATTTAATTGTTTTAGCTTATTATTATGGAATACTTATTTATGATGTTAAAATAGTTTTTGGTATTTATTATTATATTTAAGACTATTATTATTATTATTATTATTATTATTATTATTATTATTATTATTATTATTTTTATTATTTTTATTATTTTTATTATTATTATTATATTTGCTATTGTTATTATTGTTGTGGTTTTTCGTTTTAATTTTATTGCTATATTTTTTATTTTGTTTTTTTTTCCTATTATAATTTTTGTTTTTCAATTTTTTCTTATTCCTTTTTTTACTCTTAATCTTATTATCTTTATTATTCGTTTTCTTTTATTTATTATTGTTATTCTATTTATTATTACTAAATATAATTTTTTTAATTTGGAATATTTTATTAATCAATTTTTTTTTATACTGGAGGGCATATAATCCTCATTTCTTGATCATTTAGCATTAATATTTCATCTTCGAATTCTTCAAATGTTTTTGATTAATTTTTTATATCTGTTAATTTTTATATTAATTGTGCTTTATCTTATTAAGAAATAATAATATTTTCTTTTACGCTATTTATATATTATTAAAATGTCTATAAAATTTTATTTAAATCCATTTTTTAATTATTATATATTAGATTTTTTTTTTTTATAATTTTATAAAATAAATGAATTTTTTATTTATTAATATTTTTGATTTTTTAAATACTAAAAAAAAAAAAATTTTTTTTTTTTTTTTTTCATATTTTAATATTATATATATATATATTAATTATTAAAATGTAAAAATACAAAAAATTAAATCATTAATCTAGTTTTCTTTTTTTTCTCATCTTAATTTACTCTTATAAAATCTTTGACGAAGTTTTCGGATTAAAACTCTTATTAGTAGGATCTATAGCGTATTATTTTTATTCAAAAACAGCTTTAAATCTTGGATCTTTAAGATTAACTTGAATATCTTAATTTTTTTCGTTTTCATCTACTAAAAGTTCTAATTAAGCTTTTTATTTTTTAATTTCTTCTTAATTTAATATATTCTCTTTTTAAAATTTATTATTGTTTTTATTATTATTATTTTCATTAATTCTATCTTCCATCATTTAAGTTTTCCTTTTATTTTATTTTTCTTTTCTTTTCCTTTCTTTAGTTTCGAAAATGTTTTCATTTTCCTTTAATTTTTTATCCTGAATTTTCCCCATTAAATCTTCAAAACCTTAATTAAATTTAATTTCTATTTAATTTTTCTCTTTTTTTTCTTTTTTCAGTCTTTTTAAATCCTCTTCCTATTCTAAAATTTATCTCTCTAATTCTTCGATTTCTCCTAAATTATTATTTTATATTGTTTTTTCTTTTTCTATATTATCCCATTCTTCGTCTTCATTTTCATTCCCAACATATTTTGACCAATCTATTTTATCTAAATCTTTCGCTTTTTTTCCTTCCAAGAATTTAAATCTATCCAAAACCGGTTAATCCCAAGTTAAATTAACATTAGTATGTCCAATACTTTTACATATAATATTCTTTACTTCCGCATCTCCGGGAATTTATTCACATATATCAATTGGTTCGTAAGGAAAAATAGTATTTTCGGGCACAAACCTTAAATCAATTGGAATATTTGATAATTCGAATTCTTAACCATCACATTCTTCGTAGATTCTTTCTGCTGTTTTTATACTATCGCATTCTATGACTGCATAATAATATCTCATTCTCTATTTTTCGTATTCCCTTAATTTTACAGGGTCCAAATCACAGTCTTCGTCTATAACATTAGCTATCACATTATGGTTATAAACATCAATTTTTTTACTTTATTTTTTTCATTTTTTTAAACAATTGAAACATTTTTTTCCTCTTTCCAAATATTTTAAGGCCCTTTTTAATTTTCTTCTTCTAATTTTTATTTTCCGAAATCAGAAATATATAAAGAAACTCGATTAATAACACCATCGGTTCCTTTAAATGAATTAAATAATAAAATTAAATCTTAAACTTTAATATTCATCCAATCGTAGTTTACTAAAGCAAGTTTACTACTTGATTATTCCGATAATGGAACATTCTCTTTTTAAATTCCATAATGAAACTCAGGTTCATCTGTTAAATCTTCGTTTATTTCTTCTAATTCTTCAGAATCAGTAGAACTTACTTTTGACCATTAAAAACTTTAATCAGATTATTATGATTCATCTATAGTTGTTTAAATATATATATATATTTTAAAATAAAATAAAAATAAAACCATATTCTTATTATTATTATTTTTTTAGGTTCTTTTTTTAATTTTTTTATTAGTTTTATTTATCATCATCTGATTAATAATAAAAATCTTAAAGTTCCTTATTTATTTTGTCATCTGTTTTTATTTCGCGACCATATTTATCAGTTTTAGAGACTATTTTAAATTTCTTATCTGTAAGCATAGATGAAAAACGATTGTCTATTTTTACTTTTCTGTCTTTTTTAGACATCATTTAAAATTTTGGGTCATATTTTATTTTATCAAAACGGTTATCGTTTTTGCTCATTTTTTTTTTATATATTTTAATTTTGTATATATAAATTTATATTATATTTTTATATTTTTTATTGAATTTTATACTTTATTAATGTATTTTTTGTTATTTTAATTATTTTATATATTATCAAATTATTTTAAATAATTTATAATTAATAAATATTTTTAATAAAAAATTAAAAAATAATTATTTTCAATTAATCTTTAATAAATTAGCATATTAAATTTATAGTAGATAATTAATTTTAAAATATTTATTTATAATATATAAAAATAATATTTATAAAATGTTTTGAATGTTCAGAAACCAAAATAATTAATATTAATCATAAAATAAAATATATAGGTTATAAATAAAATAATTAACAAAACAAAAATCTTTTTTGGAATAAATTCTACTTTTTTTTTTTAAATAAATTTAATAATTTAATAAAATTTAAACAAAAAAATATTGAAAAAAAAACCTTATAAAATAACAACAATATTTTATTTTTAACAGTAAAAAAAATAAAAAAACTAATAAATATTAAAGTAATAATAATAATAGATTAAAAAAAAGTTATATTTATATATCCAATATACATAAAATAAATATTGTATTAAGAAATAATATATATATATATATATATATATATATATATATATATATATATATATATATATATTACTTTTATTTATTTTATTTTTTATTATTTGTAATATATATTAATAAAAAGAATTAATCAATACTGATTTCAATATATATATATAAACAAAAAATATATCAGAAATTCTTTATTCTTAATTATTACAAAAAAAATTATAACTATATATAAATTTTTCATATTTTTATAAAAATAAAAATAATTAATTAATATTAGAATAAACCTAAATTATAATTAAATGAATAAAAAAACTATTAAAAATTTTAATAATTAACAACCTTTTGGAATGCATTTTTAGCAACCGAATTTCCATCAAGCATAAGAAGGTATAGGGAATTTAAATGCTTTTTACAATAATGAATAATTGTTTGGTTTAAGTCCAGTTTAACAATAAAATATCCCTTAAAAAGCATAAAATCCTTAAAAACAATCTTCGAATAAAATAAAATCTTAAGCATAAAAACCTTTAATTGTAAAAAACTAATAAACTACTCAATAAATAAAATAACCTGTAATACAAGCATAATAATAAACCTATAATATCATACAAAATCAACCTATTAATAATTAAAAATTTGTTAAAAACCCAATATAAAACAATAATTTATTCACATTTAAAGTATTCGAAAACGAGAACTAAAAACTTTTAGATTAAAATAAATTATTGTATTAAAAACAACCCAAAGAATTCTAATCAAAATATCCTTTTAATTCTTAAGAAAATTAATAATTTTGGTCAATAATATTAAATTCAAGTTAATAAAAAATTACTTATATACATTATATTTATTTTTTTAAACAAAAATATTAGTATAATGCCCAATTAACGTATTTTTTAACTTCACTAAATAAAAATTAAATGAATACGAAAACACATTCAATTAAATTCCCGAAAATTAAAAATTCACAGATCCATAATTTAAGCCTTCTATAGAAGTCTTAAATAATAAACCTGGTCAATTTTAATTTAAGCGAGCTTCTGAAATATACGAATAATTTGACATTTTCGATTTAAGTATTGAACCTAATTAAATTCAATAAGGAATTCTAGGAGATTGCTATTTGATTTCTTCTATAATATCGTTATCTGAAAAACCTGAAATGTGCATAAAATTATTCATAAATAAAAATAAAAATAATAAAGCAATATATGGACTTTGGATTTGTGAAAGTGGAGAATGGACTTAAATAATTATCGATGATTTTCTAGTCTGTTAAAATAATTCTCCATGTTTCGCAAAATCCATCAGGAATGGAATCTGGGTACAATTATTAGAAAAAGCCTACGCTAAATGTTATGGAGGATATTAAAAAATAGAAGTAGGATATTCTTGTGATAGTTTAAAGGATTTAACAGGTTGTCCAACTGAATATATAGACATTAAAAACTAAAAATTTGAAAATGCCTTTATTTAGATGAAAAATGTACTCAAAAAGGGCTTTATTTTAACTGTTAGTTCGAAAATAGAAGCTTAGGATTTAATTTCAAAGCATTCTTATACTATTTTTGATTTAAAGGAAGTATTGAATAAATAAGGGAAAATGGTTAAAATGTTGAAAATAAAAAATCCTTTAGGGTTTGGGTTTTAATAGAATAATACATAATAAAATGATGAAATTTTAGAGTAGAATCTAGGAGAACCAACTAATTAAAAAAATGGGATTTGGTGGATGTCTGAAAAAGACTTTTTGGGTAATTTCGAAGTAGTTACTTCTTGTAAAATACATGAAGGATATTGTTATAGTTCATTTAAAGTTTAGAATAAAAGCTTTGAGTTTATTAGAATTATTAATATAAAAGAAGGTAATCATTGTTACTTTTCGATACACTAAAAACACGAAAAGTACTTTAAATAAGATTTAAAAGATAATAATTATTATTATAAAACGGCAAAAATTATAGTCTGTGAAATTTCAAATGGAAAAATTATAGATGTAAAAGGAGGTTCCTTTTCTAATAAATAGAGTACTTTTTTTGAATTCGAAAATATGAAAAAAGGAGACTTTTTAGTATTTGTAGAAGTTGATAAAATATAAGGAGATTTCGTATTTTCTTAATATTGTTAATTTCCAGTTTCTGTTTAGAATGATTTTTAGTTAAATGTGAGTGCTGGAAATCTTATTTAAATAATTTTTTAGGAATACATTAGTAAAATTAATAGTAGCTAAGAGTGGAATAGTGTAATTTATGATGAAAAAAATGGAAATGGAAAAGTTATTAGAGATTTCGGAAGTTTATTTGGATTTTCTTTTATTAGTTATAGAAATTAAAGCTCTTAAATTTTTAACGAAGATATTAATATTATAAGTAACGAAAATATAGATTTATATGATTTTGATAAAAAAAACTAATAAAACAAAAAGCTAGTTAAACTTAATCCTAATGAATAATAAGTTGTGTTATTTAGAATTTTAGAAAAAAATAATTGCTCACATGCTTTAAAGTTTAAAGGTACATATTGGTTTGGAAACTCAAATAATGTTATTAAACCAGTAATTAAAGGCTAAAGTAATGTCAAATAAATAAGTTAATAAAAACGATGAAATACAGATTATATGTATAAATAACTATTTTTTATTTTATTATTCGCACTAAAAATTAATTACACGAAAATTTTATGTTTTAATTATTTTTATATATAGGTATATATATAGTAACAAAAATACAAAATATTATCTTTCTCTAAATATATATATAGATATTATCAAATATACTTATTTTTTATTAGTTATTTAAATAAATAAAAATTTAAAATAATGAATATTTTGCTCAAAAATCTAAAATATAATTCGCGTTTAAGTAATTTATAAAGTAGAGTAAAAACGTCAAAGCAAATAATCAATATAACTAGAATACCCTTTAAGAAGCTGTGAAAAAATATTGCTCTTTTCTAAAGAACGGCTCTAATCTATAAAGAAAGAATTCTAAGTATTGAAACAAAAAATAATACTTATTATTAAAGATAAAGTAATTTCCAAAACTATGAATATTAAAAAGCTAATTAACATTAATTTTTTGTTTATAAATAATGCAATATATGAAAAATATAAATTATAAAAATAGTGAAGTAAAATAATTTAAATATGAAAGACTTAAAAATAGTTAATTTGACTGTAAAAATTATATATTATAAAATTTAGTTAAAAGAAATTTAAGATTTGATAAAAATTATTTTAGTTAACAAAATATTTTTCTGTATTAACAAAAATAGACCAGGATTTTTAGTTGGTTGGCAAAATTATAACATGAAATACAATGTGAATAGACGAGAACTTTTAGCAGATCAAATATTCATTCTTATAAAAATAACAATTTATATGAAGGAAACTATATATTTATATTTTATTGAAAAAAAATATGATATCAAAATTAATTTAAATATTCTTTAAACCAAAGTTTAACAAATAAAGCTGCTTTAGGAATAAAATTTCGCAATTTTGCAATGTAATGATACAAAACAGAAAGCTAATTTTGTAAAAAATTATGTATAAAGTGATAATCTAAATATTTAGCATCTCACATCTTATACAAAAGAAAAGTTAATTTTATTTAACTTGGGTAGGCTTGGATAAAGTAAGTAATATGTTATAAAAAATATATTTAAACCAAAGAAATAAATATATTTGAAAATAATTATCTAATAAAGAATTAAATTATTATATTAATAAAATTTAAAATAAAAATATTAATACATTAATGATAAAAATAATCAATAATAATATTTAAAATAATTGTCATGCTTATGTGTATTTAATAATTAAATTTTAATTACATTTTTCTGACAACTATTTTAGAGACTATATATTATATATTAGGGTTTAAATTAATATATGATATTTTTTAAAAACATAGAAATAATTTTAACGAGTTAGGTTTTATTTCTATTTTAATATATAATATAAATGTGTTTTTATTTTTTTATTTTTACTATAAATTATATTAATTAAACTTATTATAAAATTTAATTATTTTTGAAAAATAAAAAAATAATTTTATATATTATAAAAATAAATAAAATTATATATATTAATATTGTAAATTGAAATTATTATATTTATTATTATGAAATATATAAAAATAAAAATATAATTAATATTTAATAAATTAAATAAATCAATTTTATAAAATTAATTTTTATTAAATAATAAAAAAATTATTTATAATAATTTTTATAAAAAATATTAAATATATTATTTATAATTAAAAATTATATTTAATTATTTAAAATTAAATTAAAAAAAAAACATAAAAAATTAATATTCATACATATAATTATTTTTCAAGTTAGTTATTTAATTTATTCTAAAAATTTTTAAATTATGAATTTTTATTATAATTGAATTTAATAATAATAATAATTTTTAATTATTATCATAAAGCAATTTTCTAATAATTTTTAAAATATTAAAATAATATTATTCTAATAATAATTAATAAAAAAAATACTGAAATATTATTTTTTTATTAAAAAAATTAATTTAAAAAAATAATAATAATTTTAGTTTACAAATATAAAATAAAAGAAAAAAATAAAATAAAATAAAACAAATATGAATGAAAAAGAGAAAAGTCCATTTTATATAAACCAAAGAAATCACAAATCTAACATATTATCTTATAAAAAAATTAACTTAATAAATATAAAAAGTCCTAAAAATATAATAAGAAAATTTAAAAATATATAGAATTTAAATATAACTTCATTAATTTTCCTTTAATAAATAATTATATATATAAGCAAAGATATTTAAATTGACTATTTTTTATTGATTTTTAATCTTTGTTTTTTATTTATTTCGGTATTTTTAATATATTTATTTTACAACTTATAGGATTTAAATAATAAAAATAAAAATTAATTTTTATTGTTTTTAATTTTATTAAAAGACATAACAATAATAATAATGAATTTTTATAATGAAAATAGTGATTGTGTAGTATTTCTTATAATAATTTTCAATAAAAGCATATTTAAATTTTTAAAAAAACCACTATTTATATAAATATATATTCCATTTTTAGCATTAGTTTCTTTTATTTAATAAATTTACCTCTACAAAAGATTAAATAATATCCTATATTACACATCTTTCTTAATAAGCTTAATCAATAAAATATTTTATAAAAAAAATCTAAAAAATACTAATTCTAATAAAAAAAATAACGAAAAAAGGCTTCAATACTTAAAAAATTTCTACGAAAACCTGATTGATTTATTCCAATTAGGAATCGCAATAATAGATGCTGAAAAAGATTTAGTTTTTTGCAATAAAAGTATATGCAAAATAATAGGTTGTAAGTCTGAAAATTTAATAAATGAGATAATGTAGATAAGTACTAACAATTTTAAATAAAAAAATAACGAAACTAATTAAAAAAAATAGTCAAGTATTATTGTCTAAAATGATCTATATAAAGAATATTATAAAAGCAAAACAATTGGACTTTAGTCTGGAATATCGTATTTGGATATAAATAATAATCCAGATTTTTTCTCATATTAATTTTCGCCTTAAAAATTTGACATTAATTAATCTTATTCTATATAGAATGTTAATATAAATAATTAAAACTATAGAAATAAGAAAAAAACAATGAATAATTATAATTATATATCAGAATTAATATAAGATTTATTAGCTTTAGGAAAAAAAGACAATGTTTTAAAAAAAGTGAGTCTTTATAAATAATACGTAGACTAACAGAAATTAAAGGCAATGATTTTTTCATAAATAAAACATATAGTGATAAAGAAATAAGACTTGATTTTTAAAAAAGCGAAATTTTTTTAACCCTAAATTATTACAATAAGAAAAAAAACGAAATCTATATATTAAAAATTAAATTAATACTATGTGAATTCACATACTAAAACCAAAATAAAAAATAAAATTAAGAAAGTGAACCAGTTATATTATTATTAATAGAAGATGTAACTAAAATTAACCACGACTAATAAATATAATAATTAAATTAATATAAAAGTAGAGTTTTGAGAAGTATATCACATGAACTTAGGACTCCTTTAAATTGCTCAATTACTTTAATTTAACTCCTTTTTTAAGAGCCTGCTTTACCCTTAAATCTAAGGAATCAATACTTAACTCCGGCTTTATATAGTAATTAATTTTTATTAAATGTAATAAATGATTTACTTGATATGGTATAAATAGATAAAGGAAAATTACTTTTTGAGTTCAGTGATTTCGACTTGTCGGGAATTCTAAAAGAATGTATGAGTTTAATATAATTTCAAGCTTAATTAAAACAAATAAATTTACTTTTAGAAATAAATGCCAATATAGCATATATACGATCAGATGAAAAAAGAATTAAATAAGTAGTTTTGAATTTACTTTCAAATTCAATAAAATTTACTCATGAAGGACATATTAAATTAAAAATATACTTAGCTGAATAAAAAACTATTTGTGTGGAGGTTTCTGATACTGGAATAGGTTTTAGAGAACATTAAAAATAATACATAATAGATGCTTTAAAAAATAATAATGATAATATTCTTGTAGGTAGTAGTACTTTTAAAATAAGTGAATAATAAATTATAAGAAATAAAATGAAAACAGATATGTAATATTAAAAAAAAGAATAAAAAAGTTAGATTTTTATTAATTTAAATTCAAATTAAAATGAACAAAAAAAAGCAGTATTAAAAAAAGGTAAGTCAAAATCACTTAATGAAATCTAAAATATGAAAAACGATATAAATAAAGATGAATAATAATAATAATAACAGTAAGATGATGTTTTTGGTTTAGGATTTGGACTTTCTATATCGAATATTTTGGCTAAAGGATTGAGCGGTGGTAATAAAAGTATAGAATTATCTTCATAATAAAATAAAGGGTCTATTTTTAAGTTTTATATAAAAAATCATACTAGTGATGTTATATGTTGTGAAATGGTTTAAAGAGAATGTCTTGGTAAGTTTTTTTGTACTTTGAGTTATAAAAAAAGTTAAATGTTAACTTTTTAATAAAATGGAGATAATATTTAATTATAATCAACCTAATCATATTAATATAAAATAAATAATAAGTAATAAAAATATAATAAATTTAATTCAAAAAAAAATAAAAATATATAGTTCATAATTAGAATCATGTAATATAATAGATTATTAAGATAATTATGGAAGAAATTTAAGTAATGAAATGAAAACAAATTTAAAAAACAATTTTTAAGAAAAAGAAAACTTAAAATTCTAAACATATTCTTTCCAAGATCTTAGTCCAATAAATTTACCTGAAATATAATAATAAAAATAAAAAATAATAAGATTTGATTACACAAATTAATAAGATGATTATGAAATAATAAAATCAGATTAAAATATTTGCCAATAAAATGTAGGTAGTTTTAAATATGTAGAAGATATATAAAAAGAAAGAATAAAAAATCTATCTTTTCATTAACATTAAATGTGTAATTGTAAATAGGTTTTGATTATAGATGATAATGAGTTTAATTTACTTGTTTTTAATTAAATGCTTTAACATTTTGGAGTAGAATGTGATTAAAGTAATAGCGGAGTGAAAGGTTTTTCATCAATTTTAGATAAATATAATAATTCAAAATGCTGTAAATTTTATAAATTGATTTTTATGGATATTGATATGCCAGTATGGAATGGATATGAAACTACTTTAAAAATTTATTAGTTTTTAAAAAGTATAGATTAAGTCAAAAAAACAAATATTTGTGCCTGTAGTGCTTTTGTAGATTAAGAAGATAAAAATAGAGCTTTGAAGTCGGAATGAAAGAGTTTATTTCAAAACCTTTAGAATAAAAAATCCTTTAGTAAATATTAACTAGATATTTAAAATGATTTTTTTTTACTTTTCCTTGTCCCTTTTTATTATAACATTATTTTATTTACTTATATTTTTGTTATTTTAACTTTATAAGTTCTTTCTTTTTTTTTGAGCTTTTATATCAATATTTTTGGTTTAATTGGGTTTATTATGTATTATTATTAGTTTTAATATTAATTAGAATTATTCTTTAAACAATTTATTTTAAATAAGATGAAATATATTTTCTTTTCTTTAAAAAAAATAAATCATATTATGTTTTTATATTCATAAAAAAAGTAAATTAAATATTTTTAATATATTTTATTTTATTAATATATTGAAATAAGAATAATATTTAAAAATAATTTAATAAATTTATTAATGAAAATATAATATTTAAAATTATGTATATATAATTTGCATTTAGTTTATTAAAAGATTATGTTTATTCTTAGAAATAATTCAATTCAATTTTTTATTTCTATACATTATAATTTAATAAAGTTTATTTTATATAGTAATATAGTATTGTATATTTTATAAAAATAGAAATTTAATTTAGATGATAATATTTCTTTTTATGTTAAACAATATAATAATTATTTATTATTTTAAATTTTTTAAGGTAGTTATTATTATTTTAAATAATATATAAAAAAAACATTTTTTTAATTATACTTAAATTATTTTAAAATAAACATTACAAAAAATAAAAAAAATAAAAAAATTAATATAAAAAAAAGTTAATTGATGATATAAATCAATAATATATTTTATAAAAAATAAATATTTAAGTATATAATTAGATATTATGAATTAGAAATGCATCTATATAAAGGCTATATTAAATAAAAAATAAATATATAAATAAATATTAATAAATATAAATATATATAATTACAAATTATAACATATTATATTACAAAATAATAATATTATTTTTCTTCTTCTTTTTTTTTTTAATTGAATCAATTTTTTTATAATATAAAATATACAGGCATAAAATTATATAAAAAAGAATTTAAATATTTAGATGAGAAGTTAATTTATTTATATTTTTATTAAAAAAAAAAATATTAAAATATATAATTTGTATAAAATATATTGATAATAATTTTATTTTAATATGATTATTAAATATTTTAAAAATATAAATACCATTAAAATATATTTATATATAATAATTATTTTTCAACTTTAAAATAGTTTAATTAAACTTTAATAAAATTATTATTAGAAATTCTAATATTCTATTTAATACTATATCATCTAAAAAAATAAATGGATAAATGAAATTTTATTTTATACTTCTATATAAAAAAAATATATGAAAAATATACATTTATTTATACTAAAATAACTTTTTTAGAAACATAATATAAAATTCAATATTTTTTTATATAAACTATAATTATTTTTATATTATATTAATATAAAATTTTTATTTTTAATTCAAATATCTCTAAATTTATTTTGGTATAAAATTATATAAAAATAATAATTAAGATGGATATATTTTTTCTATTTTTATATTTTTTTGATAATCTTTCTTTTATTTTATTATTTTTTTTTTTTTAAAAAAAAAAAATATATATTATATTAAAAATTAAAAATATATTATACATATAATATAAATAATTAAATATATTAATTTAAAAAAAAAAAAAACATATGCAAACACAAGTCGAAACAAAAGACGAATAAAAAAAAGATCAAACTGTGGAATAAACAACGGTTGAAACCAATTGGTTTGAATCAGTTGATTCTTTCCACAAATTAGGACTTAAAGAAGAACTCCTTAGAGGAATTTATGGTAAAAAGACAAAACTAAAAAAATTAAAAATATTTAACTTAAAAAAACAAAAACAAAAAAGGTTACGGTTTTGAAAAACCTTCACTTATTCAACAAACTGGTATTATTCCAATTGTCAAAGGAAGAGACACTATTGCTCAAGCTTAATCCGGTACAGGAAAGACTGCTACATTTTCTATTGGAACATTATAAGTAATTGATACAAGTTCTAACCATACTCAAGCTTTAATATTAGCTCCGACAAGAGAATTGGCTTAATAAACAATTACAGTAATAATTAAATATATATACTATATATATAATAATAAAAATAAAAAAATAGGTTATAATGTATCTTGGAGAATACTTAAAAGTAACCGCATATGCCTGCACAGGAGGTACTGACCCAAAAGAAGATAAGAAAAGACTCCGTGAAGGTGTTTAAGTAGTAGTAGGAACCCCAGGTAGAGTATTAGAAATGATCCAAAAAGGTTTTTTGACTACCGATCACTTAAAATTGTTTGTATTAGATGAAGCAGATGAGATGTTAGGAAGAGGATTTAAAGATTAAATTAACAAAATTTTCTAAAAGCTTCCTGGAGACATTTAAGTAGCTTTGTTTTCTGCCACTATGCCTCCTGATATTCTTGAAATCACTAAATAATTTATGAGAGACCCTGCAACAATTCTCGTTAAAAACGATGAACTTACATTGGATGGTATTAAATAATATTATATAGCACTGGATAAAGAAGAATGGAAGTTTGATACACTTGTTGAACTTTATAATAATATTGAAATTGCCTAGTGTATAATTTATTGCAATACAAAAAAAGAGTAGATGATCTTTCCTAAAAATTGAAAGAAAAATAATTCACTATTTCTTCCATGCATGGTGAAATGTAATAATAAGAAAGAGATTTAATTATGAAAGAATTTAGAACTGGTACTTCCAGAGTTTTGGTAACTACAGATTTACTATCTAGAGGTATTGATGTCTATTAAGTTAATTTAGTCATTAATTATGATTTGCCCCTTAAAAAAGAATCTTATATTCATAGAATTGGTAGATCAGGACGTTTTGGTAGAAAGGGAGTAGCTATTAATTTCGTAGTACCTTCTGATGCCAAGTTCCTTAAAGAAACTGAAAAATATTATCAAACTTAAATTGTTGAAATGCCTTTGGATGTCTCTGAAATTTATAATTGAGTATCTTTTTATTTTAGATTTTTTATATATTATTATAATATATATATATATTTAAAAATAAATAATATTGGTGTATTTTTTTTTTTATTTTTGAAAAAAAAACCTTTTTTATTTTATTTCTGAATATTCCTTTGATTTGTTTTTTTTTGGATTTTTTTCTATAAAACTTTTTTTTTTTGATTTTTTTTTTTTTAAAAAAAAAATGCTATTTATTCAATTTTATTAAGTATGAGGGTTTTTAACATAAGAAAAAAAAGGTTTTGAAATTAAAAAAAAAAGAAAAATTATTTTTATGTTATTTTGATTTTATATTTTTATAAAAAAAAAAAAAAAAAAATCAATTATTTAAATAATTTAAAAGATATTTTAATATAAAATTTTTATTTATAAATATTTTTTATTTACTAAAAAAAAAAATTTAGTATTTTTTAAATATTTTAAAATATTTATATTATCTTTGCGAATTTTCAAAATTAATTTTTTAAAAATTAAATATTATTATTTAAATATACAAAATATTATTTTAATTATATTATAGTATTATAATTGTTTTTTAACATTCAATTATATAATTAAAATTGTTTTAAAAATAAAATATATCATACTTTTTAGTAAAAAATAATAATAATAATATAAATTTTTCATTTTGTATTATTAATTATCGGTAGTTTATATTAATTTCTTCCAAAAGCAATAATAACCTTAACAAACGAATGATAGAAAGTTTTCCCTTTCTACAAATGAGGTTCGACAAAGTAATAATATAATATAAGTTTCATTTTTCTCCAATAAACCTACGCAGGCCTAAGTGCATATGAACCAGGATTAAACTTCTTAGTTTCGGATCCTAAAGCAATTAGCCATTTATTAATTTAATCTGGTTCACAGAAAAAATCTAAAGATCTACTTTTTAATATAAGAGAAAAGCAGAGCCAAGATTATAATTTTTTATTATAAGGTTTACACATTACGTCAGTTACTTTTCCATAAACAACACCTCTAACTTCTTACATATGATCTTTATTATGATATAAATATAATAAATATATATATGAATGTTTATTAATATATGTTTTTAAACTTATATATTTTTACAAAATTAAACTTTAGATTTATTATTTATATTTTTTTCTCTTGCAGTCCATCTTAAAGTACAGTCTTGAGCTAATTTAAAGAATTTTTATAATCTACCGTTAGAAGTCTTATTGCATTTTAATAAATAATCTCCTACCATGGTATATTTATAAGCCTTTTTTTATTATTTTATTTTTATTTTATTTAATAAAACTATACATTTTCAATTATATTGTTAATTTTTTTTTATTGTCTATTAACTGCAGATAATCTAGATTTATTAACAGCATTCATTTATAATTTATCAAAGGCATCCAAAAAAATAAATTTTAAAATCATTTTATTTAATTTACTTATGGATGCCTTTAAATTACTGACTGCTTATTATGTAAAAGGCATATTTATTAATTATTTTTCTACTAATGGATGTTTTTCTTATTTTAGCATTATTATAGTTTATTTCATTTAATCTAATCCCTTTTTTAAAGAATAAATAAATCTAAAATAATAAAAAATTTAAATAAAATACAATTTAAAGAGCTTATTTTTGTTCTTAATCTAATTTCTTTCCTTAAATAATTTATTAACTATATCTTATAGAACTAGTTAATCTTAATCTTAAAGCTATAAAATAAAAATAAGAATTTATAAAAAATAATAATTAAAAATTATATATATAAATAAAATAAGTATGCATATATATAAATATATAAATATATAAATAAATATATAAATATATAAATATATATTTATATTTATAAATACTATTTTTAAAATATATTTATAATATAAAAATTTAATATTAAATATTAATTTTTTATTATTCTTTATTAACTATTTTTTTTTAATATAATTACCTTATTTCCAAAAATTTTCTCCGAAATCATTTAAAACCTCTGCATTATTTTATTTTAATAAACTATTAGATGATATATTTAAAATTTAATCATTTAATCCATTTTCTAATCTTTTTACACTATTTGTTATCTATTTTTTTTTTTTTTTAAAATAAACATAATATATATTAATTTATATAAATATTTTTTTAATATTAACTTATTTCGCACAATTAATTTTATTTTCAAAATCTTTAAATAGTGTTTCAGGATTAATTCCTTTAAATTCATCAGTTTATAAATAATAATTCAACATATTTTAATATTAAATTATATTATTTTAAGATTCATTAAGATTTTAAAGTAAATAAATTAAATGTTTTAAAGATATAATAATAAATCCCTAATCATTAACTTATTCCCATACTTTCAAAGCTTTTTAATGATAATTTACAGCTCCTACTAAATCATTACATAATTCTCTATTTAATGCCATACTAGAATAAAAACAAGCTAAAGTAGCACCTTGATCTAAATAAAAAAACACAAAATCAATTAATATATACGAAGATATTTTATATATAAATAATTTAATAAATTTTATTACATTTTGATTCTAAATTATCAAATTAACCATCACCCATATTTTTAAATGAAATAAATCTAAAATATAAATAAACTAATTCTTCAAGAAGATCTTTTTTTTATTTATCTTAACTAAAAATAAAAATATTTATATATGTAACAATAATTATATATAAAAAATATAAACAAAAAAAAAATACCTATTTATTATAATATTAATAGCTTATTCATTAGATTATTAAGCCTCATCATATCTATTCAAAATAATATACACAACACATAAATTAGCATAAATCTTTACATATAATGCATTTCTATGTTCAGATATTTAATTTACCTTTTCTAGTGTTTATAGTGATTTTTTTAAAAGTTATTCAGATTATTTATATTAACAACTATGGAAATAAATTACTGCCAAATTAGCCTATACAAGTGCTATTCTATCAAAATCTTAATAATGTTCTAAATCTAGTAAAGCCTTATTATAATATTCAATGGCTTGTTTTAAATCCCTTTTTTGGAAAGAATTATATGCTTCAATTATTAAACTATTGTATTTTATTTATTCTAAATTAATTTACTCTTCGCCATCTGAGGATTCCTCATCGGACATTTTTGTAAATATTGTTTATTATGTTTATGATATATCACCAACATTTCGAATTTTTTATTATATATGATTATATTATTTATTATTAGGTTATGAATAAAATTATTGTTGAGAAGTGCTTTTTAAATATGATTATTATTAATATTATTATTATTATTATTATTATTATTATTATTATTATTATTATTATTACTATTATAATTATTATGATTACTACTGTTATTAAAATTATTATTATTATTATTATTGATTAAATATTGGTTATGATTATTATTATTAAGAAAACATTGATTATTGGATTTATTGAGGAATTTATTGAGAAATTTATTGAGGAATCTATTGAGGAATTTATTGAGGAATTTATTAAGGAATTTATTGAGTTACAACTGATTGATAGTTTAATTATTATTCTCTTTAGCTTTATTAGGGAATTTAAGAAAAAAATTAAGGCTATCGTACTTAACTAGCTTATTATATTGTTTAAGGAAATAAAGTATTAAAATTATTTGTTTAGCTATTCATTTTCTAATTTTTTAAAAAAAAATTAATGTTTTTTTTAATTTATATTATATATATATATAAATTATATTATTCTTAATTAGTAAAATAATTTTTAAATTTAATTATTTATTTATATAAATATAATTAATTTATAAAATATTTTATTACCATTTTATTATTACTAATTTTTTTTAAAAGAAATTGTTATTTATTTATTTTTAAAAAAAATATTAATCTAAAATAAATTCGTATAAAAATATATTTATGTATATATATATATAAATATATATATATTTAATAAAATATTTCAAAAATATACTAAAATTAATATAGAATAAAATAATTAATTAAAAAAAAGATTTACATATTTATATTTTCAAAATAATAAATATTATTAAAAAAAAAAATAATTATCAATTTAAAATTTAAATAAGAAATTATCTATTCTCAATAAGTTTGTATTTTTATTTTTTTGAATCAATATGTTCCATATTTAAGTTTGAAATTATTAAATAAAATTTAAATAATATAATATTAATAAAAGTCATTTTAGTTTTTTCTTCTGAATAATTAGATAAATAAAAAAAATGATGTGAATTCATAAAATTAAAATTTTATTATATGCAATTGAATTGAATCAAAAAAATTAATGAAAGAAAAACTAAATGTGATTAACATACATAAATTAAATTTTAGAATAATTAATAAAAGATGCGCCTAAAAAAGCTGAAACCTCGAAATAAAAATATATATAATACAGACAATAAAAGTTCTTTATATAAAAAATAATCAAAGATAAATTAAATAATTAAATTTAAAGAAAATATATTTATTGATAATAATAATTTTAATATTAAATAATATAACTTGAAAATATAAAATAAAATATTTAATTATTTATTATACGTACATAATATTATCTAATTAGTACTTCTTAAAAAATAGAAGTAAATATTGTATAAAAATATAAGAATAAATTTAAAAAATTCAATATAAAAGTATTCTATTGATAATATATATATTATTTTGTATTAAAATATATACAAATTTTTAAAATTATTTCTATTAAAAATTAAAAAAAAAATATTGCTAACTTTTATAAGTTTATTAAGTTGATAAAAATAATAAAAATATTTAGCATTTTCTTATAAAAAAAAGAATCTTTATTATAATTATTTATATAATATTTCTATTTATAATAAAATAAATAATTATATGTTATTTTTTATTATAAATTATATAGTATTGTTAATAATTTCTTAACTTAGTTAATTTTTGTTTTTATAATATTATTTTTTAACCTCTTTTTAATTAATTTCTAAAATTTTTTTTATTAAAAAAAAAAAAACAAACAAAACAAAAAATATAAATAATTAATTTCATAAAAAAAAAAACAAAAATATTATATATTTTATAATTATAAATAAATAGGAAAATCTATAATACAAAAACAAAATATATATATATATACAAAATAAAAATAAAATAATAAAAAAATGCCATATAGATTATATATAGAAAAGCAATCAGTATATTTAAAAGTAGATCCCCGAACCCGAACAATAAATGGCTAATCGAAATATCTTATAACAATAATAAAAAGTTTTGAAAATAAAGAAAACAATAAAAAATAATTAAATCCTTCCACAAATAATTAAAACATAGAAAACACAAATAATTTAAACTTAGAAAAATAATAATCCCAACCTTCTTCCGAATTACCAAAGATTATCCAATTACAATCATAAATAAACTAAATGGACCAAAAAAAAGAAGCAAATATAAACATTGAAAAACAAGAAATAATCCCAGAAAAATTATCTTTACATTTACACGGTTCATAATTCTAAATACTATTCGTAGATTATAAAAAAACTGAAGGCGAGGACATTTTACAATTTGAAAATTATAAATATTTAAACCCGAAAATTCAAGCCGAGTCTCTATCACATTATTTGCCTCACCCATCTTCAATTGATTAATATATAAATATGCACCGAAAATTTTTCGAATTTAAAGAAATTTCAGGCATATAGCTTTTTTTTAATGTAAACGTTGAAAATATGTAAAAAGCAATCGACAGTTAAGACGAAAATATAAACGAGGATCACATATAGGATTAAATAGGCGATTTTTTATAATATAAAGGTATTTTGACTATAAAATATACACTAAAAGATCCTATAGCCGGATTAAGATTTTTATAGTTTAAAAGAAATTAAAGAATATAAAAAGAGATTTTCGGGGAAATTGAAAATATATAGAATGAAGAAAAATATTTAATAAGTGAATATTATGTTAGGTCTGCTTAGAATTGGTTACCATGTTTAGACAGGGAAGTTTTTTTTACGGATTTTAGTGTATAAATAAAAAGCGATGTAGAATTAAATATAAGAAATCAAGAATATGATTGGGTAGTATTATGTAGTGGAGAATTAAAAGAATAAATAATAGATGAAGAAAATAATATGCTTTTTAAATATGAAATTAATAAGAAAATTAAAGCGGATCATATAGGAATTTGTATAGGTAAATTTAAATGCGAAAACAGGTAAATTAGTAAAGGAAAACAAGTTTTTATTTTAAGTAGTTTCGGAATTGAGGATTCAGCGAAAAGATTTGATAATACTTTTAATTGCTGTGAGTAGATTTTCTCTTATATATAGAAGTGTCAAATTACAGATTTTTCGGAATAAATAAACAATTATAAAATTGTTTTTATTCCTAATCTTTTTACATAAAGTTGGACTAGTATTAATATTTTTGAAGAGGAAGATACTTATTAAACACATTTTTTTACTGAAAAAAAAATAGCTAATTCCTCTTTAAATTATAATCATAGTATATGTAATGAATTTGATTCGAATTAAGATTTTTTGCCTTTTTCATTTCAGAATTTAGGATTTGTAGATGAAAAATATCTCTTCCCGAGTATTTAATAAACTATTGATGAAGATTGTGTAAGGAGTTTGTTTATTTTTAAAACTATAAATATGTCTTTATGTTAGTTTAAAATTAATTGCGGTACTAAATATCATATAGATTATTGGATTTTACCTGGAATTAATGGTATTTTTATAGATTTATAAAAATATTTATATTTACATATAGGTTATATGACAGATTAATTTTATAGATAACTACTTAATCATGTATTATTTCTTAAATATAAAATAAATATATTATTATTAATTTTATTATATTTTTATTAAAAAAAATTAGTAAAGTCCAAAACATTTTGATAAAGAATTTAGACTACATATAGCAAAATAATTCGAAAAACTTAATTATTTAGTAGAATAAGGTGAGGAATTATCACCTTTATCAACTAAAGAAGCTTTTTCTTTTGGGTTTGAAAAATTTACTGATGAAGTATTTGCACTTAAGTCTCGATTAATTTTCCATATTCTAGCTTCAAAATGTAAAAAAGGAGGAGAGTATATAATTTCAATAATCTAAATGTTAGAAAAAGAATAAAAATTAACATATGATTGTCTATTTAGAATTATAAAAAAAAAATACGGAATAAGTGAATATAAACATATTCGAAAATATTTTATAGAAGGTACAGGAGTTCCTCATTTTTAATTTACTTATTAAGATTCTAGAAAGGAAAATATGGTAAATATATATATATATATATATATATATATATATATTTATTTAAATATATATTTAATATATATATAATTTATAATTTTAATTTAAATAAAAGATTACAATAAATATTACTCAACACACATTATAAGAAGAATTTTTTAGATATCATAATTTTGTAAGAAACGAATTAGAAAAATAGCTTGATATATAAAATGAATATATGAAATTTATTGAAGAAGAAACTCTAAGTGAAATCGAAGAAGGCTCAGAAGATGAAAATATAAGAAGAATCAAAAAGCAATTAAATTCAATAAAAGAATAAAAGAAATTCGATAAGAAAATATAGGAAATGGTAAATTAATTGTGCCACAAATTTTAAAATCAATGAGATATTTTAAAGGGAAATTGGAACTTATAGTAACAGAAACAAAAGATTAAAGAAAAACAGACGATTCTTAATAAATTGAAGAAATAGAATTATCTGCTAAATATAAATTCTAAAAAAAAGTACAATATAGATCTGAACTAAGAAAAAATAGTGGAAAAAAATAATAAGAAGATGAAAATTAATAAACTAAAGAAGATGATAGAAAAAAAAGTAAATATATATAAAAAAATATAAATATATATATATAAATATATATATATTTTTTATATATATATATATATATATATATATATATATATATTTTTTCTAATAAATATTATAGAAATATACATTATTATTTATTTATATTTATAATTAAAATTTTATTATATTTTATTTATTTAAAATATTTATATTTTTTTTATATAGTTTAAAAAAAAATAAGAGAAAATAATTAAAGTTAATGTGTATGGGTTAAAATTGATCCTAATAAATAATATTTGCTTTCACATGAAATATTAAACTAAGAAACTACTAATTTATTAAAATAATTAATAAAAGATAAAAATTCATACTAAGTATATATTTTTTTATTTGTATTAAGATAATTAAGAAATCTTGAACCGGAAGATTCGCAAAATTGCTTTTATAATATAAAGCACATATTAGAAAAAGAAGAAGTAGAACCAGATACATTTATTGAATTATTAGATTTATTAGTGAGAAATTCTGTAAATGGAAAAAGTTAAAGGACAGATTGTTTTAAATATTTAGAAAACGTCCTGAAAACGCATCTTATAAGTCCATATAAATCTCTTCTTCCAAACAACTTCGAAAATACGAAAAAATACTAAATTATTCTTACAATTATGAGGTGTGTTTCTGCTCTAAAAGACACACAATTAACAAATTCTGAAACTACAATATTAAGCGAGTAATATCCTCCAGAAAACGCTATTAAATATTTATTAAAACTTCTAAGAGAAAATGATAATTCAATTAATAAATATGATGATTCAACCTATAGAGCAAATATTATTTGTAATTTACTGTTAACTAATCATCCAGATTATAAAGTTGAAATAATTAAAGAAGTTATAAGGTTAGTATATAAAATAATATATATATATATGTATATAATTATATATATATATATATATATATATATATATATATATTATATATATAATATTTATTTATATAAATATAAAATACATACATATCTATAAATATTTAATTTTATTTTTATTTATATATAAATATATATTTATATATTAAAGATTTTTTTTTTAGATGCTTGGAATATGAATATATCGAAAAATCTACTAATGATATTATATATAAAGCAATAATAATGAATTTTTTTACTTTTTTAATTAAAAATGATCTCATTAATGAATTTAATAGAGCCTAAAAAACACATAATAATATTAATAATAATAATTTAAATAAAAAAAATACTGATTTATTTTAAAAAACACATAACGGAAGTATTGAATTATTAATAAAACAAATTTATAAGCAATTTATTTATTTCTCAAAAACAAAAAACTCTATAAATCTAAAAGGAATAAATCTATATAATAAAATTCTTTAAAAAGAAATTTCAGGTTATTAACCTCACTAAATACTTCTTTATGTTTTTAAAAAAATGGAAAAAAGTAGACTTAATTTGAGTTAATCTTAGGAATATATTAACTTTTTGGCTGTTATTAAATAATATATACATGTAAACATAAATTCTTTTGTATAGGATATGTAATTTAAATTATCAATAGATTAAAATGTCAAAATAAGTTAATTAATATGGGATTAATTAATTAAGTCTCCTTCTTTATTAAATCCAGTTATAAGATTATATTGGTTAAAAATATACAGGTATTATTCGAATATATATGTTACATTTCTTTATAATTTTATTTATGTATTTTCTTAAAAACTTAATATCAAAAAAGAAAAGTCATTTAAAATTAAAAAAATTGATTTTTTTTTTTTAAGTTTCTAATAAATATAAATATAAATACATATATATATATATATATATATATATATATATTTATTTATTTATATATATATATCCATTTATTTTTCATATTTTTTTTATTTTTTTTATATTTATTAATATAATAAATATAAAGATATATTATTTTTTTTAAAAAAAAGAGAAATATATTTTCATTGGGCACCTGTTTGTTGTATTAAAAAAGGACTAATTTAAAATGAAACTAATTAAGGATTTTTAATTGACAAAGAATGGGTTACTTGGCAAAAGTCTGAATTTTAAAAAGAGATTAAACTGATGAATAGAGATACAATAAAATTATAAAATAAAAAAAAAGAAAAAGAATTAATTAAGAATTCAATATTAAAGATTAATTATTAGCTTTTTGTTCTAATAATAAGGAAAAGCTGAACATTATAGGACTTTCTAAATGTATATTGGACCGATTAATTAAATATATGACTGATGTGGATAAAAAAATTAATTAGGAAGGACCAAATTAAAATATAACATCAATAGATAATAATAATATTACATTAAAAGTTTAGTTCAGTAATTTTAAATAAGTAAAAAAAAGTTTAAAAAGAACTGTTTGTGCTTCTTTTGAGGAAGTTAAGGCTGCCGCCTTGAAAGTTCCAAATGAATATTTACATTTAAATGCCATTGATGAGTAAAAAAAAGTTTAATTAGATTAACTAATAGAAGATTATTTTTAAACTGCGAAAGATATTTTAAATTAGCATTTAAAAAATTAAAACAAAAATAATATGAAAAGTTCTCCTTAAAAAGAAACTGCTTAAATACATACTAATAATGCGGATTTAAATAAAATTATTTTAAATAAAAGTAATTCTATTTAGAAAATTATTAAAAATGAATAAATTACACTTACTAATTAAAAAAAAGTGAGCTTTTAAGACGATAAAAATGAATTGAAAATTACATTAAATTTTAATAATAACAATAATAATAATAATAATAATAATAATAATAATATTTAAAAAAATAAAAAATCAATTGAATTAATTTTTTTTAAGTTTATTTAATTTTAAAATAAATGAGTATTTATATTTTTAATTTTAATTTAATTTTTTAATACTTTTTGATTATTAAATATATTATTTTTATTATTTATATATAATTAATTAATACTTAATCTTTACTTTTATTTGTATATTTTATTTGTTTTTTTAAAAATAATTATCGAATTTAATATATTTATTTAGTTTTAATTTTTAAATAATTTAATATAATATTATAAGCTTTTTGAATTATTTTATTATGATATAAATTTTAGATTGAAGGGAAATTGTTAATATAATTATTTACATAAATTAAAAATTTATTTTATTAATTAGTTATAAAATTTTATTAAAGTTTGAAACAAAATATAAAGTTTTAAAAAAAAAACATTTAATCTAATAATTAAAATTTTATTAAATTAATAATATTATATAAAAATTTTTATTAAGTAAATATAAAAATATATAAAACTTAAATATGAATGAAATGATTAAAAATTATTTTTTAAATTTAACTAAATTATTATTTTTATAATATTAAGATTAGGTTTAATATAATTAAAAAAAAGATAACAAATATTTTTTTTAAATTAAAAGTTAATATATTTATATATATTAGTTCTTTATTAAAAAATAAAGACATAAATATGATTATCTTTATTTTTAATTATTAATAAATATATATATATATATATATATATATATATATATATATATATAATAAAAAATATTAATAAATTTAGTCTTTTACTTAATANACTTTTTTTTACTTGTGAATTTAATATTTATAAAAATATTAATATTTAATACAAAAGTAATAATTAATAAACAAAACTTTTACAAAATTTAAGTTACTTAATATTTAAATATCTTATTAAAATAATTTAAAGTAATCAATATATTTTACTTATTAATTTTCTACAAAATAAAATACATAATAAAAAATTAATTATTATTTATTTTATTTATTAACTAAACAAAACAATAAACATCATCAAAATAAATAAAATAAAACAAATAATAATTATATAGAATATTAAATAAAAGCTCCCCAGGTCATACATGCTTAATATTCACTTACAAAGCTTTTAAAATTAGTATTAGTCGAAGATTTAGCACATTCATCTATAATTTTTTCCAAAGCAATTTTCATATTGTTATATCTTGTTGAGCATAATTCTTTTTCTTCTATTTTAAATCCTTTAGCAGACCAATCTTAATTATTATAAGCCTATTAACATTTAATCATATCATTTATTTCGACATCACTGAATTTCGATAGATTTTTTTCTATAACCTATTATTAGCATTTGGCTATTAAATCTAGATCTTAATCGAAATTATAAATAGTACCGTAGCATTTTTTATACCCATCATAAATAGCTGGGTTTTTTTCTACTTAATCATCATCTATATATAATTAAAATTACACATATTTTAAAGGCCTTATTGTTTGAGTAAAAACACTTTTAGCTTGTGCATAATTTGCTGGAACTGGAGCTGGAGCTGCAGCAGAGTATATAGTTGTGAAAAACCATATTATTAATAATAAAATTTAATTTTTCATGATTTTGCTTTTTAATTTTATATGATTAAAAAATAATTATAATATATAAAAAGGAATTTTATTATATTATATTAAATTTTATTTATTGTTAAAATAATATAACTAAATATTATATATATATATATATATATAAATTTTTTTGTGTATTTATAATTTTAATAAAAAACAAAAAAATCAAAATTAAATTAGAGGAAAATATCAAATTATTAAAAATTTAAAAATTAATTATGAAAATCAAAGAAAATATTTGAAAATTAATTTTTATTAATTTTATCATTGTTTTTTATACTTTATATTTATAGATTAAATGTTTATTTTAATAATTTATAATAAGTAAAAAAATTCTAAAGTAACAGTTTGCGATTCTTTCGATAAATTTAAGGTTTTCATCTTGAATATAAAGAAAGAATATTTATGTTGAAATTCCAAAGTAGTCTGAATTATTTTTTGTCAATCAAATTTAAAAAAAAAAAAAATTAAAAAAAACTGTTTTGTTTCTGTATTTTTCTAAAGACATTTAAAAAATTGAGAAAAATTTAAAAAACATATATATATAACAAATATAATCAAAAAAACTAAAATCCAAACTCAAATTTTTACATCTTAAACTAAAAATTTTGATTAAATAAAAATAATATAATTTAAAAATTTTATATATAAAATACATTAGATAACATATTAAATAAAGAATTTTTAAAATAAAAAATAAATTAATACCAATATTAATTTTTAAGGAAAAAATTTATAAATAAAATTTTCATTTACTATATTTATTTTAATTATTTTAAGGTTATTTATTTCAATGAATTTGCATATTTTAAAGAATTCTTTAATTCATTTTCTATATGAAAATTCATTAAATATCTTTTATAAATAAAAGAAAAATTTAATATTTTATAAATTGTATTAAAAACTATATATTAATTAATATATATCTTTATTTTATTATTAATACTAAGAAAATGTATTTTTTGGATGATTAATATTTTTTTTATCATTATACCTTTTTTAAAATTATAGAAATAATAATCATATAAGATTAGCGAATATTTTCATATTTCAATTATATAATCATTTAAAAAATATTTTTAATAATGATAATTATAACTAAAATCTATTATTAATAAATATTATCCAAAAATCTAATATTTTTAATTTAAAACTTATTTGAATTTAAAGTAATTCTCTGGAAATATTAAAAAATTATAATAAAAATTAAAAACAAAAATTTTAAAATAAAAATTTTTAAATTTTCTTTTTTAAAAAAAATTGCAATATAAAAATAAGTTTAAATTAAATTTTTTATTTTTTCTAATTATTATAATTGAAAGAATTAATAAAATAATAAAAAACATATATTCTTATATAAATATTAAACAAAACAAAAAAATTAAATAGTTAAAATTTAATTATTATTTTTTTCTTTAATAAAAAAAAAACATTAAATTAATTAATAAAAAAATATAAATTTATATAAAAAAAATAAATATATATAATATGATATTTAAAAGAATTTAAAACTTTTCATCGTTAAAGCAACTAATCAATTTATAAAATGAATGCAAATAAATTTTATAAAATTATGATCCAAACCAATCAGCTCTCCAAATAATAAATTTAAAAAATATTTTACAAAATAACATTAAAGAAATTCAATAAGAATTACTTTTATAATAAAATATTTCAATTTTTAATTCATAAACATATTCCATACCATTATTTATAAAATGTGGAAATGTAAAAACTATAAATGATTTTTTAGAAAAAACAAAAATTCCAAAAAATATTTCTTTAATTCATTATTTGGCGCACATCGAATTTAATGCTATGAAAAGCTATTTAGATACTGCTTTTAGGTTTTTACATAATATTCCAAAATAAAATTAAATGGAATATTTTTAAGATTTAATAAATGTTTCTGCCGATGAAGCTAAACATTTTCTTTTGCTTTAAGAAAGAATTTCAAAAGTAAATATTAAATATGGAGATTTACCTGTACATACAGGACTTTTATAAAATGTATTAGATTCAATGAATTGTGTTTTGACTAGATTATCTTTGATTTCAATTATTTAAGAAGGAAAAGGGGTAGATGCTGGTGATAGACTTCTGTCAAAATTAAGTTCTTTTTAAGATCAGTATTATATATTATTTTTAATAAAAATATACATAATTTTAATTAGAGAAAGTTTATAAATATTAAAAATAATACTTAATGATGAGGTTAATCATATAGGAATAGGAAGAAAATGGTTAGAAATAATATGCCAAAACTAAAAAATTAATCCGATTTAAAAATTTATCGAAATATGTAAACAAAATAACGTTGTAATAAGAACACCATACAATAGATAAGCAAGAGAATAAGCAGGATATTCAGAAGATTGGTTAAATATAGTTTGGGAAAAATAATAAATAATAAATTGAATATGATTTGATAATTAATATATTGTTATATGCAAAATTAGTTTTTGTTCGCACTTTTTTTTTGTTAATAGATTATATATAAAAAAATTAATATATTTTTTATATTTTTTCATACATAAACTACTCAAAAAAGACGAATAAAAACTAAAATTGACAAATATAATATATATATATATATTATTTTAAATATTAATTTATATATTTTTTTAAAAAAATAAAAAAAATTTCTTTTATATATTCAGTATCAATATCAAAAACTTCAACAAAAAAATATATATTTTATTTATTAAATTACTCATATTTTAAACAAATTTAAAATTATAAATGTTAAACATAAAAATTATCATATATATATATATATATATACATATATATATATAAATTTTTATAATTTAAAAAACAATTATTATTTGATTAATGGAATAACAATTTTTTTTTAAATATAATTAAAAAATCCAAAAAATAATTAATAGCTTTAGTCTTATAAAAAACATTATATTGTTATTATGAAAAGAATCTTTAAAAAATGAATTCTATAAAATAATTTTTATAAAACTAATTGCAATTTTAATAAAATATAAAAATAATTAAATATTAATAATTATATATTAATTATATATAAACTTTTAATTTTATTTTAGATATTATAAATAATTTAAATAAAAATTTAATATTTTATTTTATTTTTTAATAATAAATATATATTTTATATTTCTCGATTAATATCAAAAAAGTATAATTAACTAAATATAAAAATAAAAATTAATCGTAAATAGTTTATTTTATTAGTTATCTAAAATAAAATATTTACATAAAATAAAACCATACATAAATAATAGATATAAAGCTTAACAAATTATATATTTTCTATTTTATTCATAAAAATAACTAAACTTTAATCAAAATATAATAAATAAAATAAATAATAATAATAAAGAATAATTAATAAAAGATCCCAAACAATTTTAAATGCCACTTATGTAGCTTGCAAAGTTAGTATTACTTGAAGATTTAGCACATTGATTTAATATTTTTGAAAATGCATATATCGAATTACTTTTTCTTGTAGAGCATAATTCATTTGCTACCATTTTAAAACCTAATTAAGTCCAATCTGTATTATGATAAGCATTTACACATGTAATAAATGTATTAATATCAATATCAGTAAATTAGGATATACTGTCTTCTGTTAGCTTTTATATGCATTTTGATTTTTAATCTATATCTAAATTAGGAGTGTAAGGATTACCGTAACATTTTATATAACCTTAATATACAGAAGGAGTTGAGGATACTAAATCATCTTAAATAAATAAGACAAAGTATGATGAAGGAGTAATATTTTATGTAAGGATACTCAAAAGTTAAGTATAAGTAGATGGAGCAGATTAAATAATAGAGAATAATAATAATATTGTTAATATTAGAATTTAATTATTCATGATTTTAATTTTTGTATTTTATTATTTTTCAATTATAATTATTATAATAAAAAATATTTTTTTTTATTATTTTTTATTAATTGTTAATTATATACATTTTGATTTATTTTATATATAATAGTAAGATAATAAAAATTATAGAAAAAATTTCTGATATAATTAAAAAAAAAAAATATTGATTATTATAAAATGCAAAAATCATTAAATATTTAATCAAAAATAAAATTTAAAAAAGGTTAAACAAAAATATAAAAAAAAATATATACAGAAAAAAATTAATATAAATATTAATTAAATGTATATATATATATATATAATATATATATAATTGTTTAAATTTATTTATTTTTTTAAAAATTATATATAATTTTTTTTTTTTTATATATATTACTTTTAATTTTAAAATTTTATTAATTTTATATTTTGTTTTTCTTACAAATCATTATATTTAATTTTATTTGAATTTTTTTCAATTATTTATTTGTTTTTTATGATTATATATTAATTTTACTATTTTTTTTATACAATTTTTATTTTATTTTTAAATCATTAATATCCTTTTATATATTTTTAATATATAAATAAAAATTTATTAAAAAAAATAATATTTTATATTGTTTTCTTATTATATTCTTATATTTTATATATAAATTACAATTAATAAAAAATTATCTAATAATTATTAATTAAAAAAATAAAAATATAATAAATTAAAATTATGAAAACCTTAATTTTACTATTAACTATATTATTGTTTTTTTAATTTATCTCTACTGCAGATAATCCTGCTACTACTTAATCTCTTAGTAAAATTTTTGATTTAAATATTTATCCTTCAGTTTATTTTTCTGATTTTGTTTCAGATGATGTTCTTGCCTTAAATGCTTAACATTATTTAGGTTATATTAAATGTTACGGTATTCCTTATAATCCAGATATAAATTTAGAATATTAAATAAAATGTAATTAGTAAGTAACAGAAAATTATGTGTCTAAATTTACTTAAGCCGACATAATAGGAATATATACTTGTACAAATGCTTAAGATAAGGCAGATTGGACTACAAAAGACTTTAAAATGGAATAAAATGAATTATGCTCTACAAGAATATAAAATATGAAAAATACTAGATTAAAAATTTTATTAGAATGCGCTAAATCTTCGAATAATAAAAACTTTGTAAGCTACATAAATGATTATTAAGCTTGTAGTTGGGGAACTTTTATTTAGTTATCTTTATAATTATTATTTGTTGAGTCGGAGATTTTATTATGATGATTTTTTTTTTTTTTTTTAGTTTATTTTATAAATAAAATTAAAAAATAAAATAAAATTTATTTTATGTTTTATTAATTTTTTATTATTTCAAAAAATTTAAAATAAAGTTTATTAAAAAAAAAAATTTTTTTTTTTTTTTAATTCAAAATATTATTTCTAAAAAGATAAATAAATATATATATAATAATTACTTGTCATTTATACAAATTATAATTTTTTAATTGAAAATTTAATCAAATTAACTAAAATAATTACTATTTATTTCGAAATAAATTAAAAAAGCTTTAATAATAATGTAAATATTATTTAAAAAGTTAAATAATTATTTCTTAATTTATATTTTTTAAAAAAATTCATTAAACAATATAAGTATAATAAAATATAGTTTAACAATTTATAATATTATTAAAAATACATTTATTTGAATTTATATAATAACAAAAAAATTAATTTATATTTACAAAAAATAATAAAAATAATTTATTTAAAATATTTAAATATATTAAAAGTAAATTATATTGATAATATTTGAGGTAATTATTTTGTAAATAATTTCTAAATTAATTAATAAATTAAAATTAATAAAAGAATAATTATTTTGTTTATACAAGACTATAATTAAATAAATTTAAATATGATAATTTGCTTTAAACAATATGAAAAACAAATACTTAAATGTTATATTATATATAATATAATATTAGACTAAATGAACGAATAGAAGAAAATAAAAGGATATAAAAAATTAATATTCTAAAATTATAGATAATAAAATTTATATAAAAAAAATATATGTAAGAAAAAAATAAATTATTATAAAAAACTATATACAAAGTAATTTATTGTATTTTTATAAATAAAAAAAAAAATTAATATTATTATTATTATTATTATTATTATTATTATTATTTTTATTATTATTATTATTATCATCATTAATATATAAAAAAATGATTATGATTATTTTGTTTTTATATTAAATCAAAAATAAAAAATATAATATTTCATTTTTTTAATAAATTTTTTATAATTATAATTTTAATATATATATATATATATTTATATCTATATATATATATATATTATTTTATATATATTTTATTTAAATGTAGTATATATACATATTTTATTTTTTAAATATATTATTATATATATTATTTTCTTTTATATTTTTTTTATTCATATATATAATATTTTTTTATTCCATTATATTTTTTAAATAAAAATATATTTAAAATCTTTTTTATTTTATTAATAATAAAATTGATATCATTATTATAATTATATATCTTTTAATATATAATATATAATAAAATTAATTTTTAAATATTATACATTAAAAAAAAATTTTTATTTTTATTTTATTAATAAATTATTTATTTATTTTTAATTCTCATATATTTAATTTATATTAAAGAAATAAAAAGTTTAAATAATATTTAATAATAAATATTAGTATCAATAATTACATTTTTTATTTATATATAATAATTTTTTTTTTATTATTATTTTTTAATTTTATATATTTATATAAAATAAAAATTAGATAAATAAAATTAAAATAGTAATAATTTAACCTATTTTTTTTATTTTTACTAAAAAAATATTAAATTAACTAAATAAAATATTTTTATATATCTATTAAAAATTTGCTAATTTTAATTTATTTTTATTTATATATCTTTTTTAAATATATTTTTTTATAATGAAAAGATATTAAAATAATTAATATGAAACATAAATACTTATTATTAACAAAATATAGTGATTTAAAGTATAAACATCTCAAAATAAATCTATTAATAAAATATTTTGATTATTTATATATAAAAGGTTAACAAAAAAATTATTTTTTGATTTTCCAAAAATATTAAAAATTTTTGTATTTTTTTTTCTTTATTAGGTTTAAGGAAAAAAAAAATTTTTAAACATATATTAATTTAAGATAAATTTATGTTTTATTTTAAATAAAATATAAAAGAAATTATAAATATACAAAAATTTATAAAAATAATTTTATTATCTAATCAATTTTAATATTAATAACATTAATATTTGTTTAATAAGAAACTTTTATTATTAAAACTAATATAGAGGTCTATAATTTATTAAAGAAAAATAAGTTTAGAGATAAAAAATAATTTATTAAATATATTTAAATTTAAATAAAAAAACATATTATATATAATATATAATAATATAAATATTATTATTAAAATAATATAAAAAATTATTTAATTATAATTTTATTTTTATAAAAGAATAAAAATTAATCAAAAAAATTTAAATATAAATTAATAAAATAATAAAATAATATTTTATATATATTTGATACTATTCAGTTTTATCAATTCTATAAATTATCTTTAGTTTTAAATAAATAATAAAATGAATGAAAAAAAAAATATAAATTTATAAATTTACCATGATATTATAGTAACTTTTATTAATTTTATTAAAATTATTGCTATTATAAATATTATTATTATTATTATAATTATTATTATTATTATTATTATTATTATTATTATTATTATTATTATTATTATTATTATTATTATTATTATTATTATTATTGTTGCTGTTGTTTTTGTTGTTGTTTTTATATTTATATTTATTATTTTTAATAATATTATTATTATTTTTCTAAATAAATTTATTATTATTATTGCATGTTTTCAATTTAATACTGTCTCTCATCCCTTTTTTTTCTTAATTTTCTTATTGCTCTTATTGTTCTTATTATACTTTTTTTGTAAGTTATATCTATTTTTTATTTTTTATTATATTAAAAATAATATATATTTTTTTTATTCAATTTTAAATACATTATTTACTAACCAACATTAAAATACAAACCTATATAGCATATCCCTGAACAAATAAATATTCCTCCAACTACCGATCTAAATCTTTCTTTTTTTAATAGAATATAAAATTTGATTTTGATTTATATTTTTTATATTTAGATATTAAATTTTACGTATTTGAGTTTGTTATGCATAATGTTCCTATGCTATTTATTTTAATTTTAATTAATAAAAATATTTAATATATTTTTTATTTTATAATTTAACAATATTGTATATAAGCCTCTTCCAAAATAATTTTCTAATAACTTGAAATTATCAAATAAATAAACAACATCAAATTCTGCACATAATAAAATCGCCCCAAAAGTTCTAATCAATAATATTATTTTTTTTTTACTTATTTATTTATGAAATTATATTTTTTTTAATTAATTACAAATAATAAATTATTATAAATATATCTTGTATATCATCATGTTATAAAATTGTAAACTATTAAACTGAAACTATTATTAGAAGGATGCAATTAATCATTGTCATTAATTTTGTTACAATTTTTAAGGTTATTTACATTTATATTTATGTATATATATATATAACTATATTTTTTATAATTCTATAAAAACTTATTTTTATTTATAAAAAATAAAATTAAAATTTTTATATTAAAATATATTTTATTGTATGATTGTTAAATTTATTATTTATTATAAGTAAAAATAATAAATTATAATAATAATATATAATTTTTTTCAATTAGTTTATATAAGCTAATAGTTAAAAATCTATAAAATTAAATTTATAATAAAAAGAAACTTGTTTAGAAAAAAACACACACACACACACAAAAAAAGGTATAATATTATTAAGTTAAAGCGAAAAATTCTTAATTAAATTCCTTATTTTAACACATATTTCTCCAAATAATTAATTAAAAAAATGTCCACAATTTAAAACCTAATTTTACTATATTTCATTAAATTTCTCTAAATAAACAAGCAAATACTCTCTCTTTATTTAAATTTTATTATTTTTAAAATTTAAGTTATTTTAATTCTCTAATATTTTAAATTTATAAAATCTGTTTTTGTTTTTTTAATTCAATTAAATTTTGATAAAATTTAATTTCATTATTTATAATAAAAATTTTCTAATCAAAAAACTCGGACGAACACCTTTTCATATTCTAGCAAATAAAAATAAGTTGAACCCAAATTTTCGAAATCTTAACTAAGTCTATTTTTATCTAACAGACATTATTTTATTACAAATATTTAAAATCTCAATAAATATTTCCAAATTCTGTTTCACTTTTCCAAAATGTTAGATAAATATGATGCAATATTATTTAATAAGAGGATGTTTTCCTGATATTTCTCTCCAAATTACTGCTTATATTAGTTAAATTAGTGGATTATCTGTTTGAAACATCCATTATAATATAAATTCAAGGCAATGTTATCAAGGGAGTTAATAATATCTTTCGAAAAAATACTTATATTTCTCCTTATATAAAGAACTTATTTTTACAGTTTTAAGGCTACTGTACAGGCTAAATTATGTACAGTAACTGCAATTTGCCTATCTTAATTATTTTCCTTTTAGTTTGATTATTCGTATTCTTAATGCTTTATGGTATAAAATAAGTACTTATCAACAATTTCCTTAATAGTATATTATAAAAAGCAATATTATCTAAAAATGAAGATGGTCTAAAGCGATAATTGTTGTTTTATTTATAATAATTATTAGTGTGTTTTTAAGGCTATTTCGATTACACTTAATTTTTTAATATTATATATTATTCTAGCTATTTTTAAGTTTTAAGCACTATATATTGGTTTTTTTTATTATATAATATATGTATTTTTTGTTTTTTTTTTGATTAGCTTGTATTTAATTTTAATTCATATTCATATATCTCTATTGATTGCTTGTATTTTGATATATAGTATATACAAATGAAATACATTAATGAACTTATTATTTCTAAGTCAGTTTATTTTTGTAATTATATTCTAAGTTAATAAGCTTTTTTATGATATTCTATTACTTCATCTAATTTATTTAAGTTTATTTTCTATAAACATCTTATACAATTAAATATTATTTTAACCTATATATTAATATGTATTATATTTATTTTTGAAACAAATTATAAATACTTTCACATGAAATAAAATATACAATTTTTTTCCTTAAAAAAAGTTCTTTGTATAATAATTTATGACTTCTTAAAAAATTTTCTTGACAACACTGAGAATTAAAGAAATGATTTTTAATATTTGTAAATTTTTTTTTATTTAAAATAATTTTTGTTTATAATGCCTTATATATTAATAAATTTCAGCAATTTAAGGATTTTTATTTATATATCCAATAAAAATTGACTTTCTAATCAAGAAAAATTAATTATATAAAATCATAGTTTCTTTTTAATTATGAATTTAAAATTAAATAACGGATAATTATATAAAATTTGCAATTAAATGATTATTGGAAACTTTTATTTTATTTTAATAATTAAATTACTTTATTATATTTATTTATATAATTAAAATAATTTTTATTCTTTTAAAAATTTACATTTATTGAGTAAGTTTTCAATAATTAAAATCTTATCAATTAATTATTTATTAAGAATATTTTTATTTGAAATTTAATAATATAAATCATATTCACCTTTCATATATATAAAATCAAGTGTTAAATATATATTAGAATCAAATTTTTCTTATGATAAAATATTTAAAGATATAGGTTTTATAATATAATAATTAGCCTTTTATCTAAGTAAAAATTTAAAAATAATACATTACTTTAATATTGTATATATAATAATTTAATTTAATTTAATTTAATTTAATTTAATTTACATAATAATTGTATTTTTATTTTTATTTTTTAATTTACATAATTAATATATGTATTTTTATTTTAATTTATTGTTTTTTTTTAAGAGACGTTAATAATACAAAATATATTTTATAAAATTACATTTATTTTTATATTTTTCTAAATTAAATAATTTGTAAATAAATTGTTCATATATTTATTATAAATATATATATCTAAAGTTTTTTTTTTGATATTAAAATATATACATAATTTATTTTTAATATTTAAATTATATACATTTCAATTTTTTAAAAACTATTTGTTAATTTAAATATAAAAATATATATATTAATATTTAAATTTTTTTAATACCAAATTATGTCAAATAATATTTTTTAAAATTTATAAAAATTAATTTTGTAATTATAAGTATAAATAATTCATTTTTAAACGACGATAAATTTACTTTAATAATAAAAAAAAGCTAAAGCAAAAATTTAGATTAATATGCTATTTTTATTTTTGTTATTATATTTTCCTTACATTATTATTACAGATAAAACACTCTTTCTGTATGAACTTTAATAAGATGGTAATAATTTTTAAACTGATATTGATTTATGGCAAAAAAGTAAAACTGGAAGATATTATTGTTTAAATAAAAATTTTTTTGGAGGATATAATATATGGGGATAAGTTGATTGGGCATAAAGAGTTGTAAATTTTCCAAAACCATATTATTAAATAGAATTATATTTATTCTTTTTATGTATTGATGAGTAATTAAAATGATGATATATAAATAAATAAAAATAAATTATAAAGAGCAATTTGTTTATTTTATTTAATTATTATAAATTAAAACTATGCATATAAAAATATTTAAAAAAATAGCTGGGATAGTAATTCAAAATGGGAAGATGATGATACATCAAATGGAGGAGATTATTTTTATATAAATATAAATGATGAAAGAGTGAAGGCATAATATCATGTAAAGAAATTTTCTATGTTAGGAAGTTAATGTGGATCATCATTAAGTTGGGACGGTGAATATAATATACATATTACTAAAAGAATAAATACACCAACACTAAAAATATATATAAGTACAAACTTAAATAATTCAGCAGATGATGAATCATGGGCATTTAATGAGTAAAATATAAAAAAAATAATAAATAAATTAATAAAAAATAACTATATAAATAAAAATATAAATTATATATATTATCATATATTTATATATTTATATATTTATATATTTATATATTTATATATTTATATATTATAGATTTAAATTGTATTTTTATACTTGTTATTTTACCTGTTCATCATGTGATGGTGATCTTGAAACCAACTGTATAACATGTGATATTGATAAAAATTTTGTTAAAAATACTTCTACTAACTTATGCGAATGTTTCCTTGGTTTTTTTCTTTTTAATTAAAACTGTATAAAATGTCATTAATCCTGTTAAAAATGTTCTGATATTCATGAGACTAATTGTACTTAATGTGATCCAATACTTAATAAAATACTTTTTGATGGTAAATGCATATGTAATTCTGGTTATTATTTGCTAGATAATATATGTTATTAATGTACAAACGGTTGCTAAACCTGTTAATCTTCCACAAAATGCAATTTATGCTTATCAAATACAAATAGGATTTTCGATTCTGTAAATAATACATGCTATTGTGATAATTATTATTATTATAATCCTGTTACTATGAATGATTTTATTTGTTAAAAATGTCATTATTCATGTATTTAATGCACTGGTAATTTAGCTAATAATTGTACTAAATGTGAGTCCAGTTTAAAAAGAATATTAAATGAATTTAATTAATGCAATTGTATGAGCGGTTATATTGAAGAAAGTTCTGTTTGTATTCCTTGTAAATTACCTTGCCTAGAATGTGCTGGAAAAGTGAATTTATGTACTTCTTGTGTACATGGTCTATATATATTTAATGATACATGTTACCCTTGTGATAGTATTTGTAAAGAATGTAAAAATTTGGCTGGCTTTTGTACTTTATGTAAAGACGAATAGAATAGGGAATTAGATATAATCAGTAATACTTGCGTATGTAAGCCTTAATATTATTATGATAAGAATACTATGACAGATCTAATCTGCATTAAATGCCATTATTCATGCTTTTCGTGCAATGAAACTACTTATAATAACTGCACTGGGTGCGATAATAGTAAAAATAGGCAAATAGACAAAGGAAAGTGCTTATGTAAACTTGGCTTTGTGGAAGTCGGGTAAGAATGTATCCTTTGTCATGCATCATGTTAAACTTGTGATGGGACTCAATAGAATAATTGCTTAAGTTGTGATATTTCCAAAAATCGTATTTTTAATAGTTAGACAAAACAATGTTTATGCTTAAAAGGTTTTTTCGAAAATAATAGTTAAATATGTGAAAAATGCGATAGTACGTGTTAAGAGTGTGTTTTATAAAATTCTAATTGTTTAACTTGTTATCCAGAATAGAATCGTATATATAATTAAAAAACATAGAAGTGTGATTGCTTGACGAGTTATTATTATAATACCATAATTTATTCAGACTTAATATGTAAGAAATGTCACTATTCATGCCTATAATGTACCGAAAGTTAACCAAATAAATGCACTTAATGTGACCCTTTAAATAAAAGGACTTTTGATAATACAAAAAATGAATGTAATTGTACCCAAGGTTACTTTGAAGTCAATCAAATTTGCGAAAAATGCCATTCTACATGCCTTTCGTGTTCTGGTTTAGCCAAAAATCAGTGTTTATTATGCGATAGTGTCTAGAATAGAATAAAATCGTTAAATTCTAATGATTGCATTTGTAAGTCTCATTTTTTTGAAATTAATGATAAATGTTAGGAATGTTCTCATGTTTGTAAAACATGCAATTTATAATAGGATTTATGCACAGACTGCTTTTTGGAACAAAACAGGGTGTTAAAAAATAATAGTTGCTTGTGTAAAAAAGGGTTTTTTTATAATAATGTTATCTAAACAGACTTTATTTGCGAAAAATGTCATTATTCTTGTTTAATGTGTGATTCTATAGATAAATGTACATTTTGTGATGAATAATTAAATAGAATTAAAAATATAAATAATTTCTATTGTATATGTAAACCAGGATTTATGAAATTAATAATTAATGTCTTCCCTTGTAATTCTACATGTAAATAATGTTAAGGTATTAAAAAAAATAAAAAATAATAATAAATATAAATAAATTAAAATGTATATAAATTTATGTATGATTATAAATTTATATATCTTTATGTAAAGGTACAGCGGATATATGTACTGAATGTCATTTATATTAAAATCGGGAATTATAAAATTAGCAATGTATATGTACGTCTCAATACTTTTATGATTAAAACATTTTAAACCGATTTTATTTGCTTATAATGTCATTTTTCGTGTCTTTAATGTAATGGTGCAGACTAAAACAATTGCCTAGCCTGTGATATAGATAAAAACCGTAACCTTCAATTAAATTAATGCATTTGTAAAGATAATTTTTTCCAAAATTCCTAAAATAACAATTAATGCGATAAATGCCATTTTTCATGTCAAAATGTATTCAAACAGCCACAAAATGCACCGAATGCTTCATTGATTAAGGAACAATATTTAAAATAATTAATGTATATGTCTTTAGTCTTTTTATTTGGATTAAATAAGTCTTAAATGTGAAAAATGTTCACCTTTATGTCTAGAGTGTATAGACAGTAATTAAAAATGTACTTCTTGTGTTACTAATACACTCCGTATAATCAATAGCAGCAACTAATGTGTATGTCCGGATGGTTTTTTTGAAACTCCTACAAATACTATATGCTTAAAATGTCATTTCTCATGCAATAATTGCATAAACGCGAACACTGAGGATTCTTGTACTTAATGCCCGTCCACATTATTAACCTATAGGGTCAAATTATAAACCATAAAAGGCAAATGTTTATGCCAAAATAGATTCTTCGATAACAACAAAGACCAAATATGTGAAAAATGTCACCCTACTTGTGAAAAATGTACCGGCCCAAACCTAAACTAATGTACTAAATGTCCCACGGACAGCAGTCTAAATAGCCAAAATAAATGTGTATGTAAATCTGGTTTTTTTTTCTCTATTTTAAATAGCGAATGCATATAATGTAACCCTTTATGTGAAGAATGTACTGGTAAATCAGAATAAGACTGCACGAAATGCTTTGTTTCCTAAAATAGAATAATTTAAACCGGATCTTGTGTTTGTAATTAAAATTATAACGAAACAGGAGACTTAATATGCCAAAAATGTATCAAAAATATGCCTTGCATATAATGTCCATTTTAAAAAGGATATTTTTTCAAAAATGGGAAATGTTAATGTCCACAAGGTTTTTATGGTGATGATCTGTTTTTTTAAACTGAATGTAAATTATGTAATCATTAGTGCATAGAATGTAAAGGCCCAAACTCTACTGATTGTAGTGTTTTTAAAATTGAATGTTTATTTGATAATTGTATTTTGTGCTAAAATAAAAAAAATTATACTGAATGCATTTAATGTAAAAATGGCTTTTTTTTAAACGTAAATGGAAAATGTGAAGTTTCTTAAAAAAGAAAGAATAACTTTTCCGTTTCGCACAATGTTTCGGATAAAGGGTACTCTGTATATCTTTAATTTGATGAAAAAATAATTATAGATGAAAAAGAAGATAGCTTACTAAATTTATTTAATTTAAATATCCCTGGAGCAACTATTAAATAGTGGGACATTAAAAAAGTAAATTATTATCAATTTAAAATAAATATCGAAGTATAAGAAAATATAAAGCAATAATAACTTATAGTATTTATAAAAAGCAGTTAATTTATACTAGTAAATAATATAGAAAATAACAAAATGATAGAAAACTTGAAAACTTTCGTAATATTAACCGAAGAATAAAAAAAAACTTCCTAATAAGTAAATGAAATGGGCCAATCTATATCCCAAACACTAGTAGGATCAATGATAATAGTATCTTTATTTAGAAATATATACGTGATATTTTCAACTATAGATATAACTGCATTTATTTATTTCCTTTTATATGTAAAAGTAAGATTCCCATTTAACGTATTGGCCTTTTATAATCTTTTTAAGAATTTCTAATATGCTTTTATTCCTAATATGTATTTATTCCTCGTAAACGAAAACTATGTATAGACATCTTCGGAAGTTTTTATGGATTAATAAAGCGATTATTATTTTTTCAAAAACGCCGGTTAAGGTTTTACTATAATTACATTAGTTTTAACAGTTTATTGTTTTTATAAAATAATGTCTTTTGTAAATATAAAGCCTATATAGAAATATTTTATTTAAAAAATTGAAAATACATGGGAATATTGTGGCTTTATAGATCTTATATGTTGTGTTTATATGTATATAGCATTTTCAGCTTTTCATTAATTTTATATGTTTGATTTTGAAGATGATACAGCTTTCGTAAATTATAGCATGTGGGCATATTGCACTATAGCATCGCTTATTATTCCTGTTATTTTTGGAATAATAATACATAAACGTAGAAATATTAAAGACGATATTGTATTTTAAAGACAATTTGGCTCATTAGTGGGTGGTATAATGCTTTTTAACGACTTAGAGTATTATAGCTAAATATAAAATTAATAAGCCATGATTGGATAAGATTAATCGCATGTTTCTCGTTCTATAAAATAAAATGATAATTTAAGTAGTTTTGGTATTAATAATAATAACCAATAGGCAAAATAATATATTTCTAAAGTTTTATATTACTAAATTATATTGACGAAATAATGTAATACAATCCTTTATACAAGAAAATTAATATTTATATTTTTACTTATTTATTTATAAGAATACCCATATATTTTCTTAAGTATCATATGTTTATTAAATGTTATTATGTTTCTTTTTTATTGTATCATAAAACCAAATATTACAAGATTAGATAATTACAGAAATGCAATAACTGAAATTCTTTTAATTATTATCCATGTGATGATTTTTATATTATTATATGACCCAAAAGAATAGGAAGAAACCGAAAGAATAAATATTGGATACATTTTAATAACAATATTTTCGACTATTTTATTTTTACATATACTAACTCTTTTATAAGATATAATTTGTTATGTATATAAATTATTGAAATTTATTTATATGGTTTTTTTAAGGGTCTTATTGTTTGTATTTAGATAGAATAAAATTAAAATATAAAACGTTCCGTAAAATTAAATACAATTGTGCAATGATTAAAAACTTAATTCCCCGAATTCAGAGAAAAATGAAAATAAATATAACCCAAAAATTTTTTCAATAGAAAATAAACAATAACTTCTATAAAATAATAATGATAAAGTTTCAAAACAAGAAATTAATTATTTTAGAAAAAAAAGAAAAAAATTTATAAAAAATACTAATTATAGCTATATAAAATTCACATACTAATCTTAAATTTAAAATGATAGTAAATTAAATTAAGATATGAATATTATATAAATTAAAAATCTTAAATAAATATGAAAATATTCAACAAATTAATTATAAGGATAGAAGCAAGCTTAATATTAATTAGAATTGTTCTCACTCAAATTAATTTTAGTAAAATTTATTTCTAGTATAAATTAATACATAAAAAAAAAAAAATATTTTATGTATATTAAAAGAAATTTAATTAAAAAAAAAAAAAAAAACAGAAAAAAATATTGTGATAAAATTTACTTTTATTTATATTTTTTTTCTAAATAAAATATTTTTATTTATATATTATATAATTTTATATTTTTTATATATAAAATATTTTTTTTTTTATTTATATATTAAAAAAAAAAACAGGTTTTTTTTTTTTTTATTTGAATCTAAATACATAATTTATTTTATTTAAATTTATATTTAATATAATAAATATAAATTTTTTTAATTTACAATCTAAACTCATTATTACATACTTTGTTAATTTTATCTTTAAATTAAAAAAGTAAATAATAAATTATAGTTAAATTTTACTAAATCATTTATTATATTATATCTATAACTAAATTATCGTATTCGTCCTCGATCTCGACAAAACTTCCCTCTTCATTCTCATTTTGCTAATTTAAATATATGAAAATCATATATTTAGTCAATTTTTAATTACTTTTTCATTGTCAGTCTTTTTTTTTTTAAATATATAAAAAAATAAATTAAAATAATAATATTAAAAAAATATTACTATTTTAAGACTTTTCTATAATTAAAATGCAGATTCTTCTTATGTATTATTAGCTGTTCCGCTTTAGTTTGAGGGATCATTCTAATGCTTGCTTTAATATTAAGATTTTTTTACTTTCTGAATATATTTTATTTTTTTATTTCATAATTTATTTATAAATGATAACTTATTCTTCTAAATTTGCATCCTTTTTTTTTGTAAAAAAATAAAAGATAATATAAATTGTATCAATATTTAAAAAATAAATATAATGTATATCCTTTATTTAAATAATATAAATATATTAAAATATATAAATTATTCGCGTTTCTAGATATTACCATATATGGAATTTCTTAAGTTCTCTATTCTTATGATGCACAACAGCCCATTTATTTCTTTTTATTGTTTTTTTTTTATTTATTATTTTAGAAAAAGTTATTTTTTATTAATTTTTAATTATAATATATAATTAATTAAATTTTTAAAAAATAATATATACTTTATTATTTTATATTTTATTTTTATTTTTACATTTATTTTAATCTTAATTTCAGAATTTTATATTATTTTTAATGAATTTATTTAACATTTTAACAAATTTATATAAGTTTTTGTTATATAAAAACATTTAAAATATTCTTTTATTGAATATTTATATATTTTTTTTTAAATTAAATTTAAAATAACAATTAAATCTTGTTATTTTATAAATATATTTTTTTAAACATTTATAAAAAAAACAAAATAAATAAAAATAATTTTAATTTATTTGATTTTTTTTTTAAAAAAAAAAAAATATTAAAAAAAAAAAATATATTATTAAAATGGCTGATAAAAAAGAAAAACCTAATAAAAAATCAGATAAATCCATAGATAAATCAACAGAAAAAATAAAAGATAAAAAGCCTATAAAAGAAAAAGAATTAAAAAAAAAGCCATAAGACGACGAAATATCAAAAACATGTAAACAACAAAAATATAAAAAACAAAAAAGTTTAAATATTAAAATAAATAAGCCTCAGTTTCAGAAAAAAAACAAATTGAAAATATTCCTCCACAATAAATGCAAAAAATAGAGTTTAATAAACAAAATGATCAAATATATTTTAAATTTAAAAAATAAAATAAAAAAAAGATTAAGATTATGTTTAAGACATAATTTACCTTTAAAATATTATTGTGAAACTTACGAAGAATTAATTTGTGATTAATGTACAATATAAGGTCCACATAATACTCAAGTTATAAAATAAAAAATAAATAATAAAATATATATATAATAGTTACATAGAATAAGTACTTTATAAGACGCATTTAATAGAAGAGCCTCAAAAATAAGTTACGCAATCGAAAACAATTTAGTAGAAAAAAGCAAATTATTAAAAGCCTAACTTCATAGAGTTGAATATAGAATGGAAGAAATTTAATATATAACATCTATAATAGAAAGAGACTCAAGAGTTGAATTTGGTGGAATTTTAGAGCGTTTAAATAATGCCGAAGGGACTAAATTATCTTTACTTTTATATGATATTGAATAATTATAAAGATTTCTTAATAAAATAAATGAATTAGGTTAATCTTTTTATGATTTAACTAAAGAACCAGTTAATTATATCCCATTTTTAAGACAAGCTAGGAAAATATGGGAAGATTGCAATCAATATATTTAAAAACCTATATAGACTTAAATTAATGTTTATCCTTATGATTTACCTAAAGAATTTTAAGAAATAAAAGCTTAACTTAAATAAATTGACGCTAATGATGCTTTGATTAATTTAAAAGATGAAATTATATGGAAACTTATTTAAGAAGGAAATGAAAAAGAAAGTTTTAAAAGTGTTTAGGAATTTGAAGAATAAATGAATAACGAAATTTAAGAATGGGCCAAGTAATAATTTTCTATTTTTTATAATTAAAAAAAAAAAAATTCATTGTTTTATTTTGTTTTTTTGTTTTTTATCAGATTAGCTGAAGTTTAAACTGAAAAATTATAAAAATTTTAATTAGTTTGCTCTTTTTGTAATAAAAATTTAGAAGAAAAAAATGTTAATAAATCTTGTTCAGAAAATAAAAATCCGTATAATCCTTCATGTAATTGATTTATAATTATATATATATTACTTTAAAAAAAAAAAAAAAACTAATTATATTAGTTGTTGGATTTACTATAGAATAACCAAAAGTTAAAAATTTTGGAAACAAAAGACATTATTTTGGAAAACCATATAATTAATAATAATTAGAATTATTAAGAACAGAAAAATAAATTTAGTTTCCAGAAGAAGAATTAAAAGAAATAAAAAATGCTATAATTTAAGAAAAATTTGATATTAAATAGCATTTAGAAGATAGCTAAGATGGAAAAGGTTATTTTATTTTTTTATAAAATAAAAATATTATATTAATTTTTAGGCTTAATATCAAATTTAAAATTCACTGCAATATTATTAAAAAATTTATAAGTTTAAATAGATTCTTTAGAAAAAGTAATAAATTGGTTAGATCAATTAAAATAATGCAAAATAAATTGGAAATATTTTTTGTCTACTATAGATAATATTTAATTGATAGAAAATAAAGAAATAAAAGATTAAGCATGAGAAACAAAAAAAATATTAATTTTTATATAAGTATATATATAAAAAAAAAAAGATTAAATAAAAAAAATTAATTAAAATATTTATTATGTTTTTTTAACAGCTTTTTTAATTAGCACTTCAAAAGGAAAAATAAGTTGGTAAATCGAATAAAATAATTTAATAAATTTATTTAAAAAATTATATTAAAATATTAAAATAAGGATTTTATAAATAGTTTATTAAATATTTAGTAATTTATAATTTAAAATAATAACTCATAATAATTATATTAAATATTTACAATTATTTAATTTATATCAAATAAATAGAATAAATTTAAAATTTGAATACAGATATAAATAATTTTTTTTTTAATTTAAAAAGTTTATTGAAATTTAACAAAAAAAATATTAGTTTATTAATATAATTATATTTAAACTAAAATAAATTTAATTATATAATTTAAAAAACTATATATTGAATAAAATCAAGTAATATATTAAATTTAATCTAATCAATACTTATTGATAAATGTTTAAATAATTAATTAAAAAAATAAATTCTTAAAATAGTATATAAAATATAAAAGTTTAATATAAATTGAATTATAAGGTACTATATTTATAATAAAAATATAATTTAAATAAATTAAATTAAATAAAATAAATATACATTTATTTATTATTAATATTATTAAAAAAGTTATTATAAAGGTATTAAAATAATTAAAATCGAAATTATTAAATTTATTAATATTATTATTATTAATATTATTATTATTAATATTATTATTATTATTTTTATATTATTAATATTATTTATATTTTTATTTTAATAATAATATTATTATTATTCTTTTTATTATATTTTTATATTTAAATTATTAAATTTATTAATTTTTTAATTAATTTTAAAATTTTATATTTTTTTTTTTTTAAATAACTTAGATTCAAAAGAATATTTTATAAAATGAATTTAATATTTTATTTAATATAAAAACTATAAATAAATATAAAGAATAAAATTAATTACATCTTTAATTTTAAGATATTAATATTTAAATATAATTTTGTATTTAAAAATATATATAATAAATATATTTTTTTTATAATAAATATGTTATTAAATAAATTTATAATATATATATATAAATATTTATATAAATTTTATAAATATATAATTTTTCATAAATTTATATTTTTTTTGTATTATAAATTACTTTTTTTTTTAAGTTATTTAACATTGCAACTATTTTATATTTTTCATTAATTTTTTTTTATTTATTATATCATAATTATTTTTTTATATTTTAACTTTTTTTTTATATTTTTTTTTATACACATATATATTTTTTTAACTTAATTATATAATTATTTTTTATTTTTAAATAAATTTTTATATCTTCTTATAATTTATTTCAATATATTTTTTTTTTGACATTAAATTAACAGATATCTTTATATATATAATTTGTATTTATAATATTTTTTACAAAATCTTATTTTTGTTAATAAATGAACTAAAAAAAACAATTATATATAAATAAAAATTTTAAAATGTTTTTTTTTTAAAAATAAAATAAAAATATTATATTAAATCGTTAATTTTATTAAAAATTATACTATTTAATTGATTTATAAATTAAATTTTAAGTTAATTTATTATTTTCATATTTTATCTTCATTTCTATTCACAATATCTTTTATATTTTTATCATTTTTTAATATTGAACAATAATTATTTTAAATATTATAAGGCCCGAAATATTTTTAATAATTATATTAGTTTTATTAAACAATTTATTATTTATTTTCATTTATCTTCATTTTAACACTAAAAAGATCAGCCTTATATTCATTTATATTATTTTCAATATTAGTTTATTTATAAAATATAGGTTATGAATTTTAAGCTTTTTTATGAAGATTATTTTTTTAAATATTTATCTTATTTATAATTTCATCTAAACCTCCTCTCTTACTAAATTAATTAATGAATTTTTATTTCCTTTCATATTGTTATTAAGGAAAAGTAGCTTTTATGTTTAATAAAACCTTAGTTTTATCAGGAGAATTTAATTACCTTCTATTTAGAAACTGATTTTGTTCTTCTTAAATAATTTGATTTTATTGCTGTTCTTATTAACCAAATCCAATTAATGCTAAATAGCTTTAAAAATTATTAATCATGTTTTTTTTCTACTCCTTAAATTATTTTTAATTATCTTATTTGAAATTATTTAGGTTTTAATAATTTTATTAAATATCATTTAAAACATGTTTATTATTCGTATTTTTTTTAGGTGATTCTTAAAATATTATTTCGTTAATATCTGTAATATCTGATATTGAGCAATTTTAATTTATTTATTTTTAAAAATTATTTATTGATTATTGCCAATCTAAATCATTTATCACCCCATCTTTGTCTATATCTAATTAATTAAAAATGCTTTGAACTTACTCGAAATCATTATAGCCTAATTCAGTCATTTCTTATTAGAAATCGTTAAATTATATGCAATTATTTTTATTTATATCTAGTTTAGAAAATGCGATATTATTTGATCCATGGAAAGTAATTAAATCTTATATTATTTTATATATTATTTCCGATAAATTATTATCATCATTATTAATTGAAGATAAATCAAGATTACTCATATATAAATAATTTATCATATAAATTTTATAAAAGTCCTTTAATTATTATTTTTTATTTTTTTTTATATGAAAAAAATTATTATTTTAATTATTTATAATATAATATATTAATTTTTAAAAAAGCAAAAATACACAAAATTAATTATTATTTAAGTAATATTTTATAATTTATTTTATTTTTATAGTATCAAGGTTAAAAAAATTAATTTTTCTAATATATTATTTTAATTTATAATTTTATTTTTTAATATAAAAAAATAATAAAAAAATAAAAAAATTAGAATGGAAAAATAATATCAAAATAAAAAATTGTTTAATTTTCTAAAAAAAAAAATATCAATTTTGTTTTTTTATACTTTACAAACTTCCAATAATTTTATAATTTGCACAAAATGTTTAATAAGCAGCTTCTAATTATTCTTCTTCTTCTTCAGTTAATTTAACTTTTCCATATTAAAAAAAATATTAAGGATCAACAATCATTTTCGCAAAATTCACAGAACATTCTTATCCAGCTAAAATTTCATATTATCCACCTTTTACAAAATCCTCTATTTTTTTTTGATTTTAAAAATAATTTATTTTTTTTATATAAAAATAAAAAAAAGAATATTAACTTGAATTGCTAACATCAAATACAGTCCCTTTAACTCCAATATAATATTCTGGATTTGAAAATCCATCATATTTAGTCAAATCTTTATCATTAAATTCTCCTCTTGAATTTCTTTCTCTTCTTTATCTTTTAACTATAGATTTTTTTTTAAAAAACAAAAAATTATATTTAATTTAATTTTTATTTCTTTTTTTTAAAAAAAAATAAATAAATAATTAATGATATAATTATCTTATTTACTTTCTTCTAATCTTTAATATATTTCTGGTTATGCGTTTGGTTTAGGTTTTGTTGGATAAAAAAATTCATATACTTGCCATACTAAAATTACGATAATAATAACGTAAGAGAAATCAATTAATTCCATTTGATTTAGTTTAATAAATTTTAAATTTACAAAAAAAATAAGTATTTTTTTTTTTTTAATAATATTTTTTTATAAATTTCAATATTATATATATATCAAATTTAAAGAATTTAAAGATATGACATTATTTTTAATATTTTTTTTTTTTTACTAAATGTTATTATAATTTATTACATAAATAAACAAAAATAAATTAAATACTGTTTTATAATATTTAAATTTATATTTAATAAATATTGTATTTATTTTTAAAAAATTCTAAACTTTTTTTGTATAAAAATATATATTTATTTTTCATATATTTAATATATATGTATAATTAATATAAATAAAATAAAATGTAATTTATTTTTATCAAAACTTAAAATCTACATTTTCATTATTATATTTCATTTAATAATTATTTTTATTATTTTAATCTCCATCGAAATTCTATTATTAAGGATTAATTTACTAAGTTTTTAAATCATTAATAGTTAACATTTAACCTTTTTCTTGTAAATAATCATTTTAATAAGCATTTTTTAATTAATTATTTTTTTGAATCTCTAAATTGTAATTAAGTTAATCAATATTAAATAATAAATGTTCATTATCAATTTATTATTTATCCATAAGTTCATTTAAATTAACTATAATTTATTTTAATTCAATATTTTCCTTTTCAATTAACATTTTTTCTTATTATAATTCATTCAACTATTATTAAATCTCCTATTCATAAAACGAATCATTTTAATTATTAATTTTAAAAATTTAAATTTAATTAATTTTCAAAAAGTCACTATATTCTTCCTAAACCAAATTCAAAATTTACGAAAATAGTTAATTATTAAAACTCGAAACATTAAAATTCGTATTAGTAACCATTTTTATTTTATTAAATAATCCAAAATCACTTTATAAATCATTTATTTTTTACAATTTTTCTATAAAAATATTATTTTAATTTACTTATGACCAGTTTATATTGAATAATTCTAATTATGGTTTAGGTTTTTATAAATATTTTAGTTTTATGATAAATACTATTTATAAAGCATAAATTTTAAACTTATTTTTTATTTAAAATTTTCTATATTTAACTAAATTTTATAATTATAAATTTATATTTTTCATATACTTAATTCTTGTTATTTAATCTTAAAAACCTTTAATAAAAATATACAAAAAATACACTAAATTTCCCATATTTTACTAATTTTATTCATTAATAGACTAAATCATTTACTTAAACTAATTATCTTTAATATTAATAATTTCTTATATTTAAATTTGATTCCTATAGTGTTAAAACGAGTTAAAATTATCTTAAACTTAATTATTTTGAATATTATTTTATTATAATGTTGTATTTTATTGTTATTATTACAATTATTCTATAAGAGAAAAATCGTTTTATCTTTCTTCCAAAACTTAATTAAAAGTTTATGTAAAAGCTTCAATTCTATCTTACAAATCCTCCTTTTCTTAAATAAGTTTTTTTTCTATTTTTTAAGCGAATGGTGTTTATTTAAAAGTTTAATAACCCTACTTTATAATTCATCTAAATTTAAAAAATTATGTTTAAAATTTTAAATGCTTTCTTATTTTCCTTTATTATCTATATATATTATCAAATTAGAAATTAACTTTTATATTTTTATTAATTCTTAATTATGATTTACTTTTATTTCATTATTTTAGTTTTCATTTTAATGTTATTATTATATATATTATTCTTATTAAAAAAGCAATTATTCGATTTGACTTTTATTTGATTCTTCTTGTTCTTTTAATGTTTAATTTTTATCTTTTAATTCCTCATTTAATTTATTACTTAAATTTATTTAATTTTCTAATTCCTATATATATATATATATATATATAAATATATTATTTATTTTAATATATGAAAAAAATAATTTTTACATTTATTTTTTAATTATTAAATTCCAAATCTTCGTTTAAATTATTAATTTATTATTATTATAAATACAAATCATCTTTTAATTATTTATTTTCATTTTAAATTTAAATTAGTTCCGTTTCAAAACTTTCAATTAAATGCCTTTTAGTGGATAGTTCTTATTTATATTATTTTAATTTATTATTTTTTTCTTCCAATTTATTTTTATATTTTTCTTCAATCTAATTCATTTCTTCATTTAAACTATTTAATTTTTCTATATAAAATTCTTTTTCTTAATTTAGTGATTATTTCTATTATTAAAATTAAAAATTTATATTTGTTATTTCTTCTTCATATCTAAGAATTGCTTGTTCATAAAAAGCCAATTTATTAAATAATTCCTTATTAAATTATTCATAAGATTACATTTTATCTTTTAAAGCCGAAACTTTTGTATTTGTCTCCTTTTCATATAAAATAATTTTCTTTTCTAAAATATCAATTTAGTTTTTGTAATTTATATTTGTATTTTCAAACTCATTATTTTAAATTTTTAATTATTCATTTTCTTATTTTCTTTATAGGTTTTCAGTTTATAATTATTTAATTTAACTCATTTATTATTTTAATAAATAATAATTACTATCATTTGTATTTTATTTGTTTGGACAACCATTGAATTCGAATTTTTATAAATTTGATTATATAGGAGATTTACTTTGTGTTTAAAATATGTTTATTTTTTTATCACTATAATTTTCAAATTATGAATTTTCTTTATATATTAAATTCGATTGTAATTCAGAAACATAACCTAAATCATTTAATTTGGAGTTTGTTTAAAATATAGTATCGAATTTTGGAGGAACAAACATATTTTTTATTTTGAAAAAAATATCAATATTTTTATTATTATTTATAAATTAATTAATTATTAGTTATATTTTTTTATATTAAATTATATTTATTTATTAAAAAAGAAAAAAAATATTTATTTATTTATTTAATTCAAATTATAATATATTAAATTATTAATATTGCTAATTTTTTAGTAAAATTGAACTATTAAAAATATATAAATTATATATTTTATAATAATAAAAATATGAATTATTTATTATAAAATATGTATTTATTTATTTTATTCAAAAATTTTATTTTGATTAAATTGATTTCTTTTTATTTAATTATTTAAAGAAAAAAAAAAAAAAAAAAATAATAATAACAATATAAGTTTTATAAATATTAAATGTATTAATTATATAATTATATTTTCATTCTATATGCATTTTTTCTACTTATTTAGTTACATTAGTTTCTTCGGAATATAAATAATCTCTTTAATGTTCCATTAAATATTCAGTTGATCTTTTCAAATCCATAAACATAGAATAAACCTTAAAAAAAAAATATATATAAATAAATAAAATAAAATATATTTTTATTTTAGAAAATAATAATAATAATTGTATATATTACTTTTCTAATATCAACAATATCAACTTCTTAAGATTTTCTTTTAGCAGCAACCAAAGAAGAAGTAGTAATCAATTAAATAGAATATCTAAGAGTAGTTTCATTGCCTAATATATAAATATATAAATAAATATATATAAATAATACCTATTGTAGTCAAAGCTTCTTTAGCCTCTTCAGTCATTTCAACATCTTCTTCTTCACATCTTATTTCGATAATTTACCTAATTTCTTTTTCAGTGTAAGGAACAGTATTTATAATCAACAATCTGTCTAAAAGATCCAATGGCATTCCATGAGGTCCTTTATAATTAGTTCCTCTAATATTAGTAATACCTCTATTAGTAGCTAGAATAATAATAGGTGCAGTTTCGCTTTCTAAAGCTCTATTCAAAAATGAAAAGCATTCCATATCTAACATATGAACTTCATCTATAAATAGTACTCCTGGTACAATTTCAGCTTTTCCTTCTTCTCTCCATTCAGCTACTTTTTAATCCATTTAATCTCTAACTTCTTATTTTATTTCACCTGTGTCTCCTGAAAATAAAGCTAAGAAACCCTAAGATCTTGAATTTATGACATCTATTTCATGTAAGGTTACTGTATGTACTACTTCTTTTCTTTTCTCAATTTCTCCTTCTGGACATTATACGAATCTTGTTTAAGGACCCATTGCATCAAATTCGCTTGCTCTTGCAAAAGAACGTCCTGTTTTCGATATTCTTCCAGATGCTTTGTCTATTGTTATTACATCTCCTGCTATAATCTTCTCTTTTTATATTGCTTCAATCATTTTATTACCTAAGTCATATACAGTTTCCATTTCGGTTGTTTTTAGGGTTATTTTTCCTGTTTTTACTCCACTATTTACTGATTTTTCGATTTCTATTTCTACAACTTCTCCTTCAACGATTTCTGCTTCTTCCTTTATTCTTACGCCTATGGATCTTCTGAAAGCTTATGTAAGAGATTCAGATTTCGACATTTCTAAAGAAAATATCTCAGAACCAGCTAACATGGTAAAAGGAACGTCATCACCTAATGATTTAGCCATACCCATTGCTATCGCGGTTTTACCTGTACCTGGTTATCCTCCTATTAATATTCCTCTTCCGGCTATTTTACCTTCTTTTATCATAGTAAGTATTATACCAGCAGCTTTTCTAGCTTCTTTCTATTTATTTTTTATATATAATTATTTATTTATATGTTATATTATTTATTTATAATGTTTTACCTATCCAACCATACCTTATCCAATGTTTCTATATATTTATTTTTTTAAAATTATATATATATATATTTCTTATTTTATTTTATTTGTTTAACCTTGGGTCTAATGAATCATCTAAACCTAAACCTCTAATATGTGAATGAGCTCCAATTCTTTCATTTCTTGTAATATCTTTTACTTCAGCCACTTTTTATGCAGTAATATCCATTTTTTATTATTAATTATTATAATTTATATTTTTTTGTTTTTATTTTTTTTTGTTTTTTTTATTTTTTTAATTATTTTTAAATTTTGGTTGTATTTTTAATAAAAATTTAATATTTAAAAAAAAAAAATCAAAAAGTATTTTTATATATATATTTTAAATTGTAAATGTATACTTAAGGGAAATTAAAAAAAAAATACATTCTTAATATTTTTAAAAAAAGAAAAATTATAAATAAAATAATAATATCTTTTATTTTCTTAATATTATATAAACAAATAATATTTTTTTTTTAAAAAAAAAATATTTTTATTTTAAATTTTTATATCATATATGTATTTTTAAATTATATATAATATAAATCTTTTTTTAAAATAAAATAAAAATAACCTAGAAAAAAAACTAATTTATATACGAAAAAATATAAAAAAAAGAAAATAAAGAAAAGATAAGAATAGAAAATAAAATAAACTATTTTAACTATTAATTATATTTATTTATTATATCTTTTTCTTTCAATTATTATTTTATTTTCTCATCAATTTTCTTATTTAACTTCTTCATCTTATTTTTCTTCTTTTTTATCTCCTCCTTATAATTCTTCTTCTCCATCTAAATCATTAACTTAAGGTTCTATAATATTAATAAATATATATATAAAAATTATATATATAATGTAAACCTTCATCATCAGAATCATCAGCACCTTCACCTCCTTGACCTCCGTAATTTCCACCAAAGTTTTACATCATATCAGGGTTCCAGTTTTAGTCTAATCCTTTATCACCTTTTTCATTTTCTTCATCTGAATCAATATATTTTTCCCAATCACTTTAGATATTATTGTGTTTTCCTCCTTCTTTAGTTAAACGAGGCCAATATGATTCTTCTTTTTCTTTTTTGAATAAAACAAATCTAATTCCATACCCAAGGATAGTTTTTTTAGAAGCCTTTTTTAATTAATAATTTATTATATTTTTTCTAATAAAATAAAATTACTTCGACATCAATTTCTTTATAGAAATTAACTTAACCAGTATAAGTATTTTTATCAGAAGTTCCTTCAAATGTTAAATGATCAGGTGTAAGCTCAATTTTTTCATTTGTTACGTCACGTAAATGAATTGTTAAAAGAACTCTATCTCTTCTTTGGGCCCATACAAAAGGTGCTGTTCTATTTTTTTTTGTTTAAAAAAAAAAAATTGGTTATTTTTAAATAATGCAGGAATTGGAATGGATATTATTAGAATTTTTTTAAAAAAAAAATAAAAAATTATTAAATAAATATAAGTTAATTTAATATTATTTATTTAAAATTACTTTGACATTTTTTTTTTTTAGCTCTTTTTTTTTTTTTTTTTTTAATGAATCTTTTTTTAATTTAAGAAAATTGATTTTTTTATAATTATTTATGATTTGATTTTTTTTTTTTTTTTGATTTCAAATTTGTTTATTATTTTTTGTAATTTTAATTAAATTAAATACTTAATTTTTTAATACTTCTCGAATATTTTATATATTATAAAATAAAAAGAAGAAAAAAGAAAAAAGAAAAATAGAATAAAAACTATTTTCTTTTTTTTTAAAAAAAAATAAATAAAAAAATTTAAATAATTATATTTGTCTTTATAAATAAATAGTTTTTTTAAAGTAAATATCCAATTATATTATTTTTATTTATAAATAGCAGAAAAATTTTAGAAATTCACTAACAAAAATAAAATATTAATTTATAAATAAATAATAAGCATTTTTTAAAAAATTAATTAAATAAAATATTTCTTTTAATTGTACAATTTTTACTAATGATTTTTTTTTTTTATAAATTAATATATTATATTTTACTTAATATAAAATAATTTTTTAGCAAAAAGAGCTTATTAAAAATTTTTAATAAACAAATTAAAATTAAAAATAAAATAAAAAACCAAAATTATTTTTAATAATAAAAAAATTATTTATGTATATTATAATTATCAAGAAAATAATTTAAGATTCTTTTTATTATTATTATTATTATTTCTCGGATTATTTTAAGTAGAAAAGTTTTTTAATCTTAAATGTTTATTTTATCTATTTTTTTTATATTCTAATGACCTCTAAAGATCTTCGTATCTATTAAAATAATATATTTTTATTAAAATAAATAAAACATTTTTATACTATTTATTAAATTTGGTATTTCCATCATTTACTTTTTGAAATCTAAATCCTTTTTTCATTTATCCGGTTTCATAATCCTTTTTTTTTAAAACAAAAAATAACAATAATTAATTATATACAATTATCAATTTTCTTCCTTTAAAATTAACTTGATTCAATTTTAATGCTGCGTTTACTGAACTCGACATTTTAAAATCAATATAAGCAAATCTTTATAAAAAACAGTATTATAATTTAATTTTTAGAAAAAAAATATAATTTAAAATAAAAAAACCCTTTGAAATGTTTAACAAATGGATTATATATGAATCTGACATTTATAATTTTTCCACATTTCTCAAAAAAACTACCTACTTCATCTTCTTTACAATCAAAAGGTAAATTTTTAACAAAAATTGTTTTACAATCACTAGGAGGTTTACCATCGTCTTTATTATTATTAAAATATATAAAAAAAGGTAATTTATTATATATTTACTTGCATTAATATGTGTTTTTTCGCCTTTAGATAAAGCAATATCTAAATATCTTCCTTCCATAGTTTACTTGTTTAATTTTAAAGCCTATTTATATATAAATTTTTTTAAAAAAAATATTTTTTTTTTAAACATTTTATGCTTCTTCATTCGTTTCAAATTAAATATGGCAATAACCTATGTTTCTACCAGTATCTTAGTATTTTGGTAATTTTATATTTCTATATATATTTTAATATATTTTTTTATTAAATTATATCTTATTTTTATAATAACTATATATTTCCACAAGCTTTAAAATATTCCCTTAATACATCTTCAGTTGCTGAATATGGTAATCCTGAAACAAAGACTGAATTTTAATTTTATTCTTAAAATTATTATTCTTCTTATTGTATTTATACTTATTCTAATTCTTATTCTTATACTTGTTATTTTTTTTCAAATTTTTAGTTATTTTTTTTGTCCGTTTATTTATTTTTTTTAACCATTTTTTTGTTTTTTTTAATTTTAGTTTTATATATTTATTGAAAAACTAAATTTAATATTATAATAATTATATATATTAGATGTTGATATATTTATATATAAGATATTATGATCTAGCTCTTATTTTTAAATTTATGTAACATTAGCTATTTAATAGAATATATAATCAATTATATTATTTTGAATACTATCAACTTATTTTTATAATATTTAAAGGCTTTATCTTTTACTGAAAACACTAAAATTATTTATTTAATTTTTTTTAAAAAAAATAATTAAATATATAAAACTTTAATTATTTACAATAATTACTGTTATTATAATTATGTCTATAAAATGTCTTACTTTATTTATGACATTATTAACATATATTTACTCTAGAATTAAAAAACCTATAATACAATTAAAAGTAATATTAATTATATTCATTAAATTAAAAAATAAGAATATTTATTAAAAACATTGCAAAAAATAAATTAGATAAAGAATAAAATCTATTAAAATAAAGAAAATATATTACTTCCCTTAGATGATATTACAAATAAATATTTAACTTTTTATGTCGCTAAAACCAAAATTTTAGGCTAATTATTAGAAATTATGAATTATTATTTAATATAATGATAAATAAGAAAGTTATATAAAGAATTTAAAAAAAACCGAAAATTCATAAAATAACATTATTTAAATGCATTTAGAAATAAAACTTAATGATCTTATAAGCCTGTAATCAATAAAAAATCAGGATAGACAAAAAAAATATGAGTGTTTAAATAAAATAATAATATAAATTTCATCTCATGATATTTATATAATCATTGCTTATATATAGAAAATTATTTTTTAAAATTAAAATATGAATTAATTAACATAAATTTAACTTTAAGCTTTAAAATATTCATGATGAAATAATATGTATTATTAAAAATAATAATATTTTATAGATTTTATTCTTATAATTGAGTATAAAAAATTGTATAATATAACAGAAAACATAAATAATAATTAAAATCATAATTTACTATTTTATTAATACTTTTAATTTAAATGTAATCAAATTAAAGTAATTTTGACAAAAATTTTAGGAAAAAGATATTTATAAATTAAAAATAATAAAAATATAAATAAGCAAAATAACAAAATTAAAGTTTAAATTATTATAAAAATGATAGATAATAATAAATTAAATATATAAATATAATATATATATATAAATTATATATATATATTATATATATATATATATTTATTTTATATATTTTTTTGAATAATTTTTTTTCTTTATTTTAAATTCATTTTTTAATATTAAATTTAATTTAAATATATAATATTTTTAAATTTTTTTTATAAAATTTATTTTTTAAACTTAAGAAAATTTTGCTATATTATGATATGAAACTTTTAATAAACTTTATTTTTATATATAAATTTTTTTAAAAAAAAATTAAATCAATAATTATTTTATCTTAAAATTAATATTTAGTTTTTAATATTTGAAATAATTTATTTAGAAAAAAAAAACTTCAAACAAGTGTATTTGTCCTAGATATGGGGCATATTAAATTAGGATTATTTTTATTATAATAGCACATATTCAAGCAATTTTTTAAATAATTACTTTTTTATTAATCCTATAAATTATTTTAATCTTCAACCAACGGCTAAGTAGCAATACTTCCAAGTTAAACTTCTCGATTTTGCATATTTTAACTATTATTTTAATCATGCCTTGCATAAGAACTAAATTTTTCAAACGTCGTTTAATTTTAACAAAAATTTTCAATTTAAATTTTAAATAAACAAGTCAAAGGAAATCCAAAAAACAAGCAAAAAAACATTGAAATACCCATAAAAATTGACTTTAAAATAAAAAACAGGCTCTTTATGCCATTATATTCAAAAAAAACAATTAAAAAATTGCTCACATTTTCTTTCCAAATAAATAATCCATTTAAAGTCAAAACAAAAATAATACTTAACCAAATAAAAATAATAAAAACTAAAAAAAAACCATGATTTCCACACCCTACGCAATTATTTATCCATGGACAATGATGATCATAAACGGAAACGCATTATTTACACACTTCGCAATGTCTACTTCTCGTAATTTTTTTGATACAACAAATTGGACAGACATCATAGGGCTCATATTTCTACACAAGTACATATAACTAATTAATTTTATCCTTCTCACTAGGTTTCTGAATATATCCCGGATTAATATTCCAGCAAATAACAAATGAAGAAAAGGTAAAAACAAACAAAATTCCTAAAATTCCAAAAAAATAATCTTTTTTTTCACTCAAAACCAAATCATAATTAAAAATTAAAAAAGCTATTTATGAGTAAAAATACATCACTAAAAAATATACTACTTATTTAACATTTTTCCCTGTAGGTTTAAAAACTGGTCTTATATTAAAACATTCAAAAACCCCATTATTTCTCTTTAAAATTTCTGCAATTTCCTCATTATAATTTTCCTCTTCTAATACATAATCTAGTGCTGTTTTTCCTTTAAAGTCTTTCATATTTTTATCTGCTCCAGCAAATAATAATAATCTCACACTTCTCATATTTCCATTTATAGCACTCAAAATTAATGGTGTCATCCCTTCCGAATCGACTACATTAACATCAGCTTTCCATGCAAGTAAATAATGAACAGTTTAGTCGAATCCCAAATAACTAGCCCAATGAAGAGCTGTGGATAATTTATAATCTTTTACGTTTAATTGGACATTATTTTTAATTAAAAAAACTAAAGATTAAATCTTATCACTCTAAGCCGTTATATGCAAGCATGACTGTCCTTCATTATTCACAGTTGTCAAATCAGCTCCTAATTAATGCAAATATTTCAAAATTTGTATATTACCAATATAGCAAGCATAACTAATAGCAGAATAACCACAATTATTTTATTAATTTATCCAATTTTTAATATTATTTTCTATTTAATTTTCTGTTAATTTTTCCTGTTTTTTAAAATAATTGGATGCGAATTCTACTAATTAATAAATTATTTCTAATTACCCATTCTAAACTGCTACAATAATTAAATTATTTTTATTTTCTTATTATTATATTCTGGTTATATCCTATCGAGTATTTTCAAAATATTCCTACAATCTATTTCTTTATCCCTAACTTATATAAGAAAATATCACAGAAGAATCAGTTGAAGAATTACTTGGAGAAGAATTGCTTTACATACCATTATTATAAGGACTTTTGCTGCTATTATTATATGGTCTTTGATCTCTCAATGAATTATTTATATTTATATCCCCTATCATTATTGGTTCTAAATGTGTTATTTGTTTATTAATTTAAGAACTTATTATTCCTTCTTCTGCATAACTTCCTCCTGCGCAATTACCTAATAATTACACTTTATCTCTTGATGAATTTGATACTTATTATATTAATTTTATATCATTATAACTTAATGTGCGCGAAAATTATACTATTGTTTTAGGCTATTATGGTTATATCAGCTTTTATTATAATGGATAACTGTATACTATTTAACTATTTTATCCGTTATTTTTTATATGACCATGCATTTTTTTACTTATTTTTTTGGTTTTTATTTTTATTAATTAATTATTATTTCTTTTCTTTATTTTATTTTTGTTGATTTTTTATTTTGTTAAAATGTTTAAATAATCTTGTAAGTATATATTTATTTTATATTTCATTATTAATAATTATAATAATGTATAATTTTATTTATTTTATAATAATTTTTCTTCTTTTATATATAAAAATTATTATACATATATAGTTTATATAAATGTTTAAATTTATTTATTATTATATATATTTATATTTATTTTATATATTAATATTTCTTTATTATTTAAATAATTATCATTAATTAATTAATTTCAAGGAATAAATATTTAAAATTATTAATAACCTAAATTAAAATTTTTAATATTTTAATATTGAAAAATCAGATTTACAAATCATTAAAAAAATAAAAAATAAAAAATAAAAATATCTAATAATATATTGATTTTTCGTATTTTAAAAATAATTTTATTTTTAATATTTAATAAAAAATTATCATTTTTATAAAAAAAATATCAATTTCTTCTTTAAGCACCTCTAGACTTATGTTAACCACCTTTATATTCTCTTCTTTCCTCATTACCTTTAGTATTGTAATTCTAATTATTTTAGTTGTTATTATTATATTATTAATTATTTCCTCTTCCCTAACCTTATTATTAATATTTTTATTAATCTCTACTTTCTCTATGATGCTATTAATCATCTCTATGATAATTATCATTTCTATGTTACTATTATTCACCTCTGTGATGTTATTAATCCCCTCTATGATATTATTATTAATCTCCTCTATGATATTATTATTAATCACCTCTATGATGTTATTAATCATCTCTATGATATTAATTATCATTCCTGTAATCATCCCTTTGATGATATCCTCTATTGTAATCATCTCTATCTCTATTACTGTTAGGATTATAAGTTCTTTCATTGTCATTTCTTTTTTTATAATATCTTCCACGTATATCATATTGACTTCTTTATATGTGACCACCTCTATCATTATTATTATATCTTTCATTATTATTTCTATTATTATCATTTCTGTCATTATTTTAGAAGTTTCTTCCTTTACTCTATCTATCTTTTTAAACTTATTATTAACCTCTATTATCTTATTATTGTTATTAACTTGAATTACCTCCATAATTTCTTCCTTTAGATTATCTTTCTTATTTATTATCTTACCATTATCTTTTCTTAGAAGTTCTTTCTTTTTTCATTTTTTCCTATTATTCTTTAAATGCTTAATAGTTGCTGTATTTTCCTTCACTTTAAATACTAGCATGGAAGCCTGGCTTATTCTTCACATCTTCACTGTTTTCGAAAGTAAAAGTTACATACATTTTACCTACATTCTTTTATTCTGTAACCTCTTTCAATCCTTCAATTTTAGGTAAATATTTTTATGTAATTACTTCGTTTTTAAAAGCAATTATACAGTTCAAGTTCTCGATCTTATTCATTATTATATTCTTTATTATGATAGCATTCAATACAGCCTTTCCTAAAGTTACAATTGTAATTCTTGCCTTTGGTTCAGATTGTTATTTCGTAAATATTTCTTAAGCTATTTATTCGATTTTTTCGAACATTCTTGTCTTAGTACTTATCCTATGGCATGTTCTATTGTTTTGAGGGTCTTCATATTCTAAGTCTTCCTTTTTGTTATTGTTCTCGTTTTCTTCATTTTATTAGTCTTAGTAATAGTTCCATTTAGCCTTTTTAGAATTGAATTACTTTAAGTTAATTGGAACTTGAGGTAATTATTTAGAATCCATTTAATTTGATTTTTTTATTTACTTATTTTATTTTATTTTTTCCTCCTAAATTATTTTTTATTAAAATATTTAATTTATCTAAGATATAATTTTTATTGTATTTTTGTATTTTATTTAAGAAATAAAAAAACATTTTTTTTTTTGTTTCAAATAATATTAATTTATAAGTTACTTTCAAAATATAAAAACATGTGGATCAATATAAAAGTATCAAAATTTTAATTTTAAATAACATATAATAGTTATTGATAAATACAATAAAAAAATATAAAATAAAAAAAAAACATTAAAAACGTATTAAAAAAATAAAAAAAAAAATATTTATTAACAATAAAAAGAAAAAACCCAAAATATTAAAAACAAAAAAAACAAATAATAATACAAAAATTTTTCACTAATTAATATCTCTAGGTGGAGTAGCCTGTTTTTTTCTAATAATAACTTCTTCCTAATCAACCAAATTATATTTCATTTAATTTTTTTACTCAAGCATTAACTCCAGATCAAACCACGCTTAGCTACTATTAAAATTAATATTACACTAAATTAATTTAGGTTAAATTTTTCTTTGTTTTCCAATTTACAATATAGCCGCATTATTTTAAAATTTACCCGCATAATTAGTATTTGAAAAAAGCGTAATTACATTATTATTACTTTTTTAAATCCCTTTCATAACTGGTTCATTGCTTCTAATAATCATACAGACTCCATTATCCTACATGAATTTTCGAATTCTCCCTTATCCAAATCTTATAACATTTTTTGTATTAAAAATATCATGTTCATTATTCGGAATATTTTCTACCACATTCTCATCTAAATTAGGGTCACTCCATAATAATTCCAAAGCAATTTTATGCTAATAAGTCTTTGGGTCCTAAATAATTTCAAAAGGACGTGGTATCCCTTCTATTTCATCAATAATTCTCAATGTACTACCTATTCCACTATGTACACAGAAAATCGAATCTTCTAAAACACATGCTATAGGCATATATTCGAACACTTTATTAATTCTTTAAAATACCGAATATGGATCATTCTAATCTTCTTAAAATTTCAATGCACATTCATCTGCAAATCCAGTTGCTTTATTAATTTTCTTATCTTCCATATTTCCCCTTAACATAAATATTTAATCAAAATATTTTAATTTTAAAGCAAATAATAATAAAATTGTCTCTATTTACATCGTACCTCTTCCCAAATAATTTCCCAAAAATAAATAATCATTAAAATCAATATCTTCATCATTCTATTAATTATCACAAGGTGATCCGAAATGATTAAAAAATCTCATTAAATCTTCGTATTATCCATTTAAGTTGCCAAAAATTTTAATTGGACATCTCAAACGTAATACCATAGGTTCTTTTTCGAATATTTTTTATACTTCATCGCATAGTTTTATTATATTCTCTTTTTTTATATAAGAAAGATAATCTTTTTGAGTAGAATTCTCATATTAATTTGGTAAAAGTAAATTATCCAAAAATATTTAATAAATTGATTCGTAATATAATTTTTTACTTGCAATTCCCTAAATATCAGTTCCGTATCTTGAATTAGCATCTAAATGTTTAATTTAAATGATAAATAAATATATATATATATATATATATATATATATATAATTAAAAATACTTAATTTAATTCCTTATTTTTATAATTTTTAAATAGAAACTTTCTTTGTTAAATTATCCGTCTCACTATTAGGATCATAAGCAACTCCCACGACTGCTTCTTAAGCTAATCTAATAACCTTTTAATTATAAAGATTCTAGTTATTATTTTTAACCTATTACATTTGAATACTCCCATCTTTATCATCAAAAGGAATTTTTGTTTAAATTTGTTATTATTACCTTTAGATATTATACTATTACTCCATACTATTAATTTCATCCTTATCACAAAATCTTAATATTTATTTATATAAATTAGGATAATTTAACACTAATTTCTACAAATCAAATTTAAGAATACTGTCTGTGGGAACATTCGGTTATTATGACTCAAATCCTCCATGAATAAATAAGTTATTTTATATAATCCAAATGCAATGTCTAAACCTTTAAATAGACGAAAACTTATACCAATCACTAGTTTCCGTATCATATATTTCCAAAGGTATATTATCATTAATTAAATTACTTCTTCCCCCTACAACTAGCATCAAAGCTCCTTAAAAATAGTACTATGCTAAAAAAATTAACAAAAAAGAATAATAATCAAAAAAAAAAAATAACTTAATATCTATGTATAGGTAATTCAGAATTTATCTTATAAGGAGCTTTTACCCAATCCCATCTCCCATCCCTATGTTTTCTTAAACCCCAACTATCATTCAAAGCAGATTAATCTTATGTTCTTCCCCCAAAAACTACCATCATGCCATTCGCTGCTCCTGAACTACATAAAGCAGCTGAATGATAAACTCGTACAACAGGACTATCCCCTTAACAATCTAATTTTTGCCAACTATAGGGCGCTTTTTCAATATTTAAAACCCAAGCATCACTTACAGATTCTGTTCCGGTATTTCCCCCATATACTACAATAAAAGGTTTTACAAAAATCATTGTATGTCCGTATCTTCTACCAGGAGTACTTCCATATACAGGAATTGTTATCCATTATTCTTTATCCTACCCTTAAGATAAATCTAATAAATATAAATTATCATCTGCCATTCCTCCACCTTTTTTAGTTTTTTTTTTTACATATATAATTAAAAAAAAAACAATAAACCGCCAATTGCACCCCCAAATATCACCATTTTATTATTATTATCTATTGCCGCAGCTGCGTGCGCGGCTCGATTTTATGGAGGAACTCCCTAAGGATTTATACGTTTCCATTATTTGAGTATTATATCGCATTAATAAACATCACCTGTTATATTATATTTTCCTGTATCCCCTGTTGCTCCTCCAAATAAAATTATTGTTTTCTGGTTCATGTAGGTCATTGTATGACCAAAACGGCAAAGTGGAGTGTCTCCAAACATTTAGATTTTTTCTATCATTTTTTTTTTTGATTTTTTTTTTTGATTTTGATTTTTTTTTTTCGATTTTTTTGTATATGATTTTTTTGTATTATTTATTATTGTTATTTTTTTTTAATTTTATTTTTAATATTTTGATAATTCAATAATTTTTTATTTTTTTTTTGGATTGTTTTTGTTCTTAAAATAATAAATATTATATATTTTCATTCATATGCATTCCTTAATATTGTTTATATTTTAAATATTTGCTTTTTATTGTACTAATCGTTTATTTATTTAAGATAGTTATTTTTAAAATAAATTATATATTCTATAAATTAAAATTTTCAAATATATATTTTGTTAATTTTTATTTTAAAATAATGCTATTTTCTCACTTATTAAAAATTAGAATAAATTATCAATAAAAAAAACTTTCTTAAAAATTTAAAAATTATTATTATCTGCAAATCTTTTTGCAAGCGCAAGCATAAAAAAATAAAAAAACTTAAAAAAAAATAATAATAAATAATTAAAATATCAAAAAAATAAAAATAAAAAAAAATGTAATAATAAATAACTTAGTTTCTTAGTAACAGTACTAAAAAGTCCTAATTATAATTCGAACAAAACAAATACGAAAATTACATAAAACAGCGAAAATTAGAAAATGATATTGAATAAACCTATTAAGAAAAGCAAAAACACGAAGACTAAGATGATTAGGAAGAAGAAAATGCGTTCATAATAGGCACATCAATAGATACAAAACCCAAGCAATATTTTTATATTTTTTCATGCTAAATTCCCTACATATGGAACACAGTCCAATCAAGATTAACTATTTTGTTAAAAGAAGGTCGAATTTCAATCAACAGTTTAATATAAGTAATAGTCGAATTTTTATCTCTCCATTACTTAAAATAAAAGAAGAATTTCAATACACAGATTTTACAGGAATATTTCCATAGTCAACCTAAAGAAAATCAGTATTATTTAGAAACTCAACTTTTTCCTTTTATAGCCAAAAAAGCTCTAGAAATCGAAACTACATTAGGGACAGTTTCAATTAATCTATTATTAAAATATACCCAAAGTAAAATATAAATATCAAAAAACTAAGTTCTAAATATCCTTTCAAATATGTTTTTTTGCACTCTACATAAATAGATATTTGACGAAAACTTTCATCCGGAATTTACATTCAGTAAATTATACATGAAGACCACAAACGAGGATATAAATAATTTAAAAAAGGAAAAACTTAAATGTATTTTCCATTATTTTTCTAAATTTTAACAAAATAAAATAAATCCGAATCTTTTCCTTTATTTTGAAAGAAAACAGCTAAATCTTCCTTAAGAAAAAATCTAAGATTTTCTCAAAAAAAAACCAATGAAAAAAGTCCACATATAATCCCAATTACCAATTGAACATTTTAAAGAACATATACACGTAGATTTCGCCAATCCCTTTTTAGGAGGAGGAGTTTTATCATCAGGACTAATATAAGAAGAAATAAGATTTATTACATTCCCAGAATGCATTGTTTCAATGATTTTTTTCGAAAAACTAGAAGATAATGAAGCTGCTATAATTTATGGAGCTGAATAATTTTCTTAATATAAAGGATATGGAAAATCATTCCAATTTAATGGGGATTTTACTGAAAAATATAATGTAATTTAAGGAGAAAAAAACATTATTGATACTGTTTTAGTAGCAATTGATGCCATACATTTTTAACAAGAATAAATTAATCTATAATATAATGAATTTTTTAGAAATAGAGAAATAATTAAAGCTTTAGCTGGATTCGAAGGAATCAAAATCGAAGAATAAAACAATTTTGCAAACTAAAAAAAAAGTATCGTTACTGGAAATTGGGGATGTGGATATTTTAAAGGAGATAAAGAATTAAAATTTATGATTTAATGGATTTGTGCTTCGCTGAGTTAAAGAGATATGATTTTTTGTACTTATAATGATAAAGATTAGGAATTTAGAACAAATGAAATTTACGAAATTCTAAAAGATAAATATACAGATTAAGTTTATCTTATTTTTAAAGAATATTATTAACTTTAAAAATAAGCTTAAGGAAAATAAATTATTTCTTTATTTAATTTTATTATTTAACTTGCTCACTGAAATTTAAATATAACTTTAAAAAATATAATAAATATTGTTTTTTATTATTAAAACTATTAGTATTTTATAAATATATTTTTAAAATATTAATTTAAAATTAAAAAAAAAAAAAAGAAAAAAATAAAAGAAACAAATATATAAATATAAAAATAAAAAAAAATATTTAGATATATATATAAAAAAATATTAAAATACATATAAATTTATATAAATATATATATTAAATATATATATATATATATATTTGTATATTAATATATTTAATATTTTATATCAACATTATTTTATTTCTAATGTTCATTATTAAAATTAAAACAATATTTTTAAATTAATTATATAAAAGTATTTATTATATTAAAAATTTTCATATCTTCTAAAAAATTGGATTTAATTCTTCTTTATTACAGTTAGTTAATTTATTATTATTAGGTATATTTCCATTATTATTTTATTAATAAAATATTATTTTTTATTATCTAAAATCATTAATCTCATTCATTTTATTATCTAAATCAGCAATAATATCTTTTACTAAACAAATTGATTTTTTAAATCCTTAATTATTTAATCTTAATTATTATATATTATTATTGCAATTTTTAAGTCTTTATTAAATTGAAACTCTTTTTCCTTAATTAGAATAAGTTTTATTTAAAGAAATTATATTTAAATTATCATTATAATCTTAACTTTCGCTTTTTTTTTAATGTTTAATTTAAAAAGCAAACAAATCTTGTTCAGCTTCTAAAAAATGAATTTATATTTAAATAATTGATTTCTTAAAATATATATATATATAAATAACCTGATAATTTTTATTTTAATCTTTCAATGTGTTCTTAAGAATTATTTTTATTTACTTCTAATTCAGTTTATACCATTGCTAATTCTTCTAAATATAAATCGATTTTTACTTCTAAATCATTAACAATAGATTCAAAATTTCTATTAATTTTAATATATATGGTGATTTATTTGTTGTTTATTTAAATTTAATATATTTTATTTTTATAGTAAATATATTTTTATTTTATTTTTTAAAAAAATAATAAAATAAAAAACCTATTTTATTGTGTTAAAATATCATTTTCATTTTCAAGTTCAATAGTTTTTTTTTATAAATATATACATTTTTCTTAACTTTCATTTATATCTTTTTTATATCTTTCTAATTCTTTTTCTAATTTATTTATATAGTCATCATTTTATAACTAAAATTATTTAAAAAATAAAATAAAAAAATTATATTTTTAAAATATAAATTAAAAAATATAATTATTTTTATATTTAGTATATATAATATTACTTTATTGTTTTTTATTTTTTATTAATAGTCTTCTATTTGTTCTAATAATTTAGCATTTGATTCATCCAAATAATTTATTTCTTTTTCCAATTCATTTTACACTTCTTCACTTGTTACTTTATTAATTTTATAAAATATATTTTATATAAAATAAATAGATTTACTTTTATAACTTTAAAACTCTTTTTATAATTTTTCATATTTCTATTATTATTCATTATATAACTTATAAAAATCTTATTAATCATTCATTTCTTTTAACTTTTTTAATAAAATAGAAATATTTTTTTTTTAATAAAAATTTATTCGATAATTAAAAAAAAAAAAAAAATTAAATTTATTTACATAAAAATTAAATAAAATATTTTATTTAGCAATTTCACTAATAGTAAGAATATTTTTTTAATATATAAATAATATTTAAATTTTTATTTGTATTTTTTTTTTTATTGAGAAAAAAAATAAAGAATTAATTATATATTTTTAAAATAAAAAAAAATAGTGAAAAAATATTTATAAAATTTAATATTAAAAATTATTTTTGATTTATAAATATAATAAAAGTTATATTTTATATATTATTAAAAATATATATTTTATTTTATTTTCTTAAAAAATTTTTATATAATATTCTAATTAATATAATTTATTTAACTTTTTAACTTTACAGATTGATTATTTATAATAATTTGAATAAAAAAATTAAATAAAAATCTTATATTAAAAGTTTGAATTCTATTAAAAACATTAATTTTATTTATTTTTTTAAATATAATAAAATATATAATATAATCATTTCTCTTTCTTTTTTTTTTATCCTTCTTTTATTTATGATTGTCTTTTTTTTTATTTTTTTTTATTTTTTTATCATTCAATTTTTTTTCTTTATGCTTTATATCTTTATTATTATTATAACTATTACTATTGCACTCATCTAAATTATTATATTTTTTTATTTTGCTCAAATAATCGCTTAAAATAATAAATAAATAAATAATTTAATATAATTTTATTTTATAGATCTTTCAAAATATTTAAAAAACTTTTTCTAATCAACTATTTTATTATTTTACAAACCTAAAAAAAAAAAACAGTTATTGAACTAAACAATTAAAACTATATAATAAATTACTTTCTTTTTTAACTTTTTAGTTCCACATTTAGTTTTCTTCTAAAATTCTATTATGTGTTTATACATTTTTAACAACATTAAATAAAAAGTTATTAATGTTCATAAAAATATAAATTATTTTTTTTTTAAAAAAAAAATAAAAATTTAAAGTATTATATTTTATTTTTACTAAAGTTTTTTATTTTATATGTTTTTTTTTTTTTTTCTTAAAATAGAAAATAAAAATATAAACTAAAAATAAAATGTTTGTCAATTACACTAACATATTAAACATAGTAATTTATAAAAATAATGGTAAATTTTTTTACTAAATCAAATAAAAGTATATTAAAACTAAAAAATTTAATAATAAAAAAAAACACACATATATATATATAAAAATATTTAAATTATTTATAAAAACTAAAATTAAATTAATAATTAAAAAGTATAAAAACAAAGAATGTTAAAATTAAACAATCCAACAAATATTCGTTAAATAATAATATGTTCAACATTATCTGAGCGTCCAGTAGTAATTGAAAATTATAAAGCATTCGAAGGTGGTCTATCCTCTTCTGAATTAAAATTTTTACGACTAGTAGAACTTATATCAACTGGAGCCAAATTTTTAATAAGCAAAAACGGTTCTACAATAAAATATTACCCTGGAATAATAACAAATAATGATTCAAATCAATTCGAATATGACTGTGGAAACGAGCGAAATATATCATACTTTTTATACCCTTTATTAATATTAGCCCTTTTCGGCAAAAACAGATTAAATGCAAAATTAAAAGGAATAACTAACGACACTCAAGACATATCAGTTGACATGTTTTCAAACTCAATATTACCTTAAATAAAGAAATTCGGCATAGAAGGTGAGTTACTTGTAAAAGTATTAAAAAGAGGTTACAAACCAGAAGGATAAGGTGAAATATTATTCAAATGCCCCATAGTGAGGCATTTAAAGGCCATAAACCTAAAAGAACGCGGAAAAATAAAAAGAATAAGAGGCATATGTGCAGGTGCTTAAATAAATCCCTCAATATTAAATCGTATAATAAGTTCTTCTCGAGAAATACTAAATGATTACCTTCCTGATGTTTGGATTTATTCCGATTTCTAAAAAGGAAATAATCAAGAAAAATAAAAAACATCTCCAGGATACTCAGTTTCTTTAGTAGCAGAATATAATAACGGGCAACTAATAAGTATTGATTAATGCTCAATTGAAAATGGAAGCCCAGAATAAAATCTAGCCGAAAAAATTGGAAAAGAAGCCGCTTTAAGTCTTCTTGACGAAATACTATATTGTGGCTTTGTAGATAGTAATTCTTAGTCTATGTTCCTAACTTTAATGAGTTTAAGTGAAAAGAAAATTAGCAGTATTAGATTAGGAAGAATTACACCTTTTACAGTTGAAAATCTAAGGATTATTAGAGAATTTTTTGGAGTAACTTTTAAAATATTACCGGAAGATACTTAAAACAAAGAATTAGAAGAAGAAGAAGAAGAAGAAAATGAAAAAGAATAAAATGGTGAAAATTAAAATGAAGATAATATGGATATTTAAGATAATTAGAGTAATTCTAATTAAGAAAATAAAGAAGAGTTTGACTTAAGCTTATATAATATACAACATATGATATTTTCTTGTTATGGTGCAGGACTAAGTAACATGTCGCGTGTTACTAATTGAATTATATTTATATATATATATATATATATATATATATTTGTATATATATATTATTTATTCTGTTCTGGTTTATTTTAATTCATATAGATTTTGAAATTTTTTTATATTTTTTAAAATATCTTTAATTTTTTAAAAAAAATATTTTTTTTATATTCAATATTTTTAAAACCAAAATATTTTAAAAAATCTATTATTAAACAAATAAATGATTGAATTTTGTTATTTTTTATTAATGTTTTAATTTATTATGAATTAAATTATTAATTAAAATAATGATTTAGCTGAATAATTAAGGCTTCTTGACCAAGATTTATTTTAAAAAGAAAAGGAATTAAAATATTTATAAATAAAAAGGTTAGATAAAATAGGATTTTTTAATAATTTGAAAAACAATTATGACGAAAAAGTATTTTAAATATAAAAATATCATATTAATATTAATATAAAAAAATAGATATTATAAAAATATTCATTAGCACAAGATTTGCCATAAGAATATATTGATAATTATATAATATTTAAAGATAGTATAACTCATAAATTCACAATTAAAGTAAAAAACCTAAACTAAAAATCTAAATTAAACCAAAACTAATAAAAAAAAGGAAAACAATAAGATATTAAAAATAGAATTTATGCAATTAAAATCAAGCAGAGGATATGTATCATATAGTTCAACAAATGATTTTTCTTAACTTTATGGAATGTTATGTTTTACAGAAGATAATTTATTAATATTATACGATAATACAGGAAAGAAACTAGACGAAATATAAACAGGCCATTAAGTATAAATAATAAAATAAAGTATTTATTTTTATTTAAAATAAAAGATTTATAAATATTCATTACTTTAATAAAATGATGAACTTATAATAGCAACACTGGGATATGATTTTTAAATAAAATTTCATGAAATAAAAACTACAAAAGTTTAAATATAAAACAATTAATAATTTAATTCTACAGAATTCAATACCACAATAAATTATAAAAAAGAAGAAGATCATAAATAATAAAAAAATAATGATTAAAAGCATGTTTAATATTTATACAATTTCTCATTCTAATTATAATTTTCTATCATTAACTTATAATAAGATAGTAATATTAAAAATACATATACAGCTTTTGAAATATATATTTAAAAAACTAATCAATATGTATTAATTGGAGATTATTTAGGACATATTCAGTATTTATTTATAATTATATATACATATATTTATATATTATTTTCTATAAAAAAAAAAAGTGTTTACTTTAAAAATGGAACTTTTGTAGGAAAAAGTGCTCTTAGTAAAGACCCTATTATTTATATTTAAAAGCATTATCCTTTTCCTGTATATGCATGTATAATATAATAAATATAAATTCGATTTTATATAAAAATAAAGCTAAAAAATAAATCGGATTTTTCAATTAAATTAGTTTATAAACAGCTTACCCATTATGCGAGCCTGTATAAAAATATAAAAAATAATAATATTAAAATATATTTAAGACTTTCGAAGAAATATAATATGTCACAGTTGATGGATAGCATAGTTAAAATATATTTGTACTTTAAAAAAATATGGAAATAGCAATATATGAAATTAAATCTTAAAAAAGTTAATGTTCTGGTATTTTTTTAAAAAAAAAAACAAAACAAAAATTTAAATAAAATAAGTCTTCTTAAAACTTAATTCTGGTGATATTAATGAAAGTTAAAATATCGATACATCAAAAACATCTATTTTGTTTTTACATAATTACATTTTCGTTTAAAATATTGAAACTCCAATTTCTAAAGTACTAAATGTTACGAATTTTAAATCTAGAAACCTTGATATTATGTTAGATTTAGGTTTCTATTTACCTGGATTAGGAAATAATTAATATTAAAAAGATTATAGAGACACTTCAGGAGTATTTTAATATTAAGTATATAAGCATAGTAATAATTTAGGTTTATTAGCATATTATGAATAAAGTAAATTGTGTTAAAAAAAAAAAAAACATTTATAAATTTAAATAATTATTTATTTATATATTTTTTTAAAAAAAAGATTAAAATCATACAGAAATTTCAGTTTTTTAAGTTTATTCTTAAAGTCCTTCTTGGAGTTTTACAGAAAACTTTAAAATGCCAGTAATTGCAGTAGTTTTAATAGCCTTCTTTTTTTTTTAATATTGCAAAAAAAAGAATAAATCGGGCTTTGATGATACATCAATGGAAAATATAGATAATTTAATTAAAGATATATAATCAGGTAAAAAAACGATTCCAAAATATCATAAAAAAGGGTTGAAAGTTGAAGATGATAGTAATGATTTTAAAAATAATAATTTCTCTACTACCTAAAATATTAATTAAAGACTTAATTAAACATAACTTTAATTAAATAAATTCAGTAAAGATGCTGGAAGTACTATTTCTAATTTGTAATCTTAAATATAAAATTTCTAAAAAAATATAAACTAAAAAAAATATTATTGAAAACTAATTGATTTAATTATATTTTTTTTTATTTCAAAAAAAAAAAAAAAAAAAAAATATTTAAAAAATGTATTTTATCATATATATTTATATATATATATATTTTATTTTTATAAACTTTATAACTATAATTATTATTATTAATCATATTATTTAATTATCAATCTAGTTCTATTAATTATTCATTTTAAATTTCTTTTTATTATTCTTCTAGTTCTTAAACTTCCTTTTATTGTTTTTCTAGTTCTTGAACTTCTTTTTATTATTTTTCTAGTTTTTTAATTCTTAAAAATGACAAAATTTCTAAAAAAGGTAATTTAATAAATATTAAATAAATAAAATGTATTATAACCTTTTCTACAAATAGGACATAATTTATTCTTTTTTTATTTTTAAAAATCTTTAGCACATTATATACATATACACATATGCCTACAAGGCATTATAATTGTATCTATTAGATCAGTAAAACAAATAACGCATTCTTTTTGATAATCTTCAACACTTTATTTATATTTGTTAATTACTTTTTTTTTTTAAAAAAAAAACATACTATGCTAGCTTTTCACCAAATTAATTGGGAGCTAAATCAGTATTTTCGATTCCATATATTTCTTAAATTTCATAAGTTTCATTTAAAAACTAAATTTAATAAATAATGAATTAATTAAAATTCTAATAATTTTTTTATAAAAAAGAAAAAAAATACTTGAATTTTTTATTTAACTAATTTCGGTTTAAAGCCATTGCTTTCTTTTTCAATAGTTAAATAACAAAAAATCTATTTATTATCGAAACCATTTAATGCTTGCTATTAAATATTAAATATATATATATATATTTTATTTTATTTTTAAAAAAAGTATACATAATGTATAATTATAGGCCATTAATTGTTAGCTAGAATATGTTTTTCGACAGGATAACTAGAAATTTAAAAAGGAAGTTCTGAAATTAAAGTTTAATTTATTTATTTTTCTTAAAAGGTAAATGTTTATTTTTTTGAAAAATTAGTAAATGATTAGTGTATTTCTGTAAAAAAAGTTTTATTTTAAACTACTTCATAATAAAAGGTTATTTCTACAGGAATTAATGTAGTAAAATTAATTTATATTTAATCATTTTATTATTAATTTATTATAAATTATAAACTTTTTTTAAATATCATTATATCGTTTTACATAACTATTAAAGACCCTTGTTGCTAAAAATTAATATATTATATTTAAATATATAATAAAATATTTATTTGTTTTTACTTAAATATTCAATGGTATGTTTTATTAAATATTTTATTATTATAGTATTTATTGATTAGGATTATATTAACCTTAATTATTTATAACTTATTAACCTTAATTATTTAGAATTTATTAACCTTAACGATTTATAATTTATTAACCTTAATGATTAAGAATTTATTAACCTTAATGAATTTATTAATTTACATTTTATTGATGGTTAATTTATTAGTTTATATTAGTTTATATATTTTGTTATTGTGCATTGATTGGTTAATTTGATTAGTTTTAATTTATTCGAATTTGTTATACCTATTAAGGTTAATTTATATGTTCATCTTTATTAGGTTTTTTCTTTTTAAATTTATTTTATGTAATAAATAAATTTCTTTTTCTTTTTTATTTAAAAAATATACTTGTTTTGATGTACATCCTGCTCCCATTTTTTTAAAATATAATTTATTTATAACTTTTTATTAAAATGTTATAGACTATTTTACTAATATATAAATAAATAACTTTATAATTAAATATTCTTTAAAAAAAATCAAAAAAGAACAAATATATAATTTTTTATAGTTATGAAAATATATATATTAAAAAAATTAAAAATGAATATATTACATTTAAACCCATATTAGAAAGTAAAATTAAATTTAAAAATAAAAAAATACTTTTTTCGTCAATACATTATAAAAATTTAAGAACTAATCTAATTTACTAAGTATTTAATATAAAATTAAATATATTTATTTTATGCTAATAAAATAAATTAAATATAAAATTAAATATAATGTAAATTTTAACAAAATAAACCTAAAAAATAAAATAAAAAAAAATGCTAACTAAATTAATAAAATATAGTTTTTGTGAAACATAACAAGCCTCAAAACAACCCAAATTTAAATGGCAGATTCTAATGGAATAATAATACCAATAAAAAATAGACATTTCACGTTCATTAAAAACTGAAAATTAAGATCTCGTTTTTAAACTTGCACTATAAAGAAAATTCTAAGGTCTATCCGATGATGAATTAGTAAATATAATTCCATAAGGTAAAATGAATTTTCATTAAAAGGAATATTTTAATAATTTAAAAGTATTATTATTATAAAATAACTTTAACATACAAAATTAACAAGCAATTAAATTAATTAGTTTTTTGATAAATAATAAAGTAAATTAATAACTTATTTTTTTATTTCTTTTTAATTAATTATGCTAAAACTTTTAAGAATTAACCCATTATTAACAAGCTTAAATTATTTTGATTGGAATTAGCAATAGTTTAGTTTCAGAAAAGTTATTAGAATAATTTTTTGAATATTATGATAATTAAGAAGATTAATAAATTTAACAATTTTATTAAAAGCTATCTATTTTTTAATTAAATAGATATATTGCTGTAATAAGAAAAATTAATTAGTTATATGATTCAGGACTAACATAAAAAAATCTTTCAAAAAAATATTTAAATATGATATCTTAAGAGGTATAATATCAATACTTATTTTATATAATTTATTAATTAAATAAATACAGTTTATTAATTAATACGAAAATATAGATTCCTAAATTAAAAAACAAAATATAGAATCTGATTTGATAAACACTACTACATTTTTATTTATTGAGGAATTTTATCCAGAAAAATATAAAAGAATTACAGCCTAAATGTATCAATTATTATAAATTTTAAATAAATTATTAAAAAATAAAAATATAGTATCTAAAAAATAATATAAAGAAATAATATTTAAACAAATAATAAATAAGAATAATAAAAATTTGTAAAAAATAAATATCAATTAATATTCATATTAATATTTTTTTAAAAAAATAGACTATTTTAATGTTAAAATAACTAACAGCAATATCATTCATATTTACCAAAAGAGAAAAAAAATATACAATTGATTTGTTTGATTAAATAATTAACGGAATAACAAGTTATAAAGAGGAGGATTTATTTTTAATATTAAAAATGTTTTCTTAATTATCTAGATTTAACTACACAAATAAATTGTTTTTGAATTACATTATAAATAATTTAATAAACATATTAAATTAATTATTAAAATAATATTTTATTAATAATAAAGAAAATCAAGATGCTCATTTATTAATTGATGTGTTTAAGTCTTTATATAAAATAAACTTTTAAGAAATAGCAGATAATAAGGAGTTAATAAAATAGATAATTTTAAATAATAATAATTGCTTTCTTTTTTTATAAAATAATAAAATATTTATTTTTAATTTGATTACTTTCTTAATGAAATTCAAATATAAACTTAAGAAAATCAGAAGAATAATTTTAAAATTGAAAATTATAAAAATAAAGAAAAATTATAAATTTTCGACAATTAAAATAAAAGATTCGATAAAATTAATTAAAAAAGAGTAAGCAAAATTATTACAAAATTGAAATCGGAATAAATTTAAAATAATTAAGAAAATTTAAAAAATATTAAAAATTAAAACAATAATAAATAGTAATAAATTATTACAAGTTAAGAATAATAAAAATACTATCTAAAATTGAAATAATAATTAGAATCTTTTGAATTCAAAAATTTTATTAATTATGAATATGTCTAATTCAAAAAATAACTTAATTTTATTTAATAAATAGGCTCTTTACTAGAAACTATTAGTTTTAATATTTTATATACTAAGGATTAATAGAAGAATGAGTAATTTTTATTTTTTTTTAAGTAAAATATAGTTTTTAAATAAAAAATTAGATTTACAATAAATACAAAAATTTACCTAGAAAATTAAAGCTTTCATTAATTTTTTTATATATTTTCTATGTTTCCGAATATTTTAGAAAGCATATTAACTATAGATTATATATTAAAAATATTCTCAAATGAAATATAAATTTATTTATATTAAATTTAAAATGATATTCATTAATTCTTTAATACAGATGATTAATCAATTAAAAACCCATCCTACTATATTAAAAAAATTGAAGATAAAATAAAATAACTACCAAATTAAAAGCTTGAAATAGGTATTTTTTTTAATATATAAATAAGCATATATAAAAATCAATAATAAAGATAAATCATATGATAATATATTGCTTTTCTAATAAAAGATTAAAGATAGAAAATTTTATTTAGAAGACTAGATTTCATAAGAAATCGAAAATTCAAATCAACTTAACTAAAGATATGCTTATAATGAATAAAATTTATTAAGAAAAATAATTAATTCTGATATATTTTATAATTTTATAAACGAATCTTAATTAAAAAAATCAACACAAGATTATTTATTATAAAAATATTAATATTTATAAAAAAATGTTGTTTTATTTTACCCATATTATGCAGATTTTATAATCCCTGAACTATAAGTGGTTATATAAGTAAAAGATAATAATTTGACTGTTGATGGAGTTTATAATGTTTTATAAGGATATTACTAAAATAATTTATTCTATTTACAAACGGAAGGCTATAAAGTAGTTTTTATAGAATATTAAGATTTCCAAAATAATGATTTAAATTAATTTCATAAAAATCTGTAAAATAAAATTAATTTAATATAAAATAATTGATTTTTAAAAAAAAAAACAATAAAATTGTAAAATATAATCATATTTTTAATAATTAAATATTATTTATTCTTATTTATATTATTTGCATAAATAATTTTATATTAATTTTTTTTTTAAAATAAATAATGTTAAAAATATTTAATTAAATTAAAATTCATAAAAATAATTTGTTATTATATTTTCTTATATATAAAAAAAGTCAAAAAATGTTTTTTTTTATATATATATATATATATATATATATATATATATATATATAAAATATATAATTCATATTTAATAAAATCTATTCTATATATATTTTTCTTGTTATAAAACAATGACATAAAAAGAATTATTTTTTACTATACATATAATATTTTTTTAAAAATAAAAAATAATAATAAACATATTTCATTATATAATGCTATTTTATTCCTCATCTTTTTCAATTTTAACTAATAAAACAATAGACATAAACGAAAAATAGATAAGCATTAATGCAAAAATCGCATAATTCCAAAAGGAGTTCATATAAAAGTTATCTTTAAATGACTAATAAAAATTAACAATAACAATTAAAATAGAAGAAGAGCTTAAAAAAAATAATTCATTTTTAGAAATAACATACTCATTCATAATTTATTTATTTGCCGAAAATCTAATAAGTGGAATAAGGGCAAACGGCAACTAAATAGCCTAAAGAATATTCAAATAATTATTAAAATTATCCTAAAAGTTCACAAACACAATAATTACACTCGGAATAATAGCCACCGCCCTTGTAAAGAACGCTCTTTTAAATTTACTAACTTTAATTTTAATAAACCCACTCATTATATACTATCCAGCAATAGTCCCAGTTAAAGTTGAGGAAGAACCCGAAGCCAACAAACCAACTCCCCAAATATATTTTGCGAAACTTCCAAACTTCTAATATATAAAATCCCCTGCATTAGTCAAGTCCATTCCACTGCCATCTTCCGATCCTTACCAAAAAGCAAAAGTTCCAATAACAGTAATCGAAATAAAGAAAGTTAAAGCAAGTGTAAGACCTGCTTCTGCCTTTAAATAGAAAATAGACTTTTTAATTTCTTTTTTTCTATTTTCTTATCCATAACCAAAGAGGAATGTAAAAATAAATTATGTGGCATTAAAACAGCCCCTATTAAGCCCACCAGAGGATCAAAAGAGCTTTCATAAGGGATTGAAGGGATAAATATACCTTATAAAAGCTCTAAATAATTCGGTTTTACAACCATGAATTCCACAAAAAAGCTTATGGCCATAATCGAGATCATAATTCCGAATAAAATTTCTAATTTTTTAGCAAATAATAGTATTAAAAAAGCTGCAAAAATAGTTAATAAGACCCCCACCCAAACTTTGATTCCGAACAAAATATTCAAAGCAAATGCACTTCCTAATACTTCTTATATATCAGCACCTATAATTGCAATTTCAAACATTGCCCATAAAAATTTCGATATTTTTGGAGGATAATATATCCGACATAATTTTGCCATGTCTTTTTTTGTAGCCAATCCAATCATCATAGATCTTATTTAGAATAAATATCCTAATATTGTAGCTAATAATAGTACCCAAATTAAACTATATCTACTTGATACTCCAGCATCTATATTTCCAGATAAATTACCGGGGTCTAAATAGGCCACTGATACTAATAAACCTGGGCCTAAATATGATAATAATTCTCTGAAAGAAAAACGAAATGGCTATTATTCTTCTGAACCGGTAAGACTTGTAATTTGTGTTTATTTTTCGGATATTTCTAATTGATATTCTTATGATTTAATATCAATAGAATCGGCATTTTTTTCCATTTGTATCCATTATTGAACGTTTTTATTTTAATCCATTTGTTATTTTTTTTTTAAATTATGTTTGTATTTAGTTTTAGTTTTAATTTTAATATTTAAATAAATATATAGATTATCAAAAAATATTTGTAACACTTTTTTAATTGTCTATATTGATTTTTTAATAATGTAAATTATTAAATTAAAAATTTTTATTTAATTTTATTGTAGCAAATATTTTAATTAATTTATATTAAATTTCTATTGCATATATTTTTATATTATATTTATATAAGAAATTATTTATTTTGCATATATAAATTAAAATATACTATTTTATATATAAGCAATTAAATATATGTAGCTTTTCTATAAATATATTAATAAAAATATTTCAAATTAAAATGTATTAAATCGTTTGTAGTTTTTTTTTTTTAAAATAAAAATATACTTGTTAATTAATATGCGTTATTATATAAAATATTAAAAATTATAAAATTATTATTACATTTTTATATTTATAAAAAAAAAATTATTAGTTTTTTATTAATATATTCTTCTTTTTTATTTAAAATAAAATTATTTATATTTAAATAAAAATACATGAAACTAAAAAAATAAAGTCTCATATTTTTAATAAAAGACAAAAATTAATAAATTGCATAAAAACAAAAGGTAAACACATATTTGAATACTGATTAAAGCACATGTACTGACAACACATCAAAATCTATTTTTAAGACTAGTAGAATTTCATCTAAAACATTAAATAATTGCGAGTCTCCTTTAAAACCAAAACATTTATAAGATATCTAAAATATAGCAAAATAAAAAAATATAAATATTTAAGATTATTCTTAATTAGACGACATTAATCAATTCGTAAAAAAGCTTTATAATAAAGTTTCTATGTCATTAAAATCCATTGTAAAAGCTAAATTTAAATAATTATAAATAAAATAATAATAATAATAGGGATCTCAAGAAATTTAATAGTTTTTGGAAAATTAATGGGATGTTAATTAAGATAATTAAAAAGAAGCGAAAGAATTATTAAATTAAATTGAAATAATTATAAACTGCTTAATTAAATAGAATACTTAATAATAAGAATATATATTTGACTTAAAAAGTTATTTTCAAATAGATAATTAAGAAAAAGATTCTTTATTTATTTTGTAAAAATACGAAGCAGATTTTCGATAAATAAATAGAGTAATTTTATATTATTTTTTTAATTTTTTTCATATTAAATTAATAAAAAAGGAAAATTAATAATATAGATTTTAACTGTAATTGTATTCTGAAAAATTAAAAAATAGTGAAAATTAAGCAAAATTACTAACTAAGAATGCATAATAAGAAATGGAAGTAACAAAAAATATATGTATATGACTTATTTAATATAAAAATAAAAAAAGAATATTAAAAAAGAATTTAATAATATAATATATTAGTTAAAATAAAGAGAATAAGATATGGATGTATTAAAATAAGAATTAAGTAGAAAAAAAATTAATTATAATTAGTTGAAGAAAGACTGATTTCAATAATTATCTTAGAACATAAAATATAATCTTTAAAATAAAAAAATTATAAAAATGTAGAAAAAATTGCATTTGAATGTGATTAAAAAAAATAAAAGATAGAGAAATAATTCGCATTATCATTAAGATAAGAAAGATAGAATATTTTTAATATAATTTAAGAATTTAAAAATAAATTAAATATAGAAAAACAAGAAAATAAAAAAATAGCTTATAATAATAAACATAGAATTTAGTAACTAAATGATATTTTAATTGAAAAAGAAAAATTACTCTAAAAAAAAGTAATGAAATTATAAAATCTAAAAGAAAAATTAGCAATATAAAATAAATAAAATTATATTTTATTAAACAATAAAGATAATAAGTATTTGATATAAATTTTTTAAAATAATATTATATAAAAAAGGTATTAATGATAATAAAATAAAAAAATTAGAAAATTAAAAGTTTTAAAATTTCAAAAATAATTTCAATAAGTAAATATAATAATTATTTAAATTAAATATTTATTTTATAATTTATTAAATAAAATAAAAAAAATATTATTTATTTAAATTTATAAATAAAAATAATAATTATTATTGATTTTTTTTAAAAAAAAATTAAATATTTTAAAAAATAAAATTATAGTTTAATATAAAATTATAAAATTTATATTTAAGAAAAAATATATTTAGAAATTATATATATAAATAAAAAAAAATTAAAAATTGTTATATATTTTATTCAACAATAGTTTTTTATCAAGATATAAATATTTATTAATAATAAAAAATATAAAAATATAAATAAAAACACTATTATGATAAAAAAATATCAAATGTATATAATATTTAAAATATAAGAATATATATATATATATATATATATATATATAATAAAATAAAATTTAAGAGTTATATTTTAATATTAAATAAAATATGCAATATATTGTTATTAATAATATTTAATTAATTTTTTTAAGAAAATTATTATATTAAAATACTTCTATATTTATAATTAGA